CACATCGCCCAGAGCGATGGTTTTCGAGAAAATTGGAGACAAAGAGTTTGCTCTGATGGGTTGCTAACTGGTTAATCAACATAAACTTATGAAAGTTATGGCGGTTCAAAAGTAACCAAGTAGTTATTAAATAATTAATTGAAAAATCAAAATTTCATGATTTTTAAAACATCTTACTGCTTTACCAAAATCCAATTACCAAAATTCCTTATTAAAATAATGCATTCCTTAATTCATTCATAGTAAATGTTCAAAGTGACCACCATTCATTTCAATATAGACATCTGATCTTCTTCTCCACGATCTGCGTACCCTGTGGAATATCCTTGTTGCTGTCCGAATTTGATTGGAACAGTCAATAATGCGTTGCCGTAGTTGCTCTTCAGTATTAATCGACACTGAGAAAACCAAATTTTTTTAAAACCAAAAAAGATTATTTCGTTTTTAAAGCAAATAAGATGTTTTAAAAATCATGAAATTTTGATTTTCCAATTAATTATTTAATAACTACTTGGTTACTTTTGAACCGCCATAACTTTCATAATTTCATGTTGATTAACCAGTTAGCAACCCGTCATAGCAAACCCTTTGCCACCAATTTTCTCGAAAAGCATCGCTCTGGGCGATGTTCAACAAGAGTATCCTTTTTGTAGGAAAAAGTATGTAGTTTTCAAAAAATGAACCCACGTTGCAAAAAAAATTACCTCAAAACACCTAACCTAACCACCCTGTATAGAGGTGGGGGTAGTTTTCACCCTTCCCGTATTTTTTCTTGATTTTTGTGAAAGTCGAATATTAAAGCAAAAACATAGATACCCAAAATATTCCACATAAATTTCCACATTCCATATAAATGTCCACGGAATATTAGGACACTCAGCAGAGTAAGTTACAGCCAAAAAAAGTTTTTATTGCCTTACATTTTTTGCTGCCATTATACCTATAATATTTTTTTTTTCAAATAACTCCTTATTCAATAATCTAATCTCCGATGTATTACACTTGAAATTAAGGACAATTGCACTGAACTTGTCAGCGACACAATGGATACAGATTAGTAGTGGGAACTATCGAATGAATACTATCGAAACATTCGATAGTTGCAATTCATTCGAATAATTCGATAGTTAGTAAGAAAACATTCGTTGAAAACTATTCGAATAAAAATTATCGAATAGATCCGTCATCTGCCCTGAAACATTGTATTCTAGTAATTCGGCAGCAAAAACCATTCATTTATAAAATTCATTCATTTATGAAATTCATTTATTCGTCAGGATCGATTATAATAAAATATTAACTGAATTTTAGTTGTCGCCCGGCGACGTAGGTTTCTTTCCGAGAAACCCTACAGCGGTCGGTGGCAATGCTATGAAAGAAGCCGGCATCTTTGATTTTTTGCCGAGTCAGATAAAAATAAGGACACGTTATTTTTTTATTGAGGTGCTAGTTGTGGTGCTAGTATTTACACAGAAAATACATTATGAAGGGCGCTGTTGCCATATTTTGGTATTAGTTGATATTAGCAAAGACTATTATTGTTTGCCTTTAGTCAGTTAGGGATAGTGTGCCTATATATTCTGCATTTTTTTATTAATATTGTGTTATTACACTGCAATAATACTTGTTATTTTGGATGTAGGAAAATGATTTTTAATGTTTTTAAGCAAAGACTGGTTTAATAAATAATAATAATAGTAATAATTTGTTATACCTATTAACAACAAAATTTAAAATAATTTAATATAAACATTTTTTAAGTAGTAGCAAAATATAAACAACAAATTAGATGTCAAAATTATTTATATTAGATCCTATTTAAAAATAATATAGTCTCTAAATTTTTTGGCAAGGTTGGTTTATTAAAGAATAATAATTACAGAACTAATTTGTTATATTAACAACAAATTTTAAAATCATGAAATATAAACATTTATTAATTTTCTAAGCATGCAATGTAATGGAAGGGAAATATAAATAAAAAATTAGAAATCAAAATTATTTATATTAGGTGCTTTATAATTACTATTTAAAAATTATATTTACTTTTACTGGCATTTACTTTAAAAAATAAATTAAATATTTCTTCGCAAAAAACTACATGTAAGAGAATTAACATAAACAAAATACAAACATTGCTAACCTTTTTTTTAAATTGGCACGTGTAAAACTTTCATTTTATTTTTCTCACCCCATAGTTTGAGTTCGATAACCCCATTTACTTAACAACATTACTTAAATATGATTATTAAGTTCCAACTAATTCATATTATTAAAACATCTAAAATACAAATATGTATTTTTAAAATTAATTGTAAGTTCATCTCATCTCTGTTAAAAATTGCTACTTCGCCTAAAAATTTCCCTTTAAAAAAATGCATTCTAACCTAACCATAATATACCATATAAAATTAAATAATTGAAAGATCGGGCTACGGAAAATCACACAAATTTTCGGAAAAATTTTGACCACTGCGCACACAATCGTCAATTATTAAAAAAAACTACTATTTTAGTATTTTAAATATTTTAATAAACGAAAAAATAGCATAGTATTTACAAGGCGAAGTTATAAAAATTTGGAAGAACTAATAATGCACTGACGCACACAAAAATCAAACGAATACTAAATTTAACCATTTAGTCGCACGGCGAGGTTGTCACATATGCTTTAGTATACAAATGAATGAATGATTTTATTCGAATAAAACCATTCGATAGTTGAAATCATTCATTCAGTAACCATTCGATAGTCTAATTCATTCGATAGTTCCCATCGCTAATACAGATGGATCAAATCATTGCGCAATTGTTTCACAACTGAAAAACTGCATGTCAGTAGTTATCCACATTTCGGATCAAAACATGTACTAACCGCATAAATAGTACCGCACTTGACAAGTACTTTTTGATCCCGGACATTAAAAGATAACGAATTAATTGATATGAACATTATAATCTTAGGAAGATTATAATTATTATTTTTATGTCATATTTTATTAAGCCTGTTGAAAGAGTCCTGAAGGATTTTGATAAAGAATACCGTATGATAAAAAAAAACGGCGTCCGGTTGGCTTGGAAATGAACATCAGTGACATTCTCCATGTAATTCTACATATAAAATGAGAGCGATCTTCATTTCATAGCCATCGCTGACGCCATTTTTTTTCGATCATATTGTACAATTTACCTATGTCTTAAATTGACAGACACAACAGTCGCTGTCATGTATCCTCTCACTGGACACGCTTCATCAATAAATAACTTCATTACCTATTTAACTTTATGTTATTTTATTTGATTGTTAGATTAATAAGATGCATATATACCCAAAAAAAGCGAAGATGACAAGCTGGTGCTGAACAACCTGTGATAATAATTTACATAAATTTACATAAATCATTCAAAAATAATAATGATCTTCAGAAATCTGTCGTGTTAAGCCACACCCAAAATTCCAAACACACGTGCTTTGATTAAGGTTTGATTAAAGTTTGCAGAGCTTCAGCATTTGCTATAAAATAGCGAGCAATTTGTTATAAATCCATATAAATTATATATCACTGTAATCACACAACTTCAATCTATTTCCGTATTGTAACGGAATTTGAAGTTATGTCTTTATTTTCGAGAAAATTTAGTCCAAACATAAGGAATATTTTATTGTTGATGTTTGACTTTTTTTGTTTTTTTTCTCTCGTGGGAAGATTCCTCACGTAAAAACAAGATTTCTAATAAGATCAACATATAATAATTAATAAGATCAACATATAGGTCCGATTTTACTTTGTTTCGTAACTAAAATAGATTAGTCTTATTCATTTATTATAATTTTTGCAAGTTCTTTTAACGATTTGAATGAAGTTTTATGGATAAAAGTTACTATATAAGTTGTACTAGCGTGTACCCGAGATTTCGTTCGCTTCGAATTAATCATTTGCAATGGTGATGATAAAGCAAAGCAAGAATTTCCATTAACATACAAACTGGAAAAATCCGTTTGCCAAAAATAAGCTTTTTACGTCAAGCAGTTTAAGCAGAATCGTGGTTAATCAGTTACCCAACTTTTTGGAACACCCTGATTATGATTTTTTACACCCCATATGATTTTTTAAAAAATTTCAAAATATGTAAAAAAACAAAATAAATTATGCGTGTCTTAGCGTTTTCCCGAAAGACTAACCGTTTTTTAAATAAAAATATTGTAATATTCGAGGGGCGTTTTCACCATCTTGGAATTTGAGATTCGAGAAACCCCGCCTTATCGAACACACACAGTTAATCCGTTTGCCAAAAATCAGTTTTAAACGTCAAGCAGTTTAAGCAGAATCGTGATTACTCAATGGTCATATTTTATGAAACACCCTGTATAAATTTTTAAAAAATCTTAAAATATGTAAAACAACAAAATAAATTATACGTGTTTAAGAGTTTTCCGAAAAACTCACCGGTTTTTAAATAAAAAATATTCTAATATTTGAGGGGTGGTTTCACCCCCTTAGAATTCGAGTTTCAAATTATCCCTTCTTATCGAACCTCTACACCCTAAAGTCAATCCGTTTTCCAAAAATCAGCTTTTTACGTCAAGCGCTTTAAGCAGGATCGTGATTAATCAATTATCAGATTTTTCGAAATACCCTGTATACATTTTTTAAAAATCTTAAAATATGTAAAAAAAATAAAATATACGTCTTTAAGCGTTTTTTCGGAAACTTCACCGTTTTTTAAATAAATAATAGTGTAATATTTGAGGGGTGGTTTCACCCCCTTGGAACTGGAATTTCGAAAAATACCTTCTTATAGAACCTCTACACCCTATAATCAACCTGTATGCCAAAATTGAGCTTCTTACGTTAAGTGGTTTGAGCAGGATCGTGATTAATCAGTGAGTCAGTCACTTAAGGATTTTATATATTAGTATAGATTATACGACATATTGTAATGCTAAAAAAATGTCGACAGATAAATATGTTAACTAAACAATTTACTTTATTTTACAGATAGATAATAATGGCGCATGTTCCTCCCAATGAACTGATTTTCATATCGCCATCGAACGATAAGGTATTCCATCAACCAGGAGAACCCATCAAATGTAAATGGAGGGAATCTCTTACAACACACATTCCATCCCCACATTGTTCTCATGACTGGTAAGATGTTTATGTATTTATTAATAAACTACATGAGAGGCTACCACCGCAAAAACGGCCTAACCCCAAAAACCTTGTTTTGAGAATAAAGTTTAGTAACAAGAACGCTATTAGTTTTACTTGTGGACAATACTTTGATATTTTGCTGCAAATATTTGCCTAAAGACCTGATGAACTAAAATTTAGACGTAAGTGTATGAATAATAAATGTCGACTTCAAAAAAAAGCGAAATTGTGGATTATACCGCTTTTGATCTGGTAGCCTCAATAAGTGATACACAAAATTAGAGCAACGTACAGCAAGGTAAAACATATGCAAAGTTCAGAGGTAGGCATGCATCTGCATCACAGGAGCCATAAAAACCTGCCCCACAGCAGCAATGGTGGTCATTGTAAACACATCACTGCACATTGTCATCGGTAATCGGTAGATATGCCAATGCGAATGACTAGAATGGTTATTGACGGAAACAGTATTGAGAGAATTATAAGCTCAGGAGCTTAGAGCGCCCTCAAAAAGGAAATTCCACTTCTCAAACTCTCAGTGGATGACATACCAAGAATGTACAACTTTGAAAAACAACAAACAAACCTCAATATAGTTTTGAGCAACAAAAGAATTGGAAGAAAGAAAGGTTTGCTCAGCAGTTAAAAGACTATACCACAACGTGGTATACTGATGCTTCCAAAACCAAAGCAAGATCAGGGATAGGAGCGAGGATAGGAGTATTTTGACTCCGAAGCAATGGGCACCTACCTCAGCATCCTACAAGCAGAAATCTACGCTATCGAAAGATGTACAACTTAGAGATAGGAACTGTCTGAAAAAAGAAATATCCATCTTATCTGATATGTCAAGCAGGCTTAAAAGCGGTCAACTCAGTAACAATCAATTTGAAGTGGGTCAATGAATGCTTAGAGAAGCTGAACAAATTATACAAAGAAAATAAAGTCCTACTCACCAAGGGATAGAATGTACTGGGAAAGAAAACAATCTAGCTAGAAAAAGAGGAAACATTTTACTAACTGGATCAGGACCGTTCTGCTTCCCAAGTAGAAACCAACTCAAATCGTAACTCAAGAATCTGGAAGACTTCATCAGTAACCTGGAATGGGAATCCTGCAACGGTCTAAAGAACTCGAAAATTCTCAAGACTTACGACCGAGAAAAATCAAAGATTTCTTTGATTTAAGTAAGAACGATTCCTTGATACGGGTTAAGTTTGTTCCGATAGCATTTGGGAGCCAGATGTCCTGTTAAGAGATCTCTTTTAATCCGCCCTTTTTTACTGCTGAGCATTAGCAGTTCCTTGAATGAAAACCTTGCTATGCTTGTGTCCCTGTCTATTTCTCCAGCTAACGGTCTGCTTTTCTCTAATCCAGAGTTTTACTACACTCTAACTAAGTTATCATTCGTTTGGGTATTCCCAGTTCCTACTGGCTCTGGACCAAGATAGGATTTTGATGATGCTTGCCTTGCTGGTTCATCAAATTTTAGTTGCATCGTACCGCTGTGGCCCAACACCAAGAATAATTTAATTCTGTTCTTTTCCGTCAGTTCGAGGTTCATCCAGGCATTCCCAGAAGAGGGTCCTCGAACATATCTTTGGACTCATAGATGCCTTAAGTACCACCTGACTGAAGTGACTATCCACCTGACTATCTAGCAAATTACTGATGAGAACAAATTCTAACTTCTGATATACTGTATTAAAGAGAATTTAAAAATTACATTTAATTTTTCTATAAAGCAGTTAATATACAGGGTGGCGCACCTCATTCGCCTCGGTTGATTATACGAAAACGGAGAGATGCAGAAACAAAATATTTTATGGGTATATGTGGGAAGGTAATGTGCATAATTTAAAATTATTTTGAAATGTACAGGGTGTGTCAGAACTAAGATCAAAATTTTTAGTAAAGTCTATTTATCTGGCTTGAAAGTCAGTACACGAATTAATTCCGAAAAGTAATGTACGAGGTGATGATAAACTTTTTTATTATAATTTTAATAACTTTAAATATCTCAAAAACCAAAGCTTTTAAACATATTAAACCCTTATAATAAATGCCTTATTTTATGCCCAAGAATCCAAAAATGAAATAAAATACCGGGTGTTCCATAAGAAAAAATATAACTTTAGTATGGATCTTAGTTCTGACACACCCCGTACATTTGAAAATAATTTTAAATTATGCACATTGTCTCTCTACATATACCCACAAAAGATTTTGTTTCTCCATCTTTTCGTTTTCATATAATCAACCGAGACGAATGAAGTGCGCCACCCTGTATAAAGTATTGTTTACAAATAAAAGACAAAGTGGTTCAGATCTCCATTTTACATATTGTTTTATTATATTTTCAGGAAGCAAAAGTATCCAAAGTTAGTTTTCCCAGATGTTCTTTCCATGATCGGCAATACTCCAATGGTAAAGTTAAACAACATACCTAAAAGTGCCGGTGTGGAATGTAATATATGTAAGTATTTCTTCTATAAATTCAGGAAAAACGATTTACCAATTTTTTTAAAATAAAATATATTATTTTTATTTAACCTTTCGAGGGCTCTAACTTTTTCGGGAAGTTTTTTAGGGCATATGTTCATAGGAATGTATTGTTTTATATTTATTTGTAGAATGACCCACCCAAGTTAGGTACAGGGTATCCTACTAAGAATAGCTCTCGGCTGTATCTCGGAAAGTATTAGCCGTAGAGCATACGGAAAAAATATTTATAACTAAAGAGGCTATGAGAAATTACTGGAAATTTTTTTCAAGTTTGTAAAACGGTCGCTTGGGGGCAACTGCTATGAACTGCTATGAAAAATCGCGCAACTGCTATGAAAAATAAGAAAATAGAATTTTTACAGGATTTTGCCTAGATAATGGGTACTATAAATAATAGCTTCATAATCTTCAGTAAATTTTGGATTTTCTTTGTTAGAACTATTTTTCCCTATCTGCTAAAATGAAGTGGTGGGGGAAGGTTAGATCTATCTTTATTTAGATGTTCATAACTCCGGACTGGATGATCAGAATACAACAAACGAGGGCTCGTATAAAAGAGTGTTTCTTACTCTATATTATACCATAAAAATAAAAATACTAATGTTTTGAACGTAGACGCTAGGGGGCGCTTTCTTACAATTTAACAAACATAGCGCGTTTTTTCAAAAAAATTAAATACGATAGTATGTGTAATTTTAGCTGATAGTATTAAAAGCTTAAAAAGTCAGTGAAAACCGCATCTTGATATCTTCTTTCAAACCGAAGATATTAGCAAAATTATAATAAATACCAAAAAATAAGTCCTTAATTACCTTATTTTTACAATACGGTATCAGTAGCCCTCTTGATTATGCCCATTCTAACAAAAAAATAAGATAGAAAAAGTTAAAGTTTATTTTAAAGTCGACGAAATACCAGAATACCATAATACCAGATGTATTAATATCTAATAATTTAAACATTAATAACAGTGAACAAGAAATGATGATTGAGTGAAGTCATGGTAGGCTTTGGAAAAGTTGCTTTTCGCGTAATAGTATAAACGTCAAATTGTTATTAGATCAACATTTTGATTGTCTTAGCAGCGTTTGTTATCTTTTAATTGCTTTTTCAAAATGCCTTTATTCTTTGAAGTAGTTAAAGTTGTTGGCATTTTGAAAAAGGAATCAAAAGATAAAAAACGCTGCTGAGACTATCAAAATGTTAATCTAATAACAATTTGACGTTTACCGCGCAATGTTTGTAAAATTGTAAAACAACGCCCCCTAGCGTCTACGTTCAAAAGCTTATTATTATTGTTTTATATGGTACAATATAGAGTAAGAAACGCTCTTTTAACCAAGTCTTCGCTTGTTGGATTCCGACCATCTAGTCCAGAGTTATTAATATTTAAATAAAAACAGATCTAACCTTCCCCCACCACTTTATTTTGGTAGATAGGGGAAAATGGCTCTAACAAAAAATATTCAAAATTTACTGAGGATTATGAAGCTATTACTTATAGTACACCTTATCTAGGCAAAATTGTGTGAAAACTCCATCTTCTTATTTTTTGTTGCAGTTGCGCCCCCTGGCGGTCGTTCTACAAACTTGAAAATAATTTCCAGCGATTTCTCATAGCCTCTTTAGTTATAAATATTTTTTTCCGCAGCCATTACGGCTAATACTTTCCGAGATACAGCCGAGAGCTATTCTTAGTGGGACACCCGGTACACTATTTTTTGACACTCCGTATAATTTTTCAGATTTTTATTAGAATTATTTCAAACGAAATATCAATTTTTCAAAAACCGAAAATGTATTTTCACTTTCTATATGTTAATGTTTTTATGACAATCAATCAAAGTTATTTTATCAATTTTAGACGCAAAATGTGAATTTGTTAATCCCGGTGGATCGGTAAAAGACAGAATGGTAAAAAGAATATTCGAAGATGCTGAAAGACAAGGACTAATCAAGCCTGGAATGACTATCATAGAGCAATCGTCAGGAAATACTGGTATTGCGGTCGCACTAATCTGTGCTCTAAAGGGTGAGTATTAAGAGTCCATTTCGCCAGTCCGAAAAAGTAGCAACGTTTTATGTAAAACTGGCTAGGTATTTTTACACAAATGAAGAAGGAAATTAAAGATAAAGGATTATACTATATCTGTATTGTAGCACATTTTTAGACAAATTCTTTATATTTAAGAATTTCACGGTCAAACATCAACAAAATATTCCTTATGTTTGGACTAAATTTTCTCGAAAATAAAGATATAATTTAAAATTCAGTTACAATACGGAAGTAGATTGAAGTTTTATGATTACTGTGATATATAATTTATATGATTTTGTAACAAATTGCTCGCTATTTTATGGCAAATGCTGAAGTTCTGCAAACCTTAATCAAGCCTTAATTAAAGCACGTGTGTTTGGAATTTTGGGCGTGGCTTAACACGACAGAATCGGGCTCAGCCCTTAGGCAGATTTCTGGAATATAATATATCGTCCTATTGCTGCCAAAAGTCACTAACTAACATTTTTCCGAACAACCAAATTCAATCACTAACTATGTTTTGAAGCGGAGAATCGATTGCAAAAGTCATTAACTACGATTTCTGGCTATTTATGTTTTATTTTAATACCGAATAGTTACTAACTATAACATCTTTATGCAATGCAATTCTTCTTTAGACGCATTTTTCTCGGAAGTAATAAAAAGTAAGTTAGTGACTTTTGGCAGCAATGGGACGATATATTTTCTTCAGCCACACACCCGCTTTACCCAATCCGTGAGAGCGACCCGAACAGTATAGCCCAAGAGATGACGACATATTTAGAGAACATATTTTAGGCAAACTAGAATAACTAAAAATGTATAGTTTATTAACTGTTGAACCCAGAATCCTAAGTCTGGCTGGGGGGTTGGGGGTATTTCGCTACTGCGCAACCCATAACATTTGCAAAAAAATAAATCAAAAAAACATTCTTTAGGCAACTTGAAATTTGTTTATTCTTAAATTTTATCATCTATTTAACCTAGAAATAAGTATGCCAGATTTAAAGTGTAACCCGACCATTCCAAATATGTTTAATTATTATACCTGGAAAACATACTTTAGGCATTCTAAAATTTTTACAGCGTGTTTATTAGATGATATTAAAAAATATGTGTTAATTGCCAGACGAATTCAATGGGATTTAATACTTGCCAGACGCGAATAAAGATTTTAAATGAGCGCGATATGAAAGTCTTATGAGTATCCTATAAGCGCGAGAAAGATAGTTTATTGAGGCCCGGTCGGCAGCCGATGCGGCTGACGTAACAGCATTTTGGAGTCGTAAAAACTTAAAAAAAAACTAACTAATATTGAATAAATAAAAAGAAACATTTTTTAATAAAAATGTATGATTGAAATCCTTTCAATAAAAAGACTTTTTAATTTAAGTATTTTGTATCTGAAAGAATAAAAAGAGGAATAATTATTTAAAAATTAGCATAATATAAAATATATTTTTTTCAAACGTCACAAAAGTATAATTATTATTATACTTTTATGACATATTATATTATTATTAATTTTTGCGACCTGATAATATAAAAAAGTCATTTTAACGCCTAAGCATAAAAGTAAAGCACTTTTACTTACTTTTGAATCTATTTAGAAAGATTAACAATGGTACTTTAATAAAATTCCAGAATACTTATTTTTTAGCACTGTACATGGTACCCTTTTGTCGGGACTACGTTTTCTGGTAAAACCACTTCTTTAAATTTTAAACCATGTTGTTGGCGCACTTTTAAAAATTCTTTGCATTTTTGTAGTCTGCCTTCATCAAAAACAATAACTTTGTCACTAGTAACTTTTTTACAAACTACACAACTTAAATGTTTTTTATCCCTTGTGATTTAGTAGTTAGTAGCGAAATTAGTAGTTACTAAAATATTTATTTGCTGTAATTATTCTAAACTATTTACACTATGCACGTTAATATTTAATTTATAAATACATATTTGTACATGGTAACTTAATTCCAACAAAATAATCTCGGAATTAAAAGCCTGCAAATAATTGAAACCGAAAAAAAATTGTTTTTATGAAAATTTGAAGTACACCAAAATACTGTTACGTCAGCCGCATCGGCTGCCGACGGGTCTCAATAAACTATATCTTTCTCGCGCTTATAGATACTTATAAGACTTTCTTATCGCGCTCATTTAAAATCTTTATTCGCGTCTGGCAAGTATTAAATCCCATTGAATTCGTCTGGCAATTAACACATATTTTTTAATATCATCTAATAAACACGCTGTAAAAATTTTAGAATGCCTAAAGTATGTTTTCCAGGTATAATAATTAAACATATTTGGAATGGTCTGATTACACTTTAAACCCGAAAAAAAAGTCTGGCAGACTTATTTCTAGGTTAAATAGATGCTAAAATTTAAGAATAAACAAATTTCAAGTTGCCTAAAGAATGTTTTTTGAATTTATTTTTTTGCAAATGTTATGGGTTGCGCAGTAGCGAAATACCCCCAACCCCCCAGACAGACTTAGAATTCTGGGTTCACAAGTGATTAAACTTATTTTTTTTTGTTATTCTAACTTGCCTAAAATATGTTCTCTAAATATGTTGCCAGCTCTCCGGCTAGTACAGCGTAATAGACTCTTAAGTATTTTTTTTTGGATCTAATGTTAAAAAAATGTCTGCTAACACAAGTTCTACAAGGTAACAATATGTTAAATATTTTTAGGCTACAAATGCATAATTGTGATGTCAGAGAAAATATCCGGCGAAAAAGAAGCAGTGATAACTTCTTTGGGAGCCAGCGTAGTTCGATGTCCAGTCAACGCCCCCCTTGATGCTCCCGATGGAATGTGGGGTGCTGCCCATCGATTACGTAATGAAATTCCGAACTCCTTCATATTCGATCAAGTATAAATACAATTTTAATTTTAAAAATTAATCAAAGCTAAACTTGTATCCTTTTTTAATTTCAGTTTTCTCATCCTGGGAATCCCCTCACGCACTACGATACAACAGCGCTGGAAATTCTGGACCAACTCGATAACAAAGTCGACATGATTGTGAGTTTATCAAAATATATTTTAAAATGTGGTTGAAATATTATGTCATGAGAGTTTAATTTTTTGATTATTTAATTTTATAATAAGTTAAATGATGATGATGATATCTACCGTATGATCAAAAAAAATGGCATCCAGTTGGCTGGGAAATGACCATCGATGACATTTCCCACATAAATTTACATATAAAATGACAGCGATCTTCATTTCATAGCCATCGCTGACGCCGTTTTTTTTCGATCATATGGTACTACATCCTTCGGTGTCCTTTTCTATGACCTATATGATTGAATCTGCTCATTTATGTCAAAAAAGAATTATACATACTGCTATACATAATATAATAAATTATAATACACTGGATGTGTTTCAAAAGTGGCGCACCCCCATAACTTTTTTTATTTTTTCGGATAAAAAAAAGAGATTTGATATATTAGTATATATGACACTACAACTTTTGATTTTTAAATGGCACTCTCGGTATATTTTACTTCGATATAAAGTGGCACTCTGAATAGAAGGACATATGTGTCAACTTTTGACATTTGCTGTGTTAAAAACACGGCTGTGTCATGGCTGTGTTAAAACAAACAAATTTTTAATCTTGAAAAAATAGATTTGAACGTCTAATATTTTCCTGTCTTGTCCTGGCCGGTTAAAAGATGCCCAAATCGTATTTTTAATCATATCTCAATTTTTTTCAAATAGAACAACATTTTTTTACGAATAACTTGATACTTATTTAAGTATCATTATCTAAGTATTTACTTAGTATTTCGAGTCAAATTGTCGTTATGAACCATAAGCGAAAATGTCAAAAGTTGACGTATAATAGTCATTCTATTATTCAGAGTGTCATTTTCTATCGAATAAAGTAATAAAATACCGAGGGTGTCATTAAAAAATCAAAAGTTGTAGTCACTTCCGGTGAAACAGGAACTAAAACAATTGAATGCGTCAATCAATCCTAATTTATGTCATATATTCACATACCAAATCTCGTTTTTTTATCTGAAAATATAAAAAAATAATAAGGGTGAGACGCACCCGTTATAATATATTTGTTTTAGGTGTTTGGTGGTGGTACCGGTGGTACAGTAACTGGAATAGGCCGTAAATTTAGAGAAGTTTCACCTCACACAAAACTAGTAGGATTCGATCCAGTAGGATCAAAGTATGCATGTCCGGCAAGTCTTAACGAAACTGACGTCACGTTTTTTGAAATTGAAGGTAATGCTAAAAGACCGTATGATCGAATAAAAACGGCGTCAACGATGGCTATGAAATGAAGATCGCTGTCATTTTATATGTAAAATTATATGGGAAATGTCATCGATGGTCATTTCCAAGCCAACTCGACGCCGTTTTTTTTTCAAACATACGGTACTTATTGGTAGAATACACCAAAAGGTCGTATATAAGTAAAAACAGCCTTAAATAAGTGCAGGTATTTTTAGGGGTATGTAATACATTTCATATACATATTTTTCGCATACATATTTTTTAAAAAAATCATTTTTTATTTTAATCTGATTTTCTTTTTTTAATAGATTTTGTTTTATTTAAATCAGTTAAATTCATATCCAATATGGTTAATAACTCTCAGTTATTTTGGACTTCTTTGAAAAACGGCAAAGAAAAAATAAATTTCTTTTATCGAGATCTACCGGTCCTGAAAGTATTTGCACTTATTTTAGACACACCCTATATACAGGGTGTGCCACTATAAACTGACATATTTTGTTTACGCCTGTTTGATATTTAAAATTTTTATGTAGGAATTGGATATACAGTAGTTCCGCCAACATTGGATCAAGGTGTTATGGATTATTGGATCAAAACCACCGATTTAGAAGCATTGCCTATGTGTAGAAGACTGATGCGCGAAGAAGGTTTATTAGTAGGTAAATATTGTAACTTGATTGTAACCAAGTTATTTTTGTATTGTTTTGTTTTAAAACTTGCATTCAGAATTTTAGTTTTATAACCAATTATTTTCTCTAGTAGAGGTAGTGGTTCCTCAGCTATAGGTATGAATATTTTGTATTTTAGGCATGAGCAGTGGAGCTGCTTTAGTTGCCGCCCTCAAGGCTGCCAAAGGACTAAAAAAGGGCCAAAACTGCGTCATAATGCTTCCGGATAGTATTAGAAACTACATGACAAAATTTGTGTCCGATCGTTGGATGGACGCCAAAGGATACCAACCGTGCGAAAATAAATACAACGTTTGGTAGGTATTAATTATTTTTTGCTTGACAGTTTTCTTTTATAAAAATGCATATCAGCAAAACATTTTTTTTTTCGGTAAAGAAAATGCTTTAATAATATTCTGACCACAGCCTGTTCATACCCAGCATGTCGACCTCCCATCATTTGCTTGGAAGTCTTGGAAGTACTGCTGACATCATCATTATCAGCTTGTTCAACTATTTCCAATTACAGTGTAGTCTCCCTCACATACTCTCTTTGTACTTGGGCCCATTGTTATCTATTGTTGGTTATACGGGCCCAAGTTATCCCTGTTAATTTCCTAATATCATTGTCCCATCTCAGGTTCGGTCTTCTTCTAGGTCTCTTAATTCCTCGTGAGTACCGCTGTAATTTTTGTGGTCCATCTGTTGTCCGTTCTTCTTGGCAGGTGTCCTGCCTATTGCCATTTGAGGGATTTGATTCTGTGGATGACATGTATTACTTGGGTGTTTTGTCGTATCCACTCTATTCTTTTACGGTCTCTCTTGGTTATTCCCAGCATATTTCGTTCCATTAATCGTTGTGCGATCTGCAGTTTCCTTATGATGTCCGTTTTAAGTGTCCAGCTTTCGCATGCATAGGTCATGACTGATAGTAGGTACACATTGGTCGAATGCTTTCTTCTTTAGATAGAGTGGAATTCTAGATTTGAATATGATTGGGTTTCTTCCATAAGTATTCCATGCTAACTTAATTCTTCTATTGATTTCTGGTAGTAGAAATCCCAAGCTGTGTATTAGTGGTCCCAAATATATATATATATATATATATATATATATATATATATATATATATATATATATATATATATATATATATATATATATATATATATATATACCGTATGATCGAAAAAAACGGCGTCCAGTTGGCTGGGATGACGATCGATGACATTTCCCATATAAATTTACATATAAAATGACAGCGATCTTCATTTCCCAGCCAACTGGACGCCGTTCCTCGATCATACGATATATATATATATATATATATATATATATATATATATATATATATATATATATATATATATATATATATATATATATATATATATATATATATATATTTTCTTCTACGGCTGACGACTGCTGACATATATGAAGGAAAACAGGCGCGACCTGTGAAACATCTGCCTGCGAATACGCAAGAACAAGCGTAGATGGTCAACTGGTAGTGAGTAAGCTGTGATTCTGACGGTCTCTGAAAATCGTAGAATAATTAAACATAAACAAAACATACATTTTTAGCTCATTTTATCCCATTATAGACCAGTATACATGTATTATGTCTTAACTTACGACCTAAAATTTTTGACGTTAATTTTCATTCATACAAAACATTTTTTTTGTATAAATAACATATAGACATTCGTAATGCAATAATTTTAAATAATAGTATATTGTTTTATTAAGGGTAAAAGTAAAAATGACACTTTTTGTGGCGAGACTGTACCTTTGATTTGGCATACAGGCGAGTCACAAAAAGTCATTTTTTACTCCTAATAGAACATGCTATTTTTTTTTCAAACGCCACAAATAATTTTTTAAATATGTAATTTCAAACGTTCCAAATAATATAAAAAAAAATAAAAGTAATAGCTTCTATGTACCTAATTATATATTGAGAAACTATGGTTACGCTAGTTGAATTTGACACTTTATGTCAGCTTAATAATATATTTTCGTACTTTTGTGCTTAGGCGTAAAAGTGCTTTACTTTTATGCCTAGGCGTTAAAATGATTTTTTTATATTGTCAATCATGTCAATACTTTTGTGACGTTTCAAAAAAAAACTGTATTAACATCAGAAGTGTGAACAAAAAGTGTTTCCATTTGTTTTCTTTTGAATAAAAAAATTCTATAGATAGCTTTGTTTTATATTTAAAAAAAAAATTAAAATGAAGATGATTAATTAATTTGATCCTGCAGTATATTTGATAAAAAATATCATAATACGTTTATTTATTTATTTACAAATTATTTTTTGTTTCTTTTGTTATAGGTGGTGGAATCAGAAAGTGTCAGACATAAAATACAACACTCCTCTTATTGTAAACACTACTGATTCTCTGGAAAAAGCTTTGAATTTATTACAATCACAAAAACGGAACGAAGCGGCAGTTGTAGAATCCAACAGGTAAAACTTTAAACCCTATTTAGTTTTAATTCTTTTCAACCACTTATCTGTACATATTTACTATCCTCCATTCATGCAATTGTGCAGCTCCGAACTGTTCAAGAACGCGATGCTCTCACTCCATTCAAATGAGTCATAAAGTTCAGAACTATTCCGCGCCATATGGCGGCACCAGGCTATCGCGCACAGCTCCTTTCAGAACCGTTCTCGAGTAACCCAGAGCGTGAAGCTCTGGAACTTGAAATTCGTGAATGGAGGGCAGCAATTTACTGTCCTCCATTCACGCAGTTGTGCAGCTCTGAACTGTTCAAAAACACGATACTCTCACTCCATTCAATTAGGTCAAAAAGTTCAAAACTGTTCCGCGCCATATGGAGGCACCAGTCTATAGCGCACAGCTCCTTTCAGAACCGTTCTCGAGTAGGCCAGGGCGTAAAGCTCTGGAATTTGAAATTCGCGAATGGAAGACAGCAAATGTCTTGCCTGTCAGACTTACCTGCTTCTGCTTAGTTAAAACGTATGAGAGCTTTTTCTGACCTATAGATCACGAAAAAGAACGGTGTCCTGTTTTGTGGAAATGACGATTGATGACATTCCCCATATAATTTTACTTACAAAATGACATCGATCTACATTTCCAGGCCATCGCTAACAAAGTGTTTTTTTCTATTGCATTGTATTTATCATTTATAAACACTTTATGTTTTATTGCAGAAATCTAGTAGGCACAGTAGACATTCCAACCATACAAAACAAAATCCTATCGCAAACCCTTAAACCTAGCGATCCAGTTGACAGGTGTACTAGCAGAATTTTGCCAAAATTGACAAAAGATTCGATTTTAGGCAGAGCCTATCGCATAATTGAGAACGACCACTTTGCGATTGTAATCGAAACCACTGGTAAATATAGAAAAAATCTTTATTTTAGAATTTTTTAGTAAATGTATTATTTATTTTGTTATAGGTAGTGGTGGTAATAAAATTGAAACACCGATAGGCGTGATATACGGAGAAGATATATTCAATTATGCTGCTACAAAACAGAATTAATTTTATTATACATTTTTTTTAATAAAAATGAAAGTAAAAATATGGTTTTTGTTTTTTCTTTCACTGTACTATATTCTACTCCCATCTCTACATAAATTTTAGTAGATATATTTTCTAACTTCAACAATGACTTTTTTGTAAAATGCGGTAAAATGTTTTTTTCTAGTATTTCCTACATTTTTCGTCTCTTATAAAAAAGGAATATTGGCTTATGGAAATTGCCAAATCGCCCGACGCTAACGGACAAACGAAGCACTTTTTATCTTGATTCTAAAAATATGTAGTTTTTTTTTTGTTCGCGGGATATTGAGACACTCTGTATGTAAATTGACGAGAAAATTTATTATATATCGATATATTAAAGCTCAATCCTACACCGTCCTCAAGAGTAGGAATGTGCATCCAGTTTATGTGAACTATGATCTCTATCTGTAATCTGTAGGTCCACTTAACATTATTGTTCAGTGGGCCTACTACTCATAACATTACAACATAACCTATATGAAAAACATTATTTTGATTTTGATATGATTTGTTAAAAAAGAATTTCTGAAAAGAATACAAAAGCTAAAAGTTGATTTAAGTAGTTTGAATTTTTCTTTTGATAAATCATGCCCTGTTGTGCGGTAAAAAGCTGTAAGAATCATCCAAAATTCTTACCACAAAATAGCCAAATTATTTTTCATTCGTATGTATCTAAACAAATGGTTTAAAATAAACATATGTATACGTTTCACTTTACTTTTAAGGTTCCCCAAAGAGGATATCTATAAAGAATGGCTCAAATTAGTCAATCGGACTGTAGAAAACTGGGATGGTCCAAAAGGCAAAGTAGTATGCTCGGAGCATTTCAAAGAATCAGATTACTATACGTTTTTCGGGAAAAAATGTCTCCGTCCGAACGCATTGCCTTCGGTCAAATTGGATCCAGTTATAAAAATAACTATGAACTTAACAAGGGGCCCGTTGAGAAGAATACCAGTTCAAAGAGCTCGAAACAAAATGAGACATAATCCTCTAATGACACCTTCACTTTTAAAATCCAGACCTTTAATAAGGAGACCTATTTATAGAATACTTGCAAGAGCAGAAAATATTATGAACAACAGGTATTAATGTAATGTCTAGATGCAATATATGTATTAAGTATTTTTTTATGTTTATAGTATTAATATTATTAACAGAGAATTTGGTATGAATTTAACAAAAGAGAGTGTTCTAGCGTCTATAGATAAAAATGGAGAAGATTTAAAACAAGTGAAGAATAGTGAGCCAGAGGTCAGGTAAAAATACGTAATAAATTAAGGCACCAGGGATTTTACTTTTTTATTGCGTGGTTCGTTGCATGTTCGTTGTACAGTGATAATATACATACTGGGTGATTCAGTGTTCTGAAAAAGAATCTCCCTATCTTTAACTCATAGTACCTGTATAGAGGTACATACATTTATACAAGAATAATTTATACAGGCTGATATGTATGGAAACGATTGATTATTGGGCAAAGTATATAAGATCTCGCAAAAAGTTGAATACGAAAGTTATAGGGTTTCAATGCCTAACATTTTGTGATAAATTTAAAGAAGTATTCAGGGTCGGTCATAAAGTCGTGGCAACTCAAAGATTCATTTTTTTAAATGGAACCCGTTCCATTTTAAGCAATTGTAATACACATAATGTACCTAAAACCAACCGTTTCCAAGATATCGAGTTTTAGTTTTAAAATGTTAAACAAAAATTTTGTAATTTCCAGATTTGATATAATCTCATTTTATACATCTATAAATGCTAACTTGAAAACTAATGTTAAATATGATTAACTATCATAGTTTTCGTAGAATGGCATTGTTAAATGACATTGAAACTAATTAAATCGAATTGTTTAAGTGATATTTTCAAAAGTCAATAATTCAAAAACGGTTGGTTTGAGGTACATTGTGTGTATCTCTGTTTTTGCTTAGAATTGAAGGAAGAATTGAAATATACAATAATATACAGGGCTTCCGTTTAAAATAATGAAACATTGATATGCCACGACTTTATAACCGATCCTGTATACTTTAATATATTACTCGCCAATAGACATTTAAAAACCCTATAACTTTTATATTTAACTTTTTGCGGTACCTCGTATATTTTACTCAATAATCGACCGTTTCCATCCTGTATATACAGGGTGTTTCAAAAAACATGTGCCATCTCTCGTGACGAGATTCCTCACGTAAAAATAAGATTTATTTTTCATATCAATATTGATCCGATTCTGCATTAGTTCGTAGCTACAGGGTGTTAAAATCCTAATATTTTTTCGATTTATTATAATTTTCTTCCAAGTACTTCTAGCGTTTACAATGAAATTTTGAGGGTGATACTATAAATGCGACATATTTTAAAGCTAAAAAAGTGTCGACATATTCACCAGATACGTGAATATGGGTTATCACTGGAATATTTTTTCTAAAAAAAGCATGTCCGCCACTGACTTTTTTCTCTTGTTAGCGAAATAGTGTAAGCCGAGGTGTAAGCAGTTTAAAGTCGTTTAAATGTTGTCTCTTGATATTTTGTCGATTTCGGCCTCCTTGATGAGATAAACGCAATTTTATTAACTTGCCTTTATTCAAGTCTAATAGCAACCTTCAAAAAAAATGAATATCGTTAACTTGCGAAAGTTAAGTACTCATTGGTTCCTCGTCAAAAAATATGAAAATAAGTACCTATAAACATGGGTATGGAAATCATAGTTTTAGAGTTACAGGATGTTAAGGTTGGGTTAATAGTAATATTAACTAATAGTAATAATATTTAATAATAAATTAGGTAAAATATATAATTTATTAATTTTATTAATTGTGATTAATATTCTGATTAATTCTACAAAATATCAAGAGACAACTTTTAATTGGCTTAAAACGGCTTACACAATTTAGATATCAAAAGAAAAAAATCTGTGGCGCACATGTTTTTTTTTTAAATATTCCATTGATAACCCATATGCACGTCCCTGATGAATTTATGGACACTTTTTTAGCATTAAAATATGTAGCACTTAGAGTAACTTTTACCCTCAAAATTTCATTCGAATCGCTAAAAGTACTTGGAAGAAAATTATAATAAATCGAGAGATAATTAAGTTTTTAACACCCTGTAGCAAAATAAAAACACTCACTTTTACTTTTACACTGGACGCGCGTTTCGCTAACCATATTAGCATCATCAGCAGATGATTATAAACTAAAGTACAATCTACAAGTTGAGCGTTTATATACTCGCCCAGTGGGCACCGAGTGGGCGTAGCAAAATCTAGCCAACCGAGTCAGAACCCACTCAGCGTAACAGTTAGATTTCCGCCACTAGAGTAGTAGGAACAAAGAACTTGAAGGAATTGGATCGTTGTCTCTGTTCATACTATCTTTACATTTATTAATTCTGATGCTTTCATAAGCATCTAATTGCCTGTAATTTGAGACTTTTTTAATTAATTTTAAATTATTAAGATCTATACAATGTTCTTTATCAACAATATGTTCGGCAACGCAAGATTTATCCGGTCTACCATATCTTATCTGAGCTAAATGTTCTTTAACTCTAGTTAATATTGATCTTCTAGTTTTCCCAACATATTTCTGATTACAATCTTTACAAGAAACTTCATAAATACCCGACCTTTCCAGTGGACGTGTTTTATCTTTTGGATTACCTAATAATTGTTGTAATTTATTATTAGCACTATACACAAGTTTATAATTGACATTCTTAAAAATTCCTTTTAGGCCACGGGATAACTCTCTATCAAACGGTATCGAAAAATATTTAGACGTATCTTTCTCCACTTGAAAAGTCGAATTTTCAGAAATCATTAACCTATTTCTACCTACCTTTTCTAATTAATTTATCAACTAGTGAAGGAGAATATCCATTACACTCAGCTACATTCCTAATGTAATCTCTTTCTATTTCATATCTTTCATTGGAAAGTGGAAAACTAAGTAATCTATGAACTAAGAAATTTAAACTAGCCATTTTATGTTCAACACTATGATGTGATTCATTAGGAATATATCTGCGTGTGGTCGTATTTTTCCTATAGATATCAAATTCCAGGCAATTATTAGTATTTCTAATAACTAATACATCTAGAAATGGTAATCTGTCGTTGTTCTCAATTTCATGCGTAAATTTAATGGAAGGAAAACGATTATTTAACTTAGAAATAAAATTATCTATGGTGGCTGAATGTGTGTCAAAAACAGCAAAAATTACGAAAATCGAGCCAATTGAAAGATTCAAATAAATAATATCCAGCTCAGCAATTTAAAGATATTATTGTTAACTTTTTTTATTGTGAATTTGAAATTCTCAGTATACGATCTAACAATATGCATAATATTAATCGTAGTTATTATAAATAAATCACTTTCTACAAACTAGTTTCTAATGCTCTACATGTTCGAAAGGGTTATTACCACCTTGTCTATTGCACAAATTTATTATTCTTTCAATTTTATTTATAGCTCTTTGAACATATCTTCTTCTTATACTTCCGAATGCATTTTTACTCTTTATTGTAAATGTTGAAAAATATTGATTTCAGTTTTACAAATGACGTCTGGTAATGCAATTATTTTTTTTTATTGAATTTGATTTTTCGTATTCAATGTTTTACCCCACGTCATAGTTAAATTTGAAGGCTTATCCATATTATTAACATTATCAATATGGTAACGATGAATAATTTAAATATTTAAAAAACAGAGCCGGACTTGAAATTAGTTTAAATAAATTTTATGTTTAAATGTCTGAAACAAAAAATAAGTATAAAGTGTGGCATATCATTGTACTCAGGAGACTGAGTTCTTTCAAAATCTGAAATAAAAAATGCAGGTCCGTATTCAAAAAAATTAAGTCGGCCTCTGTATCTCACAAATTATCAGCTAATTTCTAAAATCTAAAAATACTATCAGATAGCCCTAATAAAGTGGCTATGAGAATATGCAATTAGTTTTTTGATTTTCTAAAAACTAACGACAGGAAAAAATAAAATTGATTTTCAAAAAAATCCGTTTTTTTTTCAAAAAACTCAGCAAACCTTGAAATTTTTAAAACTTTTTTGATGGCATTTTGATGAACATCCCAAAGGCACAACTTTGCCCCAATTTAACCATGTTCGTATCTATTACGGTTACCGAGATACCAATGCTCGTACCTCGAATTTGTAGCACCCTGTATACATATTATATTATTATATTTTTTTTATGTAACATTTACTAAGGATTTTATTTATAGTATTGATTTAACAGAAGACAATCCGGAGGTAGAGGAACAAGTAGAAACAGTACAACAAATAGAATTACCAGTGGAACAAAGGTAAAATATAATAACTAAAATTCCTGAATGTACCTGTATCTGTACCCTAGAAGCAAACTATGCTAAGTCCAAAGTTGGGGGCGCATATTTGAGATACAGGGGTCCCAATATTCCGTGGACATAGAACTACTACGTATTTTTGAAATCAAAATAAGTTCATTGGACAGTGTTTAGCTCTATACAAAAGTGCTTTGTTTGGCCGTTAGAGGGCATCAAACATTAAATATATCATTTTTTTTTTCAAATATTTTAAGAACCGTTATTCCGATTTGAATAAGATTTTGTTTATTTTAATATACAAATTATGTTGTCATACAAAAAATTTTGGTATTTGTAATTGTATTGGTAAGTTATTTAAAAAACTGTTTTACATTTCGTTTAAGTTCAAAATAAATTGTTCATATACCAAATATTACAATCATAGGTTTAAAAATAACCGAGTAATTAGGAAATAATTTTAAAAAAGAACTTTAAATTCGTTGTTCTCAAAACTATGTTTGGTCACTGGTCAACATAGTTTGCTTCTGGGGTACAGATATACATTTTCACAAGAATAATTTATATTTTTTTGATGAACAAAATGTGGTATTTACGAAGTATTTTATTTATAGTATTGATCTAACACAAGATGATCCAGTAGTGGAAAATGTACAACAAACAGTACAACAAATAAAATTACGTGTGAAACCAAGGTAAAATATATCTAGTAATAAAAAAATTTCATTGTTGCTACTGTAAAAAATTACTAAATTTGCAAATCTATAATTATGAGTAGGGTTGCCACCTGTCCCTTTTTGAAAAAGTCAGTCCTTTTTTGGAACAAATCGTCCTTTTAACTTTTTTTGACCTAAAATGTCCTTTTATTTACGTATTTTTACTGAGAAAATTATCTACAGCAACCAGCAATATTCCTTCCGTCCAAATGTAAAGACATTTTGATAAAAAGTCATTTGTTAGTGATGGGATCACTCGAGCGAAAATTCGCTCGAGTACTCGATTGTTGAAATAACCGACATCGCTCGATTATGAACGAGCGATGCAGGTGACGAGTACCAAGCGACGAACGCAAACGATCCTAGAATGAAATAAATTGAAATCCGATTTTAATGTGACCTACTCGATAAAAAGCCGAGCGAATTTTCTACATACATTGCAGGTAGCAAATTTATACGACGCCGTATATACCGGGTGCGTCTCAAAAGTGACTCACCCCTATTACTTTTTTATTTCTTTAGATAAAAAAATGAGATTTGGTATGTTAGTATATGACATAAATTAGGATCTATTGACGTATTCAATTGTTTTCTGTCACTTCCTGTTTCACCGGAAATGACTACAATTTTTGATTTTTAAATGACACCCTCGGAATATTTCTACTTTTTATTCGATAGAAAATGACACTCTGAATAGAATTACATATCATGTGTCAACTTTTGACATTTTCACATATTTATTTGAAATTATAACATGCGGACAACTTTTGACATATTCGCTTAAAAACAAATTGTAAATTTTAAATTTCAATCTAGAGTGTCATGGCTGTGTTAAAAACACTAATTTTTAATCAAGGAGCCTTGGAAAAATAGATTTGATCGTCTAATGTTTTTAGTGTCTTGCCCTGGCCGGTTAAAAGATGCCCAAATCGTATTTTTGATCATATCTCAATTTTTTTCAAATGGAACGAGGGTGGATCATTAGCATATTTCGAAAAAGAATTTTTTTACGAATAATTTGATACCACACACTTGGTACTTCGAGTCAAATTGTCGTTATGAACCGCATGTTACAATTTCAAATAAACCATATGCGAAAATGTCAAAAGTTGACATGTGATATGTCATTCTATTCAGAGTGTCATTTTCTACCGAATAAAGTAAAAAAATACCGAGAGTGCGATTTAAAAATCAAAAGTTGCAGTCATTTCAGATGAAATCAGAAGTCAATTAATATGTCAATCAATCCTAATTTATGTCATATACTAACTTACCAAATTTCGTTGTTTTATCTGAAAAAATAAAAAAGTTATAGGGGGTGATCCAGTCTTGAGACGCACCCGGTATATTTATCCGTTGCGTATCTGAGCGACAAAATTTTACGACCTACATCGACAATGCTTCGAAATAAACTAAATCAAGCGAATCGCTCGCCGCTTACTACTTGCCGTTCATTACCGAAAGAATATGTGCCATAGACTTAAAATAAAATATAGGCTACACTATTTACATCTAAACGCGGTCAAACAATCTTTTTTGTACACATGTTTACTTCTGGGTACAGTCGACCGAGCCTTCCTCATCCAGCCTATGTTGTCACGTCTTTAATATTATCAATATTTTTTTTCTTGTTATACACATATATTGAGATATTAATACTACAGTTTAATAAAGTAGGTTTAATATTCCATAGATGTATTAAATAGTCCTTATACTACTAAATTATAAGTGGGATACTGTTTAATAAGGATAAGTTCCTTACAATATGACAACACCGATTAGAGGCGAGGGAGCCTATTCATTCATTTATTACCTTGTAGTACGTGTCGCACGTGTGCGGTAAAGCTTTGTTGCCGCTATCTCCCCGGCTGTATTAACGCATTTTCTTAGCTTGTAGTCCTTAAGTGTTTATTTTATTGACTTTTTTGAAATATAAAATATGGTTCGCCAGTGTTGTTCGCCAAATTTGACTTAAATAATCCATTTAAGTCTTGAAACGACTTTTGACCGGTAGGCAACTCTCAATTTACCCATTGGGAGTCAGTGGCGTTGTTGTAGAAAGGCGCTTATTTAGATAATATTTTAGTAAAGTCTGAATTTTTTCTCTTACATTACATTATTTACTTACTTACATTGTAACAAAATCATAATTATAACCCTGTTAATAATTAATAATGTTTTTATTAAAAATATATTCCGGTTTATTCTAAAATTATCTTCAGAATCTAAAATAACATACAAGAATTTTAAAATGATATTACATTATGAAACAATATTTTTAATATACCGGGTCGTCTCAAAAGTGGCTCACCCTATAACTTTTATTTTTTCAGATTAAAAAAAACAGATTTGTATGTTAGTAGGTATATGACATAAATTAGGATTTATTGACGTATTCAATTGTTTTTGGTCTCTTCCTGTTTCACCGAAATGATTACATCTTTTGATTTTTAAAGGCACCCTCGGTATATTGCTACTTTATTCGATAAAAAATGACACTCTGAATAGAATGACATATCCTATATCTACTTTTGACATTGTCGCTTAAAAATATATCCTATTTTAAATTTCAATCCAGGGTGCCATGGTGTTGTTAAAAACACTAAGTTTTAATGAAGGAGCCTTGGAAAAATAGTTTTGATCGTCTAATAGGTTTCGTGTCTTGTCTAGGCCGGTTAAAAGATGTACAAATCGTATTTTTAATCATACATATGTCAATTTTTTCAAATGGAACAAGGGTGACTCATTAGCATATTTGAAAAAAGCATTTTTTTATGAATATATTGATACCACACACTTGGTATTTCAAGTCAAATTGTCGTTATGAACCGCGTGTTACAATTACAATTAAACCATATGCGAAAATGTCAAAAGTTGACATATTATATGTCATTCTATTCAGAGTGTCATTTTCTATCGAATAAAGTAGAAATATACGAGGGTGCCGTTTAAAAATTAAAAGTTATAGTCATTTCCGGTGAAACAGGAAGTGACCAAAAACAATGGAATGCGTCAATCAATCCTAATTTATGTCATATACTAACATGCTAAATCTTGTTTTTTTATTTGAAAATATAAAAAAATTATGGGGGATGAGCCACTTTGGGACGCACCCGGTATAATAAAGACAGCACCGAGTTAAATAAATGTAGTTTTTTCATTTTATCCACTTCCTATCATCTTCCTTGCTTTAATGGAACAGATTTATGTTTTCTCTAATTTACATAAGACATCATCACTTAACCAGAAAAAAATTACAACAATCATATTTTTTTCTCTCCCTGTCGCCGATTCTATTATATCTGTGGAATAGATCCTGTTTTGATTAATATTAGGGGTTGTAAATGTTTGACTAAAATTAATAATTTATTATTAATTTCAAAAATTACGTAATTTTGATTATAAAATTTCTTCTATAACGTGTATTTTATTATTTTTATCCTTTTGGACTCTAAGACGTTTTTTCTAAACTTTTATTTAAAAAACCTGTCCTAAATCTTAATAAAATATAAAAAGTTTAAATACGATATATTTTTAATTTAATTATAGCTTCATTAAAATAAAAAAATTACCCGGCTATGAGACGGAGAGTTCAGGTGTACTTGAGAAACGAAAGACAGTGTTGTGTTTCTCGGCAGAGTCGTCAGGGAACGACCGTTACGACAGAGACAACCTATCTATCGCTCGTGTCGCACTTGTTATAACCTAAAAAAATAACACAACAATAACAAGATATTGTCTGACCGCATGTTCCAGCTATTTATGAATGAGATGCTCAGTCTATATTTTATTTTAAGTCTATGGTTTTAACTATTTTGAAGAGCAATAAATTTTCGTCCGTACCTGTATAAAACTACTGGATGAAAAAATATACATTTCCGTGATTTTTTACTTAAAAAATATCTCTTGGTAAAAATCGCTACCAGCAACCGTTCTCAAGATATTTAGAATGGAAACAGTCAATACATGTCATTATTTACAAAAAATAAACATGTCGTGTAGATAGTTATTTGACTGAAATGATAAATTTGGGGATTTTTAATTAATCATAAATTTATCTTCGAAAAAATGATAATAAAACAGTTTCTGTTGAACTTTTGGCACAAAAACATTTCAAATTTATGATTTCAGTCTAATAATTATTTAGTCAACATATTTAATTTATGTCAATAACAACAGGTACATATTGATAATTTCGATTACCAATATCTCGAGAACCATTACTTGTAGCGATTTTTATCAAGAGACCTTTTCTACGTAAAAAACGTCACAAATGTATATTGTTTACTCAGTACTTTTATACAGGTAGGGGCGAAAAGTTATTACCCTTCAAACCAAGTAAAAAATATGTACGTGGCGCCCTCTACAAGTAGGAGACATATTGACATCAAAATCAAATTTCTCATGTCAAAAACTCACAGACACCAATTTTCATCCAATGACGTTATTTCAGAAATTAGTTGGAAAAAATCGAAATAAAATTGAAACTTCTACACCCTGTATCCAAAACTAAGCATTTTAGGACATACATTTATACGAACTTTTTTACTTATCTTTATCTGCAGAATATGCTGCCAAAGTTTCCGGAATACAGTTCGGACCACCCTATATATTATAAAACTTTATGTGATAAACAAAAACAAATGTCAAACCACTATCAAATTTTTTGATAGTGGTTTGACATTGTTTTTTTACAAAGGTGCCCATTTTGAGAAAACTAAACAATTTTTTGTAGGTCCGTTTTACTAGCATCACCGAAATCCAAAGCACCCACAGAACCAATACAATTTAATGAAGGAGCGTTATTGACTAATGTGCAACAATCACAAACTGTCAATTTAATCCCAAGGTAACTATATTTACAGGGTGACCCATTTATCTAGAAAAATTCTTATCAAGTTCTCTGATATTTTGATTTACCTCCTTTTTAAATGTTCTGCTATATCTTTACTTTTTAGTAAATACATTTTAAAAGCAGTTAAAAGAACAATTTAATTATATGCATTATTGTAAAGTCGGAGAGATTGACTTGAGCTGGGCGCTGTAATATAGTGCACCAGCTTTCCGCTTATTGTTGAAGTCTTATTGCTTTGTGAACTTGTGCCATTGTAGCCGGTAGAGGTCATTAACAACCGCTTGCGTGAAGCGAGAATGTCTCCTTTCGAACCATAGAACTATTTCTTGAGGGTCTATTATGTCTCTTATTTAGCTAGTGATCATATTTATATTAAACCGAAACAAGAAATAAATACTCGTACTCACGTTTGTGAAATTAATAGATTGCGGCGACTTTAAAAGGTTTAGAAAAAATGATGTAAAAAGATGGTAAAAATTAAAAAGAAAACCGCAGCGTACGGCTGCTCTTCGTGTGGTGAACAATAGGTGTAGGTTTATTTAATTGTTTTTGCATATTGTAGGGCACCACTTAATTTAAGCCAAGTGAAGGCGATATTTAAAAAAAAATTAAGAAAATTGCCACAGGGCTAAAGATGTTCTGTAATGATCTTTCTCAAATTAAAACAGCAAAATTTAATTAAAAACTATGTACATTTATTAATAATAATTAAATAGGTTGAAACTCCAGTTTGAAAATTAATAAGGAAAAAAGTAGTCATTAAAAAAATATACAATAAATTAATGTTATTTTAATATATTGAAAATTAAATTAAATATTACCAAATATAAATTACCAAACATAATCGTTGTGTTTAAGTTTCATTAAATGGTTTTAATAAAAAGGTAGAACATGCTTGCTTCATCCACGTTACCGTAGATGGAGCTGAAAGTTTTGGTAGGGTATATATAAACACAAAATACAAGAAGCGGAAAAGGGGCCAAAAAGGTAGAAAGTTGAGAAAAAGAGCAAAAAATTCTAAAACAAAACATAAATGAGTACTTAGCATTTGCTCTGAAGCTGTAGTCAATTAGGGTTGATTTCGTATCGTACTTGGGCCCATATCCATGATGTAACTGCTCCAAACCATCAGAAAACTTCAAAAATTACTGCACAAAGGGGGAAACTCGCCAGTTCACACCACCCTCCAACAGGGAACCTTCACGGAACCATTCAGAAAACTGCTCAAAAAATTCGGCTCAACAAAAATACTGCTGCTCTTAAAATCTTCTGAAAAAAACCTCCCAAAATCTTCGCAAAAAACTCCTCCAAAATGTTCTCCCAAAATGCCAATTCTTCCCCTTAAGACGGTAAAGGACACAAAACGCAGGGTTATTCTCCGCCACATAGGATGTACAAAAACTTTTCTAAGAAGATGAAAACCACTCTGGGACTCACCGTTGTTGAAATGGAAGTGTCGAAAAATCCGAGTAAATCTTTAAAATTCTGACAAAGATTATCCTCTGAAGACAAAAAGCAAACACACGCCAAACTGTGCTCGAAATATACAACGTTCAGGAAAGTTATCAATAAATTTAAGAATAATTTAAACTAATAATATAAATGGCAACCCTGCGCTACCACATCGAACGGCACTCACGGTATTCCCAAAATTGCAGAGGTGCAAACTAGGGAAGGGCATTATTTTACTTAAATTCAGCTAGAGATGTACCGCAAAAATAAGAAGTGAATTTCTTGAATAGCATACGTTATATCCACAACTTACAACTCGTTCTCAAAAAAATTACGATTACATTATTTTTAAACTTTTGTGAGAAGTATATTTTCGCAAAACGGTGAAAACCAATGGTGCAACTTTAAAAATATTGTATCGACTAGCGAATGCTCGTGTTACATTTATTAATAATAATTAAATAGGTTGAAACTCCAGTTTGAAAATTAATAAGGAAAAAAGTAGTTATTAAAAAAATATACAATAAATTAATGTTATTTTAATATATTGAAAATTAAATTAAATATTACCAAATATAAATTACCAAACATAATCGTTGTGTTTAAGTTTCATTAAATGGTTTTAATAAAAAGGTAGAACATGCTTGCTTCATCCACGTTACCGTAGATGGAGCTGAAAGTTTTGGTAGGGTATATATAAACACAAAATACAAGAAGCGGAAAAGGGGCCAAAAAAAGGTAGAAAGTTGAGAAAAAAGAGCAAAAAATTCTAAAACAAAACATAAATGAGTACTTAGCATTTGCTCTGAAGCTGTAGTCAATTAGGGTTGATTTCGTATCGTACTTGGGCCCATATCCATGATGTAACTGCTCCAAACCATCAGAAAACTTCAAAAATTATTGCACAAAGGGGGAAACTCGCCAGTTCACACCACCCTCCAACAGGGAACCTTCACGGAACCAGTCAGAAAAACTGCTCAAAAAAATTCGGCTCAACAAAAATACTGCTGCTCTTAAAATCTTCTGAAAAAAACTCCTCCCAAAATCTTCGCAAAAAAAACTCCTCCAAAATGTTCTCCCAAAATGCCAATTCTTCCCCTTAAGACGGTAAAGGACACAAAACGCAGGGTTATTCTCCGCCACATAGGATGTACAAAAACTTTTCTAAGAAGATGAAAACCACTCTGGGACTCACCGTTGTTGAAATGGAAGTGTCGAAAAATCCGAGTAAATCTTTAAAATTCTGACAAAGATTATCCTCTGAAGACAAAAAGCAAACACACGCCAAACTGTGCTCGAAATATACAACGTTCAGGAAAGTTATCAATAAATTTAAGAATAATTTAAACTAATAATATAAATGGCAACCCTGCGCTACCACATCGAACGGCACTCACGGTATTCCCAAAATTGCAGAGGTGCAAACTAGGGAAGGGCATTATTTTACTTAAATTCAGCTAGAGATGTACCGCAAAAATAAGAAGTGAATTTCTTGAATAGCATACGTTATATCCACAACTTACAACTCGTTCGCTAAAAAATTACGATTACATTATTTTTAAACTTTTGTGAGAAGTATATTGCAAAACGGTGAAAATGGTGCAACTTAAAATATTGTATCGACTAGCGAATGCTCGTGTTACATTTATTAATAATAATTAAATAGGTTGAAACTCAGTTTGAAAATTAATAAGGAAAAAGTAGTTATTAAAAAATATACAATAAATTAATGTTATTTTAATATATTGAAAATTAAATTAAATATTACCAAATATAAATTACCAAACATAATCAGTTTAAGTTTCATTAAATGGTTTTAATAAAAAGGTAGAACATGTTGCTTCCATCCACGTTACCGTAGATGGAGCTGAAAGTTTTGGTAGGGTATATACATAAACACAAAATACAAGAAGCGGAAAAGGCCAAAAAAGGTAGAAAGTTGAGAAAAAAGAGCAAAAATTCTAAAACAAAACATAAATGAGTACTTAGCATTTGCTCTGAAGCTGTAGTCAATTAGGGTTGATTTCGTATCGTACTTGGGCCCATATCCATGATGCTGTAACTGCTCCAAACCATCAGAAACTTCAAAAAATTATTGCACAAAGGGGGAAACCTGCCAGTTCACACCACCCTCCAACAGGGGAACCTTCACGGAACCAGTCAGAAAACTGCTCAAAAAAATCTCGGGGCTCAACAAAATACTGCTGCTCTTAAAATCTTCTGAAAAAAACTCCTCCCAAAATCTTCGCAAAAAACTCCTCCAAAATGTTCTTAAAATGCCAATTCTTTCCTTAAGACGGTAAAGGACACAAAACGCAGGGTTACCTCCGCCACATGGGATGTACAAAAACTTTCTAAGAAGATGAAAACCACTCTGGGACTCACCGTTGTTGAAATGGAAGTGTCGAAAATCCGAGTAAATCTTTAAAATTCTGACAAAGATTATCCTCTGAAGACAAAAAGCAAACACACGCCAAACTGTGCTCGAAATATACAACGTCTGTTATCAATAAATTTTAAGAACAATTTAAACTAATAATATAAATGGCAACCCTGCGCTACCACATCGAACGGCACTCACGGTATTCCCAAAATTGCAGAGGTGCAAACTAGGGAAGGGCATTATTTTACTTAAATTCAGCTAGAGATGTACCGCAAAAATAAGAAGTGAATTTCTTGAATAGCATACGTTATATCCACAACTTACAACTCGTCCTCAAAAAAATTACGATTACATTATTTTTAAACTTTTGTGAGAAGTATATTTTCGCAAAACGGTGAAAACCAATGGTGCAACTTTAAAAATATTGTATCGACTAGCGAATGCTCGTGTTACAATGCGTTACATTACGACGCTCGTCTCAAGTCAATCTTCACCTTAAAACTATATTTTCATTAATTAATTAATTAATAATTAATGTCAATTTGGTCTGGTTCTGTTATTTTACTCGTATTAAATTTATTTAAAAAGTGCCAATCCTTTTACTTTAACGGATTGTGTTCAATCATATCACGAAAAAACAACAGATAAAGTTATAAATAACTAATAAAAATTGCTGAATAGCATTGATTAAGAAATGTTTACCTAGTAACTTTACAAACCTGTAATTAGGTAATTTCGGGAAAACTTTATAAAATATTTTTTTTAGGTCTGATTTATTACCATCAGTAGAATCTATGGCTTCCAGTAACCCACTACAATTTAATAAACCAACAACATTGAAACCTGTAAAACAACCACAAAAACTCAATTTAGTCCCAAGGTAATTATTCTATCTAGAAATTATGTATTATTCCTTTATATTACCTAAAAATCCTTCATATTCCTAAAAAAAGTGGTTCCAAGGTATTATTACAATATATGCGATCGAAAAAAAAAGACGTCAGAGTTTGCTTGAAAGATCGCTACCATTGTGCGCGTTCAGGGGACACAGCGGCTGACTGACCGCTGAAGATATTTTTACCTAATAACTTTACAAAGCTGTAATTAGGTAATTTTCTGAAAACTTTCTAAAATAAGTTTTTTTAGGTCTGCTTTACTACCATCAGTAGAGTCTATGGATTCCAATGGCCCACTACAATTTAATAAACCAACAACTTTGAAAACTGTAAAACAACCACAAAATCTAAATTTAATCCCAAGGTAATTATTCTATCTAAAAATTACGTATTATTCCTTTATATTACTTAACACTCATATTCCTAAAAAAAGTGGTTCCAAGGTAATATTATAATATACGGTCGAAAAAAAGACGGCAGAGTTTGCTTGAAAGATCGCTATCATTGTGCGCGTTCAGGGGACACAGCGGCTGACTGACCGCTAAAGATATTTTTACCTAGTAACTTTACAAATCTGTAATTAGGTAATTTTCTGAAAACTTTCTAAAATAAGCTTTTTTTAGGTCTGCTTTATTACCATCAGTAGAGTCTATGGCTTCTAGTAACCCACTACAATTTAATAAATCAACAACATTGAAACCTGTAAAACGACCACAAAATCTCAGTTTAGTCCCAAGGTAATTATTCTATCTAAAAAGTATGTATTATTCCTTTATATTACTTAACACTGGTATTCCTAAAAAAGTGGTTCCAAGGTAATAATACGTTCGAAAAAAAAAACGTCAGAATGTGTTTGGGAAGAACGCTATCATTGTGCGCTTTCAGGGAACACAGCGGGTGACTGACCGCTGAGGATTGCTCAGCGGCTGACCGTTGTTCTGTGTAAAAATAGAAGTTCAGGGAAGTCGCTTACTCAGCCATTCAGCCGCTGACCATCCCTAAACGCGCCTATTATATACCCTGTCAGCTATTGACAAAATGAGAAAACAAAACATAATTTTGATTACTTTGATAGAGCACAATCATATTATATACAATAGGATATCTGTTTATTAATTATTATACAGTTCATACCAAATAAACTTTTAGTCACGTGATTAAGCTTGACAGGCACAGCGTTGCCCACTTTTGTATATTTTTTAATGAAAATATTTTAGTAAACAATAATAAATTAATTATAAATATATAAACAGTTATTATTTACATCAACAAAACGCACCTTCTTAACAGCACTTAAGGGACATAAAGGGCCATTACTACCGCTTTCCCGTTCAAAATATTCTAATAAAGTTGCGAAGAGTTTTTTTACGGCTATTAAGATATCTTGTACATTTCACACTAAAAGAGGTTCTAAAAAGAACAATGTTTGACTGCAAGGTCTGCTAGTAAACATTTTCAAGCTTAAAGTATCACAACACTATTTATTTAAACCAAAAACTCGTAATACAAAACTAATGTGTCAAAACGAATGATAATGTCAGGAAATAAATAAATAAATCCGGCAACTTGACATTTTTTACAGAGCTACCACCTGAATCTCCAGCGCGAAATTTAAATTCCAGTTAGTCAGCACGGCAACAATAAATTTAACAATCGCGCCCTCGATTACGTAACTAAAAGTTTAATTGATATGAAATATACGAGTAGTAACTTTACAAACCTGTAATTAGGTAATTTTGGGAAAACTTTAAAAAATAAGTTTTTTTAGGTCTGCTTTACTACCATCAGTAAAGTCTGTGGATTCCAATAACCCACTAAATAAAACAATATTGAAAACTGTAAAACAACCACAAAATCTCAATTTAATCCCAAGGTAATTCTAAAAATTATGTATTATACACTTCTCCAATAAATTAACACACCACATTATTAAGTTAGTTAAAATACTTCTTATTACTAGGTTTTACAATGGATAAAGTTTTGTTTAATCTTAAGAATAATCCCGAAATTCTAAAAATGTGAAAATTCTGAAATTAGCGGTAATAATAGCTCCCGTATATAGCGTTTAACGCCTTGGGAGTAGCAAGGTACAGCTTCCTATACTAGAGCCGTTCGGTATATAAGGAAGGTATAATGCGGCTAGCACTACGCTTCAACCGCCTATTATTACCTCAGGATTGTGAATCCCAAATACTCATTTAAGGCTGAGTCGATCTAGGTACCCAAACTATTTTTATTTTAAATAAAAATAGTCGGCTGATGAAATGCCGGGTGTGGGATTCGTGTAGACGAGAGCCTGTACCTCTACGCCACCGGGCACCTAAATTAGCGGTATAAAAACAAAATTGACAAAAACATTTTTAGAAGCGAGCATTTCCACCTCTGGCACGAATAACATCTTGGCATCGTTGATTCATACGTGCATTAAGCTGCCTAATTGCGTCTTGGTCCAAATTTTCCTAGATATGGATTAGCCTCTCACCCAATGCTTCCAGATTGTTTGGTTTGGGTTGTTCTGACCTTAACCGCCTATTTAAGATATCCCACAGGTTTTCAATAGGATTTAGGTCTGGACTACGAGCCGGCCATGCCAGGTTGTTAAAGTTGACCTCGTCTAGATAATTTCTGACAACTCGTGCAACGTGCGGTCTGGCGTTATCTTGCATTAACAAGAAAATTTCACCGATATATGGTGCAAAAGGTACTACATGTTGTTTTAGGATGCCTTGTATGTACCGCTCAGCGGTTAAACTTCTATTGTTTATGACCATTACAGCGCTTTCAGATGGAACAGAGCGTCCGCGCGTACCGTCCGCTAGTTCCTTGAGTTTAAATGCTATCTTGAAAAAACATCCATCTGAAAGCGCTGTTAGATCCGTATGCGCCGTCAAAAAAATCCCTCCCCAAACCATAATTGACCCTCCTCCAAACAATGTAGTTTGTGAGAAATTGCATTGGGCATAATGTTCATTGGGTCGTCGAAAAACACGGACACGTCTCTCATTATTGTACAGGCAGAATCGGGACTTATCTGTAAATAGCACACGTTCCCAATCAGCCTCTAACCAATTTATGTGATCTCTTTTAGGTAAAATGACAGTTTTTTGATTCTGGCCCTTTCCCTACGGACCGGCAAATGGTTTTGAATACGGGGTGGTGTACCCTTGTCATCTGTACATCGTTTCCAGGTGGTCTCGTTGCGGCACAACCCTTAATAAATGCTACAAATTTTTTTCTGTTAATTTTCAAGAGAAACAGCGGTTTTTTGATTCTGGCCCTTTCCCTACGGACCGGCAAATGGTTTTGAATACGGGGTGGTGTACCCTTGTCATCTGTACATCGTTTCCAGGTGGTCTCGTTGCGGCACAACCCTTAATAAATGCTACAAATTTTTTTCTGTTAATTTTCAAGAGAAACAGCGGTTTTTTGATTCTGGCCCTTTCCCTACGGACCGGCAAATGGTTTTGAATACGGGGTGGTGTACCCTTGTCATCTGTACATCGTTTCCAGGTGGTCTCGTTGCGGCACAACCCTTAATAAATGCTACAAATTTTTTTCTGTTAATTTTCAAGAGAAACAGCGGTTTTTTGATTCTGGCCCTTTCCCTACGGACCGGCAAATGGTTTTGAATACGGGGTGGTGTAGCCTGTCTTTCTCGTCGGTGATCTATGGTTAAGCAGGACCTCGATCAGCAATTCTTGGTCTTAAATCAGATTCTCTTAATCGTAATCGAACTGTTTCAGCACTAATTTGCAGACCATGGACCTCAGTCTATAGGGTATGGCATGTGACAAAACGCTGTCTCAGAGCCAGAATTCTTAAAAATCTATCTTGATTTAGTTTTAATACGATTTCGACCTTGTCCTGACCTACGAGAATGATTCCCTGTTTCTAGGAATCTTTGTACTACCCGTGAAATGGTTGTATGATTAACATCAAATTGACGACCAATTCTTCGGAAGCTCCAGCCCTCTTCCCACAACACAACAGCTTGAGCGCATTCTTCGCTAGTTAACATACTGACACCTTACTACTTGTTTGTGAATTCTTTAAAAAAAAAGTTTGGTTAGGCAAATTGGCACAAAAAAAAATTGACACGTATCGGGCAAAAACTATACAAAATATAAACTAAAGGTATGAATTCCTCTCTGGGAAAAAATATACTGGGTCAAGAATTTCAAAGTGGTACGTTAATTTTTTGGAGAAGTGTATATTATTCCTTTATATTACTTAACACTCATCTTCCTTATTACTTGCTTTATCACCTCACTCAAACCTATTTTCTTTAATTAGTTTGACTAATATTATTTGACTAAAAACCGTATTTCTAGGTCTATTTTAAAATCAGCTGTATCACCTGTTGCACCCAAGAAACCAACGAAACTAGTTAATGGATCAAGTATATTGAAAAATGTTCAGAAACAACAACCACAAACTCTCAATTTGATCACAAGGTAATTAATATACAGAGTGAATCACTGATTCACTGATACTAATGAAATATATTTGCTGATGGTGCCTATAGTAATGAAACTTAATACATACATATTATGTATTAAGTTTCATTGCATTTCCAATGTGTAAGACAGAGATAAGTTGTCATATGTTATAACGAGTCTGCAGACAGGGATAGAAAGAAATGCAGAGTTGCCTGTGCCTGCCTGTTAAAAAAACTGAACTTTGTATGTGTATTAGACAGTGTGGTAAAAAGTAAAACCTTATAAATTTTATATAGTTTTTTGACGAATGCTAATTTATAACGGTATTCATAATTTATTATTATATTCTTTTCTGATTCAAATCCACATTTATTTAGAATAATTTATTAACTAACACAATTAAATATTTAATTAATTAATATTTGGGCGGAAATAATGGTGGTATATTTAATTGGTATACTCTTTTACAAAGATTTAAGTAGTTTTCTTTTTGTAAACAAATGGGCTAGCAATATTATCGTTTTTAGTACGTACCTATACATTGTGTACATTTGTTGCATTAAAAAAGTCTAAAATGTAATATACAGGGTGTTTCAAAACAAATGCGAAAAACTTTAGGGGGTGATTCCTTGTTCAAAATAAAGGGTAGTTTGTTTTATAAACGTTGGGTCAAAAGTCAACCATTAGGGAGATATCGCGGTACAAAGATGGCGGAAAAATAATGTTTTTATATTTTATCTTGAAAACGAAAGGAGATAGACTAATGAAATTTTATGGAAGCATTACTGTTATAAAAACACACTTTCAGGTAATTTTTTTACTTTTTTAAAATGAGTGGAAGGGGTTGAAATAAACTACCCCTATCATTCTTGTTAACGAAATTTAAAGAAAAATCTTATCAAACACATGCAAATGCTTTAATTTGGATAGTCTAGTTTGTTTAGAAACTTTTTTACCTCTTGTGTTTTTTTTGCTAAAACTCACCGATTGGAAATTAAAAATAAAATGTAAAGCATTACATGTCAGGACAAAAAACATTTTTAGATTAAGGATCTAGTGATAATAACGATAATAATAATCATCTAAATAATAACGTATTGCAGTAGAGTAATGTCAAATAAAATAATATTAGGAATATCCTAAAAAGTAACAGCGGCCGACTAGATTTTTTCCTAAAAAAATTACAGCAGCCCACTAGATTCTTTATCAGAAAATGTTTTTGGTCCTGACATGTAATGCTTTACATTTTATTTTTTAATTTCAAATCGGTGAGTTTTATCAAAAAAATACAAGAGATAAAAAAGTTTCTAAACAAACTGAACTATCCAAATTAATTTTTTTGCATGTGTTTGATAAGATTTTTCTTTAAATTTCGTTAACAAGAATGATAGGGGTAGTTTATTTCAACCCCTTTCACTCATTTTAAAAAGTGAAAAATTTCCAGAAAGTGTGTTTTCATAACAATAATGCTTCCATAAAATTTTATTAATCTATCTATTTTCGTTTTCAAGATAAAAAATAAAAACATTATTTTTCCGCCATCTTTGTACCGCAATATCTCCCTAATGGTTGACTTTTGACCCAACGTTTATGAAGCAAACTACCCTTTATTTTGAACAAGGAATCACCCCCTGAAGTTTTTCGCATTTGTTTTGAAACACCCTGTATATTATAATAAACGAGGTCTAAATTATAAGAAAATGCATTTTCTACGAAAATTTGAAGACAGGGAAAAAATTGTGTAACACAATTTGATAGACAATTAAATTGTGCATCTTATTCTTATAAAATATACCGAGTGTTCCATTTAAATTAAGCAAGGTATTGCAGTTTAAAGCCAGTAATTATTTAATATAAATTTTCAGATACTTATTATTTTATTATTACACAAAATTTAGTAAATAGAAAAACATCAGTACAATATTTGGTTTTAAAAACTTAAATACGCTGAGAGAAATGAAGCATTAAAATTATTGTTACTGCATTTTCACAAAATCGTAAATATTTCAAAAACGGTACTCTTAAAGTACGGTAAACCCAAGCGGTAAACCTTTTTTGCCTTTATTTTAATCGTAGAATCTAAAAATATACAGGGTGTTCCATTTAAAAAGTTATAACTTTGATTTTTTTTTATTTATTTGGGACACTCTTTAACTTTTCAAAGTAATTTTAAATTGTAGCTTTAGTAAAATCGAATTATTTGGCTACAGTACTCTGTGTCAAAGGTAGAGAATAACCCTGTATATGTCTCCATAAACACTTACTATACCCAAACCCTATTTTTACTGAATATATTTTTTTTTATTTATAGTAATGGTATAACACAGGATCGTATTATATTAACACCAATACAACCAAACATAGGAGTATTACAGCCAGAAAAAGTAAAGATTGAACCAAGGTATAACGTTTATTTAAATTTTTATTATTTAATTATAAAATGACATAATAGTGTGAGGTAATTGTGCTGGTAGTAATAGTACTATATGATCAAAAAGTGTTATGATCAAGCATATACCGTGCTGGCAACTGTTACTTTTAGGTCGGTATTTACATGTGTGGAAGTAAATCGCATAGGGATCTTATTCAGTCGGAGTGAGAGAAATGCGACGGTGTGTTGTTGCGGCGTTGCGGGTACGCCTTTCGCTATCAAGTAAAGTTTTAAAAAACTTTTTTCTCGAAAAGATAACTAGATAAAATCATTAGACATGTTTCTGAGCATCTGAAATGGAATTATAAGGATATCGTTAGGGTGTCATTTTGTTTATAACGAGAAAACGTCAGTAATCGGGTTAATTTAAAAACTCAACTTTTTAACACATAACACGCCATAACTCAAGAACTTTAGATATTGAAACTTTTTTTTATTATGAAGATCGGATCTTTTACAATATGTTTACATAAGAAAAATTCGATAAGGTTGTTTTTTCCATTCAAAAATTGTAAACAACCCATCCATTTACTTTTAGAGCATAGCAATTTTCAGCAATCGTGTAATTTTTTATTGATAAAGATTTTCACATACTATCTACGAAGAAAATACAGCAGAAATAGTAAGCAAGTTTTCGAAAAAACTACAATCAGTTATTTCTAATAGATTTCGAGATATCGATTTTTCTAATAGCGCGACCACTGTCGAACACCAACTCAATTCCACTTATTTTTACCAAAAATGCAAGTGTTTCTAGCTTGTATTTAAAAATTTTCAAGCTATAGGGAAAATTACAACTACTCGTTGATAAATAAATAAAGTATCACGAGACGTAATTAAATTGTGAAGCTGAACGCATGATGTACACCTTTCCCTAGAACTTTAAGTACTGACAGAGGTACTGATTGGGTCGACCGGTCAACTGCGACAAATCTGCTAAACCTTCCACGTCTCTTAGCAATGTGTACAGTTTCTGGGGTTTTTTCATACGTTTGGCAACGTGTTTACTGTTCTCTCTTTGTTCAGTACATTATAAACGCATTGTACTCTTCTTACATACGGAAATCTCGACCCAAGACTAACCTTTGCCAGCCCTTAATATATAATGATAGGAAATAAATTCTTATCAGATAACTTTTTTACCATACAGTACTATGTATAAGTGTGTTTTTATAAATATACAAAGGAATATTTTATAGGGTTCCACCATTACACACTAAGGCACAACATGTAGCGCCTATATTACGTAAAGCTAAACGAAAACTGATAAGGTAATTATATGGATATTTTTATGAATTATAAAATATGTACATTTTCTGGATAATAAAAACAATATTTTCAGGGTTCCTATACAAAATATAGTACCGGGGACACCTATGGGACCCATTATAATTAACAATCAACCTGATAACGAGGCAGTTCCAAGGTAAGACATAATAATATCGCACTGGCTAATCGAATTTGACAATGACAAAATCATATTTTTTCTGGTATTTTAATTGTAGCTTTCTCTGGGCTGTATTATAAAATTTTAGTATTTTGAAGGTAGATTTTGCAAATATCATTTAAATGTCAAAAAAAATTCTTTGACGAAAGCACAACTTGAACGCCTCTTCAAAAAAGTCTAATATAACTTTTGCATAGAATCATCTGGGGAGATAATATGTCACCTTTTCAAAATTTACGTGGGATTTCCTATGTCTCGTGTTCCGATGCACCACACGGTAGATACTATACAGGGCGTTTCAAAAAACATGTGCCATCTCTCGTGAAGCTAAAAAAGTGTCGACATTCACCAGGGACGTGCATATCGGTTATAATTATGATATTTTTTTTAAAGCATGTACGCCACTCACTTTTTTCTCTTGTTACCGAAATAGTGTAATCAGTTTAATGCCGATTAAAAGTTGTCTCTTGATATTTTGTCGATTTTGGCCTCCTTGATGGGATAAACCCAATTTTATTAGCAATAAATAGCAACCTTTAAAAAAAATCATATCGTTAACTTTCGAAAGTTTGAAATAAGTACCTACTCATTGATTGTTATCAAAAAATATAAAAAAAGTTCCTGTAAGCATGGGTATGGAAATGCATAGTTTTAGAGTTACAGGATGTTAATGACTTTGTTAAATTTGTTTTTTTGTAATTATCTTAAATACCATTATTTTTATTTGAAATTGCTGTAGGTTGGACTTATAGTAATAATTTTTAATAACAAATTAAATAAAATTTATTAATCTTATTTTAATTTTATTAATTGTGATTAATAAAATTGCATTTACCTCATCAAGGGGGCCGAATTCGACAAAATATCAAGAGATAACTTTTAATTGTCATTAAACGGCCTACACAATTTTGTTTACACTAACAAAAAAATGCAGTGGCGGACATGTTTTTGTTTTTAAACATTCCAGTGCTAACCCACATGCACGCCCCTGTTGAATTTATCGATACTTTTTTAGCATTAAAATATGTAGCACTTATGGTAACTTTTACCCTCAAAATTACATTAGAATCACTAAAAGTACTTGGAAGAAAATTATAATAAATCGAAAGATCATTAAGACTTTAACACCCTGTAGCCACGAAATAAAGCGGAATCGGACGTATGTTGAATAGAAAAATAAAACTTATTTTTACGTGTGAAATCTCCCCACAAGAGATGGCACCTGTTTTTGAAACACCCTGTATATATATAAAATACAGGGTAGTCCGAAATGTATTCCGGAAACTTTGGCAGCATATTCTGCAGATAAAAATAAGTAAAAAAGTTCGTATAAATGTATGTCCTAAAATGCTCGGTTTCCGAGATACAGGGTGTAGAAGTTTCTTTTTTATTTCGATTTTTTCCAAATAATTTCTGAGGTAACGTCATTATTTGGATGAAAATTTGTGTCTAGAAGTTTTTTGACATGATAAATTTGATTTTGATGTCCATATGATTTCTACTTGTAGAGGGCGCCACCTACATATTTTTTTAACTAGTTTGAAGAGTAATAACTTTTCGTTTGTACCTGTATAAAACTATTGAGTAAAAAATATACATTAACGACGTTTGTTACGTAAAAAAGGTCTCTTGGTAAAAATCGCTGCGAGTAATGTTTCTCGAGATATTTGGAATCGAAATTATCAATACATGTCACCATTAAGATGAATTAAACTTGTTAACTAAATAGTTATTAGACGGAAATCATAAATTTGAAATGTTTTTGTGCCAAAAGTTCAATAGAAACTGTTTTATCATAATTTTTTCGAAGAAAAATTTATGATTAATTTAAAAAAATAAAAATTTCCAAAAATGATCATTTCGATCAAATAACTATCTACTCAACATGTTTATTTTTAGTCAATAATGACATGTATTGACTATTTCCAATATAAATATCTTAAGAACGGTTGCTCGTAGCGATTTTTACCAAGAGAGATTTTTACGTAAACAATCACGGAAATGTATATTTTTTCACTCAGTAGTTTTATACAGGTACTGACGAAAAGTTATTACCCTTCAAAATATTTAAAACACATGTAGGTGGCGCCCCCTACAAATAGGAGTCGTATTGACATCAAAATCAAATTTCTCATGTCAAAAAACTCCCAAACGCCAATTTTCATCCAAATATTGACGTTACTTTAAATTAATTGGAAAAAATGAAATTTGAACACTCTGCATCTCCGAAACTAAGCATTTTAGGACATACATTTATAGGAACTTTTTTACTTATTTTTATCAGCTGAACATGCTGCCTAAGTTTCCGGAATACAGTTCGGACCACCCTGTATATTATTTTTGTATCAAGCTGATGCTATCGTTTACTACTCGTTTGTTCTCATGCATTCTCTTAAGGGAACATTCCCGCCCAATAATCCTCGAAAACGTCAACGAGCATTCTGAATATTCACAATACCGGGTGCGTCTCAAAAGTGGCTCACCCCTATAACTTTTTTATTTTTTCAGATAAAACAACGATATTTGGTATGTTAGTATATGACATAAATTGGGATTGATTGACGTATCCAATTGTTTAAGTCACTTCCGACTTCACCGGAAATGATCAGAACTTTTGATTTTTAAATGGCACTCTCGGTATTTTTTTACTTTATTCGATAGAAAATGACACTCTGAATCGAATGACATATCATATGTCAACTTTTGACATTTTCGCATATGGTTTATTTGAAATTGTAACATGCGGTTCATAACGACAATTTGACTAAAAATACCAAGTGTGTGGTATCAAATTATTCGTAAAAAAAGGTTTTTTCCAAATATGCTAATGAGCCACCTTCGTTCCATTTGAAAAAATTGAGATATGATTAAAAATACGATTTGGGCATCTTTTAACCGGCTAGGACAAGACACTAAAAACATTAGACGATCAAATATATTTTTCCAAGGCTCCTTGATTAAAAATTAATATTTTTAACACAGTCATGGCACTCTAGATTGAAATTTAAAATACAATTTGTTTTTGAGTGACTATGTCAAAAATTGACATATGATATGTCATTCGATTCAGAGTGTCATTTTCTATCGAATAAAGTAAAAAAATCCCGAGGGTGCCATTTAAAAATCAAAAGTTGCAGTCATTTCCGGTGAAACCGGAAGTCACCGAAAACAATTTAATACGTCAATCAATCCCAATTTATGTCATATACTAACAAACCAAATGTCGTTGTTTTATCTGAAAAAATAAAAATATTATAGGGATGAGCCACTTTTGAGACCCACCCGGTATAATTCGTATCGAGGTAACGTTCTCTCTGTTACAACATTACAACCCGTATTGATAACCACGTGTATTTAATAATAATATGTTTAAACTTATTTAGCGTTGAAAATATCATCAGCATTGGTGAACAGGAGGGACAAATAATTTATATAATTCAGGAAAATCCACCAACAGAAGAAAACTGTAATGTGGTCGAAATTCAAGAGCAACCTGTCGAATGTGTGGAAGTAACGGAAACTGTGTCATCTAGAGGGCCATTCCGATTTGAATTAGATGATGATGCAATAATAACTCTTAATAATGATATTGAGAATAATATTGCATCTTAGATTGAATTATATTTTTATCAAGGTACACATACATTTTTATTTCTAATGTAACGTATGTACTTTATAAAATGTAGATTTTAATACTGCATACAGGGTGTCCCAATATTTCGTGGCCATCGGAACAACTACGAATTTTTTTAATCAAAATATGATAATAGAAATGTTCACATAAAAATTAAAACGTGCCTACTTCTCATAAAATCATTCATTATGACATTAAGACTCAGTATGCAAAGTTTCATAACATCCGTAAAAGGCTTATGCCTCAAAAATCCGTGCGAAATTATCGTAATCGTTTAAATCCGCTAAACGCGGCCTGACGGCACTGCTTCGATCGGTATTTCCGCGCGAGTAAACGGTGCTGTCTGCACGCTGTGGAATTTCTAACAGAACAAGCTAGAATACGACATATCGCGTTGTACTTGGATGTAGTTTGTATATTAAATTTGGTTTATTGTGATTAATATTTGGAGTTGATTACTAGTTTAAAAACAAAACTACTTAGTGAGATGGAAGACGGGTTTACTTGAAAGCGATAACAAACAACACTTGGTTTTTGACAATACAAAATTATTGAGTTTTTGAGCTGTCAGAGGCCCGTATTTAGGAGGAGGGGGCCAAATTTTAAATTTTAATTATCATATTAAACTGAAAATTTGCATGCGTATATAGAAGCTAAGACAATGTAAAATTATCGCATTGTTGATCTGATATAGGGCCGTATTAAGGAGAAGGAGCCAAATTTTAAATTTTAATTGTACTGACCTGAAAAGTCGCACACGTATACAGTGTGTCCAGTTTAAAATGAGGCACCTACATGGGGAATAATGGGGATCTTGAAGACCGTTTAAGTTACAAGATTGGTTAAATAGAAGAAAAGTTGCGTTTTTGTGTGTCCAAAGATAATCTAGGTCTATTTTATTTAATATTCATATACTGTTACGTAAATACGGGGAGAAAAAGAAAAATGTGCATTTTCTAAACACCACCATATTTTCTTTATTATTGGAACTAAGGTCATCAAAATTTTAACATAGGTGTAAGGCAATATGAACATTTTAAAAATCATGTTCAAAAAAGTCTAGGCTTACTACGTTGCGCATGGCCGAAGTGCACTTTTGCTTTTCCTGTGGGCGCCATATTGAAATACATGGTTGAAAACATTTTTAATAAGGATTTTTAAAATACCAAATTTAAATATGGCGCTCATAAGAAAAATAAAAGGTGACCTCGGCCGTGCGCAACAGAGAAGGCCTAGGTTTTTCTTGATATCATTTTTAAAATTGCCATGGTGCCTTGCCCATATATTGAAATTTTGATTACCTTAGCTCCAATAATAAAGAAAATATGGTGGTTTTTCGAAAATGTTCATTTTTTCTTTTTCACGTTGTATCTACGTAACGGTATGGATTTAAAATAAAATAGGCATAGATTATTTTTGGGCACACAAATACGCAACTTTGCTTCCATTTAACCGACTTTGTATCTTCAACGGTTTCCAAGAGATCCTCATGTACCTCATTTTAAATTGGACACCCTATAGGACCCATATTAAGTGAAAAATTTACAAGTGAAAAAATTGATAAAAAAAACTTTTTAAAAACAAGCTTAAAATTAAATGCACTTAAAAGTAGAAAATAAGAATTAAAAGCAAGGGGCGCAAAGTAACGATTTAAACTTCTGTGGATTATTTTTTAAAGTATTAATACACCCAGGGACAAAACAGCACTTATTTGAACTCATTTTACTTCTTCAAAACACCAAAACAATGAAAATAAACAATACACCTTCGGTGTATGTATGCGGCAAGTGCACGATCGTACGGACGCCATCGATCGATCAACGCAGTGACGTCAAAAACCACAAAACATCCCCCTTTAGAACTTTTTCTTTAATGGCCATAAGCGGGAGTAAAAGACCAACCGCCCGAACAAACACTAGAGGCGCCACCGGTCATCAAATGGTGTAAAAATTGCGAAAATATTATCATCTAATTTTGACACAAGGGGTCGCGCTTAACTTTTTCAATTTTAATTAAATATTCATGGGTTTCAAACTATATTATTAGACTTTGTTGTATTTTGTGAATGTATGAATGTTTTCTTAGTATAAAGTTGCATTATAGTAATTTAAATTATATTACATACATATTTAAGATTCAAATATTATGACATATATATCAGTTGCCGTCTAAAATGTCATCTTGATAACAAAAAGTTAGTTATTGTTAAAAGTAGTTAAAATCGTGTAAAAATATTAAAATTTACAAGTTATAATTAGATATTTTATATTATTTCAACGACAAACACATAATAGTACAGCGTAATGTTGATATGCAGGTCCAAAACAAAAAGTGCCGTTATATTTTTCAGTTTTCGTTGTAAAGCCGCGGAAGTTTCAGTGATTTTAGTGTTGTCGGATATTCTTATTTGTGAAATAGAAATATTGCGTTTGGATTGCAAAACTAAAAGTGGAAGTTTTATTGCAATGTAAGTAAGCGTTTGTCCATTTTATGTTTTACTTTCTTCATACCATACGACAAATATACATATATTGAAATTTTATAATTCGTTTTATTTAAAAAATGTTAGAAAACAAGCTTGTAATCCTGTAATTGACATAATTGTTATGTAATATATTCCATTTAAATGTAATATATTACTTTACAATTAAAAAAATGTAAATTTAAAATATATATTAAAAATATATACAGGCATTAATTGAATTTTTTAGAGTGCGAACAAACACGAGAGGCGCTTTATTATTTACTTTCATTTCTTAACATGACAGACGAAGTTCTAAAGGGGGATGTTTTGTGGTCAAAAACAGAGCGGGGTACGTTTTCTAGCCTTGCTGCATTTCTCAATTTTGTCTTGCGTTTATGTAAGAAAATTATAGTTTTTAAGAAAAATTTTGAGTGCCATGTTTTTTTACTCTATATATATATATATATATATATATATATATATAATATATATATATATATATATATATGTAGCTATCTGTATACTATATGTAGCTATCGAAATTCATTGAAATTAGAAATTAGTGAACATGTCTATTGTCAGTGAAAAATAAACCCGAATATTAATTAACTTAAAATTTATACATTCCCGTGCATTTTATTGACTTTTGTGTTTCAGATGTGAAAGCGCTTAGGAAAACATAGGCATCCCAAATCTCATTCAAATCTGAATAACGGTTCTTAAAATGTCTTAAAAAATGTGTTTATTTTTCTAAAGTTTGATGCCATCTATTGGACAAACCAAGCACTTTTGTATAGAGGTAAATTGTGTCCAATGAACTTATTTTCGTTCCAAAAATACGTAGTAGTTCTATGTCCATGGAATATTGAGACACCATGTATATTACTATTTTTTAGTATGCAATACAATAGTACATATATACCAAAATGGGATTGAAGCAGAATAAGACACAATATGTTACATAAAGGAAATCACATGTTGTTGTTACAGGAGGATTTATCAAACAAATATGGTTTAGATATGTATTTATAGAATCCGAATCAATGTATAAATGAAGTGTTAAAGAAATAGCATTTCACTTCTGATTCGTATTATGATCTTTGTGTGTTTCATTTTTTATTTTTTTGTGACCTTTCTATTAATAAGTTTTAATAATTTTGTAGTTGTATAAAATTTAAATAAGTTGTAAACATATGCCACGCAAAAATTGAACTTATTTCCATTGAATTTACGCGTCAAAGTACAAATCTGTACATAATAGAGAAAAACGGCATCACGGTAGCCATTGAAACGTCAATCATTGCTAATTTCTATCAAATCAATCCCTTTTCTCACCCATTTTATAATTGATATATGTATAGGGATTCCCACTCTACACAATTACCCATTGATTGCCATTTCAAAAACCACTGTGATGCCTTTTTTGTCATAGTGTATAATAAGTTCTCAAGAATAATTTGTTTTATAAAATGTATAATTGTATAGAATATATATCAGATATTATATTTTTTATTGTCAAAAAGTATTGTACGTTTGTGTATTATTTTACTCCTATTAACAGACGATCGAAAAAAAAACGTCGTCAAAGTTGGCTTTAAAATCAAGCCATAGTCTGCCCAATAACTGGATACTTGACAACAATGAGATTATATTACTTGATAGAGACTTTAATTCTTAGGCTAATTGTGGGCAAATTGTTTTCTCTGTCGGATGTCGTTTGTCGAAATGTCCTCTGACTCGTTGGGCGGACTTTATTAACACTTAATGAAAAGTTTATTTTTTATTGGTTCGTATATAATGATTCTTTATATGGTAAGATGTAAATAAATTTAAGGTTAAAAATGTTTTCCATTACTTTTTGAAATTCTCAGCCAGGGAGGGAATTTTTAAATCCAGGGTAAAATCGTATTCAAATGTTGGTGACATTGGTTAGATTATAAAGTTGCCTTGTTAAGGTTGTCGCCCACTAGAGCGCGGCGCGACGCGGCGCGGCGCCATGTGGAAATTTCTTTTGTCTGCTTGCCATGTATTTAAATGGACCAACGCACATTAGAGCGCGCAGCGCAGAAGCGCGCCGCGGTTATTTCCGTCAAGAAGTTGGAAGACTTCTCTAGCAACTTTTTTCCGTCTCCCGCGTTTTGACGCGTTGCAGTGTGCGTACTCACAAGGGAAATAATTTTGCATTCGAGTCTTTTCAGTTGGCTTTTTGACTAGGAACTAGTGATACGTATCACTGGTAGAATTGTATTTTTAAAGGTAAATTAGGCAAATCGATTTTCATAAAGGAATATGATAATTTTTATTTATAGTCTTCCCTCACTAGAGACAGATGGACGAAATGCCTTTCTATCAAAGATTTAATATAATTGAGGGGTGTAGAGGCAAAACCGGCAATCTCCACTTTTTAACAAAAGTGACAATCTCCAATTTTTAAATTCTAATTACCTAAATATATAAAAAAGATCAGGGTTTTTTCACCACATAACTAATATACACATCAGAATAAATAAGAATTATCAAAAGTATTAGTAATTTGTCTCTTCTGAAAAAATATGATGAGTAGAGATACTCGGTGTTTTGCTTCTAAAACCCTCAATTGAGGACTGCGTAAAATGTTTCCTTTATATTTTGTAATACTGAAAAAAAATTATCTTGTCTTTTATTAAATCTGGAAAAAGATGGTAAAATTCTCCAAACTTCTTTCTTTTTTTGTTAATCGTATGAGTCCAAACTTTTCCTCACCCCCTCTTCCTCTTCCTCTGTTAGAAGAGCATAAAAAATACGCTTTCGTCCGTACTTGAACTCATTGCTTTAAAAACTAAACTACAGTAAGTAAAAAACACTTCGACTATAACTAAATAGCGTTGCCGCGTTTCAAAAGCGCGCTATAGTGGGCGCAGTTCCTTCGCAGCCGGAAAAAATTCTCTTCCCAGCGCCGCGCCGCGCAGCGGTCTAGTGGGCGACAACCTTTAGTTGCCTTCTTGTTTTTAGTTCGTTTGTACATTTTTTTATCTTCCTCTGTGGTCTGTGGATATAACAACATAACCTATTTTTGGAACATGTAAAATAGCCGAAAGTCGCAATGTCGTCAATTCGAAAAACAATAATTACGAACTGTGAAAAGAATTTTCTTATAAAGAATTTATCAGAATGGACTGTAAGTGGCTTACACTTTTCAGATAATTTACGTATTTATTACATTTCATTTATTATAGAGGTTAGACGGTCGAGCTTTTAATGAATTTCGAAATGTAGAAATTGAATTTGGAAAAGACTGGGGATGCTGCAAAGTTTCTTTAGGAAAAACTATGTAAGTATATACAACAAAGAATAATCTCCATAAAGATAATGAATAAATAAGTGGCAATATGCATGCTATTATGGAAAACACATTGTAAGTCTCCAATATCATTTTATTAACTTTTTAGGGTAATTAGTCAGGTGTCTTGTGAATTGCAACAACCTAAATCGTCCAGACCGAATGAAGGTGTATTAAACATAAACTTAGAATTAAATCCCATGGCAGAACCGAGTTTTGAAGCAGGAAGACAATCCGATTTATCTTCACAATTGAACCGTCTTCTTGAAAAATGCATTAAAGATTCTAAAGCTGTGGATTTAGAAAGTTTATGCGTAAAAGTGAATGAAAAAGTAAGCACTTTGTAAACAGACAGAGTTTAGAAAAATAATTTTGTGATATTTAAGGCCTGGGCATTTAGAGTAGATATAAATGTTTTGAATCACGAAGGAAACATATTGGATTGTGCCTCTATAGCTGCGTTGAGTTCTTTGGCTCATTTTAGACGACCCGATGTGACATGTGATGGGGAAGAATATAAGATACATAATGTAAAACAAAGAGACCCTATACCAACTGTTATTCACCATTATCCAGTCTGTATAACATATGCCATTGTGAAAGAAGGGTAACTTTTAAATAAGCCTAGTTTCATGCTAGTGTTAATTAATGTGTTTGTTAAAAATACCTTATGGTAAAAAAAATGGTGTCAAGTTGACTTGGAAATCACAATCAATTACAGTCTACATACCTATGTTCTGCATAAATTTTGATTCTTATATACATGACACTGTTTTTTTTAATAATATATGTTCTAAAATATTTTAAATTAGTATGGACATATATCAAAAATTACCAATTTTGGATTTTTTAGAATTGAATTCATTCTAGAAATGGAACTATAAATTAAATTTGTTATATATTTACAAACAACTTTTTAGGGAATATATTTTAGCAGATCCTACCTTATTAGAAGAAGGAGTAGCAGAAGCCTTTTTAACGATAGGCCTAAATGCATACAAAGAACTTTGTGGTCTCCATTTAGGTGGAAACGCACATTTAACTACTAAAGCAATTTTAGAGACTTCAAATAAGGCTGCAAAAAGGGCAGTTGATTTAGTTCAATTAATTAAGGAAGCAGTGGAGATTGATACTAATGAAAGGTATTTTTTAATCATATTATTCTGTTATTATCAAATAAAATATCATGTTTTACAGATTAACAATGAAAAGTTTAGGATTTCACAATACTTTGGATAAACAGATCAGTGATGTTCATGTAGATGAATTAGGAAAATATCTAGATCACTGGACTATGGATAAGATTAAGAGAAATCCAAAAAAGAATCAAAAAGTTACAACACCAATGGAAGAAACAGAGTCTACTGAAGAAGGTAAGAATAATGATTTTTCAAATAATATTTAACCTTCCTTAGAATTAGAATTTAGAATAAGTGGGAGGGGGGTTAATCTCTGCGACCTTAGAGATCTATTGTGTCCCCCTTTCTTGAGTTATAACTCATCATACAGTCCCAGGACTTCCTACGGAGACCCGTGTCGTTCACAGTCGAGGAGCTACGACCCAGGCCGGGTAGACGAAACGATAGCTTGTGTCGCCTGTTGGTTTCGAGTTAGGAGGTAGGCTCCCGACCCTTGGAGGAGGTGGTAACTTGTATGCCACTTGCGGAGGATGGTTTCACGCAAGTGTCAGCCACCTCTCCTGTAGTTCTCTTTGGGTTTGGCCCCTTGGAACTTTCATTGTTACTGTTCCCAGTGTTGCTAGGGGGTTTCCCCACAGCTTCACCGGTGATGTTTTTATTACTATTATTACCAGATCTCATAGTGTTCCCATGAGTCGCTAGGGACAGTCGGACAGAGCCCCGCATGTAGAATTAAGGGGTAAAATACAATGGGGTGCCTCCCGGTGCCCCAAGGTTGAGGCTGTCCATAGCCCCGCCCGGTATCGTTATATGTCTTGGTGCAATTCCCTGGCCACGACACTACAGTCAGGGACAAGATGATGAGTGAGATGCTTCTTAGACCAAGCCAAGTGCTAGGGGGGATTCCCCCCAGCACCTGACCAGGAGCTTCCCCACCAACGACAAGGTCTTGCATCTCCTAGGGGAAGTTAAACTTCCTTATTTGCACCTTCTTTTTCTATATAGGTATTCACATGGGGTATTTTAATACCCCAATTAATTTTTGATGGGAAAAAAATAATAATTTAGATGTCATATAAGTAATTATATAAAACATACATGTTCGTTTAAATTTTAATAATTGTCGACATTCAAAACTTAAATAAAATATAACTAAATATTTCTGAATTCAGAACATGTTTTGGCCTTATTTTCTAAGCCATTGTTGATGGATTTTACATATCCAATCAGTGCACTTGAGCTATTTCATGATTTCTGGGACAAAAATAACACCTTTTGAACCATTTTTGCACATGTAATGTTTCAAGAAAATGTACTTTAGTAGATCTTGTTGGTTCCTCAACATCCAAAAGAAGTATTTCTTAAATTTTGGTGACATGATTGCGACTATTTGCTAACAGACACACCCACACACTAGGGTTAAATAATACAAGAGTTGGCATGTAATTTTGACATTCCCTCGTCAAGATATCTAAGTAAAACAAGCGTATGGGGTATCAAAATACCCCGCAGTGTACTGGAGGGTTGAGTGTACTGGTGTCACACAAGTGGAATTAAGTTGGTGTTTGACAGTGGGTGCGCTATTAGAACTCTGAATTCAAAAATCGATATCTCGAAATCTATTAAAAATAATTGATTGTAGTTTTTTTCAAAAACTTTCTTTATATTTCTGCTATATTTTCTTCGCAGGTAGTGCCTATGTGAAACCTTTATAAATAAAAAAGTTTCACGATTGCTGAAAATTGCAATGCACTAAAAGTAAATGGATGGGTTTTCATTTGGTTAGGTTTTTTAAAAATTTTGAATGGAAACAAAACAAGTCCATTGAATCTTTCTTATTTAAATAAGAAAGATTCAATTTAAGTAAAAGATCCAAACTTGCAAATAAAATAAAAGTTTCAATATCTAGTTATCATGTGTTATGTGTTAAAAAGTTGAGTTTTTTAATTATTATCGCGATTACTGACGTTTTCTCGTTATAAAAAATTGGATACCCTAACGATATCCTTGTAATTCCATTTCAGATGCTTAGAAACATAGTATCTAATGATTTTATCTAGTTATCTTTTCAAAAAAAAAGTTTTTTAAAAATAAGCGGTTTGCGATCGTGATTTTACTTTACTTGATAGGGAAAGGCGTACCGGAGAAATGTGGCAACGCCGCAACAGCACACCGTCGCATTTCTCTTACTCCGACTTAATAATATCCCTGTGCAATTTACTTCCACACATGTAAATACCAATCTAAAAGTAAGAGTTGCCAGCACAGTATAAAAAGCGCTACGGCTTATAATCGTATTGAAAAAAATTCTCAACAAAGATACCGCCCCTTCTTATACATTTGTTATGTAACAAAAAATGTTGTTTATCTCGAAATAATGATTTTGGCACTTCAAGTCTTCAATTTAACATCGCAGTTTTTGCTCCACCCCGTATATGCACGTTACGCGTGCTTGTATTCTTTAGTAATTGAGTTATCCAGTATCCACCAAAAAATTATTTACAAATTGTGATTTCTTTTTTATAACTGAGTAATCAAAAAGAGCTATTTTTTCGTTTTTCAGAGTCTGAAGAAGATAAATCTATGGACGTTTCGCAGGAAAAGGTGGAAAGTATTACAAATCTAGGCGATGGAACGGCAAAACTAGACATTAGTACAGCTCAACATGAGTGGATAACAATAGAAAGCGATGAAGAATCTGAAAAAGAAGACGATGTAATAATTGTAGAACCTAAAGGTGAGATTTCAATCAAATTAGTATTTCGTTTTATAAATAATATTTTCGGTTGTTGCAGTGGAGACACTCAGTATTGATTCGAACAGTGAAGAAGAACAAGTATTGGTATTGAATCCAGTTCAAAGGTCAGCCGCTAAAAAGAAGAAGAAGAAAAAGAAGAAAAATATTATAAGCTGACATTTTCCACTTTATTAAAAAAATCATTTTGTAAATACATTTACAAATTATAAAAATAATCTTAACACAACACTTACTTATCTAAATTTAAACTAAATAAATTAAATTATGAAATTGTGTAATAAAGCTTTTTTTATCATAAGTTGATATAAAAAATTAATTTTTTGTCACCGTATGATCGAAAAAAAACGGTGTCCCGTTGGCGTTCGATGACATTCCCCATATAAAATGATCGAAAAAAAAACGGCGTCACCGATGGCTATGAAATGAAGATCCCTGTCATTTTATATGTAAAATTATAAGGAAAATGATGTCATCGATCATCATTTCCAAGCCAACTGGACGCCGTTTTTTTTCGATCATACGGTACCATATGATCGAAAAAAATAGCTTGGATCAATCTTTCCAAGCCATCTCTGACGACGTTTTTTTCGATTGTATGGTGTAAAATCGTTTTTTAAAAAGGTTTTTATGTAATTCTTAATAAAATCAACTCTATTGATCGATGCGACAGAATATTTATTATCTTTGACTTTCAAAGGTCACTATGACGCCGTTTTTTTTATCGAACAGTATCTTTTTCGCATGACCGTGACAGTTGTGCCGTAGATTTTCCAGAATATAGCTCTATATTCTGGAAAAAATCTAGTCAAAAATGATAAAAAAACGGATAAAAGCATTAAAAAAGAACAACAAAACTTTCTAGATCCATATCTGAAATTTTATTACACATCACAGTAGCTAAAGTTGATTAAAGTTAGCTAAAAATATTCTGTTTTAATAAATAATCACACTAAAATATGAGAGAAATAGGTAAACCTAGAGAAGTTGTAAATTATTGAGGGAAATGAGCTTCTTTTTTGTCTTTATATGAAATATATCCTGCAATGTTACCACATTCCACAGAATATCAGTTCAGCAAAAGTTTATAATATGAATTTTAGAATTTTTTTTGTATACCTAATATAAGTAAATAATTATTTTAATAATATAAGGAGAAATTATTGTAGATTATTATTTTTGTGATAATTGTTGCAAATGATTAAAGATTGTTTCTTTACATTCTCCTTAACATTTCGTACAAACTGTTGTTATTTGTTAAGACGCACTTCTCTCTCATATACAGGGTGTTCCTTAATCACTAATATTTAATTAGGGATGGATTCTTTTGGACCTATTCTAAGAAAAAAACTTCTTATGAATGTATGTCCTAAACGTGTTGATTTCTCAGATATAGGGTGGTAAAATTTTCTAAAAAAAACAAACTTTTTTTCATAATAACTCTGATTTTATTTACTGATATCTTTATGAAACTTGGGTGTGTTAATCACCGCGAACATACAGATCTATTATGTGTCCCTCTTTCTTGAGTTTTAACGAGTTATAACTCATCATACAGTCTCAGGGTTTTGATAAAAACCAGTATCTGAGACGGCTTTACGGAGACTAATTATTTTATCTCCGATATCAGTCATACCAAAGTTTATGGTATGGTTGTCGTCTCGGCGCACTCAGTGATGAGGTGTTCTGGTGTTTCCCCATTTTTTCCACAGTATCTGCATTCGCCGTTGTTTCTTAGCTACAATCTACTAAGGGCTCGAACTCACTGACGACCAGGTCGCAACGACCTGGCCGGATGTATTGCGTTTTTAGCTGCGGCCAGATGAACGACCAATTTCAACAGAGTTGTCAAATCTAACGATTTTTTACGTTTTACCAATTAGAAAATATTGTTTCAGAAATGTTAAAATATCCGAGTTAACTAAAAAGCGAAGTTGCTATTCCCAACAAACAAAAAGCATTGTGTACGCGCGACCGACAAAAAGGGAGATATTCTGGTTTCTTTTTTCTACTGATATGGCGCCCTTATCGACTTTAGAAGTAAACATATTAGGGTAATCGTAAAAAAAGATCGTCAGACACTGGCTCTAAATATAAGCAGGTAGAAAGTTTAGCTTCCAGTTATTTCAATGTTTACAATATAACGAAGAATCTACAACAGTAATTACTTCTATTTTTATGAATGTTTAAATTACTTTCTTAATTTTTTTTTCAAAATAATGTACCTAGTAGAAATATAGTCTAACGAACCCTGTTTGAAAAACGTTAAATGAAATATAATATTTAAAATACAGTTGTCCTCCTTGTACATGACTACAACTAAAAAAACTAATTTAATAAAAAAAAACTAGTGGTTGTAGAAAAACTTTAAATATTATTTTTTTTTATTTTTTAACATCGAAACTCAAAGGTATAATAACAGGTATCATACCAACCATAAATAGAGTAGATATGTCATATAAAAATGTTTTGAGTTTTTACTAGAATCGACCCTTGATAAAAAAAGGGATTAGATTTAAGTTTACTTTTGATCCAGTCTGTATACTATTTCTTTGGATTTTCAGCATGTGTGCAGAAACTACACTAAAACACTATATCTTATAGAAAATAAAATATTGTGCCTTGAATTTGAGGGATTTCATCTGAAAAATTATTAATTTGGAAGAAAACCGGCAACAAGCGGCAGAAAATAATAATATTTCCGTGCAGTCTTCTGGTCGCAACGACCAACGCACGGCTAGGACGTTAGTGTGCGCTATATCATTTGATTTAATGGTTTTAGAGGTAGCTGCGGCCTGGCCGGTGCGACCTGGTCGTCAGTGTGTTCGAGCCCTAAGGTTGAGGAGACAGTGTGCTGTTAAAAACGTCGTGACAAACCGAAGATTGTTTTTACTTAAATCAAGGAAAATCTTTGATTTTTCTCGGTTGTAAGTTCTCGCCACAGAAGTATAAATATTACTTCTCTATGTTTACTTATTTCTCTAAGACAAAAATAAAACCTTTGAATAAAACGAATACAACCTTCTTTTTACAAAATATAATTGAAATGTATCATATTACATCATTCTCTATGATTTATATTTATTTGCCTTTTAATCACTCATTTTCGAACAAGTTTAAAATCTTTGAGCAACAACAGGGCTCATTTTAATAATTCATTTCAATATGAAATGAAACCTAGTCTAAAATCGTAGATTCGAAAATGATTAATAAAAAAAGCTTCACTTACATTTTAATGTTGTCAAACGTCTTTAATCTAAGTGGTGTCGGTACTGTTTATGCCATTCTTCTGATCCAACTTATTGCCGTTCGTTTTCACGGTATAGATGAAAAAGGTAACTACGTCTTTTTCTTTCACTGGTATTGTTTTAAAATGCTTCATCAAATTCTAAAATTGAAAAATGGAGATAAAATTACATTTTTCCATTATAATGTTCTTAGAATTAGTAGAATTAAAATAAAACTGGTTCTTAGTTGTCCAAAAGTGTACGAATCAAGCAAAAAAACAATGGACTTTAAAATTACTTACACCAATTATACAGCAGTATATATATCAGCATATACAGGGTGGCGCACCCCATTCGTCTCGGTTGGTTATGGTATATGTAGAAACTGTTAAGGTCAAGGTGTATTACTGGTTGCATAACCGCAACGGTGCATTGAGGAACCTGGCGCATTCGCCAGAAAGTAAAGAAAATTATAGAATTCTTTAGAAAAATCTAGAAACAACCGCCAGGGGGTATATAAGGCCCGCGCTTTGACAGTTGGAAAAAATTTTAAAAGTTTGAAGTTAAAAGTTTAAAGTTTTGAAGTCTGAAGATAGTCTGAAGTCTGAAGTTTGAAAATACCGCGAAATACCGTTAGAGTAATAGTAGTTGCATAAGTTGTGTTGTAAATAGTATAAGTTGTGTGTACAGAGTGAAACAAATAAATTCGTTAAGTATTTTATTGTGAGTTTAAATAGTGGACCCACGGAATCCGTAACAATTGGTGTCGGAAGTGCGATTCAAGAGGATTTTAAGAAGAAATTAAGTGGATTGGAAGATTTTTGGACCGGATTAGAGTATTTTTATGGTTGGTACAAGGGAACAAGCGAAGAAAATGGAGGAAGTAAGCAAACTATTAGGCGATTTTATGGAGAATATGAGAAGAGAAAAGGCAGAAGAACAAGAGAGGTTGCGAAAAGAGAAAGAAGAGGAACAAGACCATCTACAGAAAATACTTATGGAAAATCAAGAGAAAATGTTGGGTAATTTGGAAATTCGTTTCGAGGAGCGACATCGTAGAGAAAAACAAGAAGAACAGGACCGGCTTGAGAAAATTTTCGAAGATTTGAAAATTCAACGACAAAAAGACAAACAAGAAGAACAGGACCGGCTTGAGAAAATTTTAGAAGATTTAAAAATTCAGCGACAACAAGACAAACAAGAAGAGCAGGACCGTATTCAACAGAGTATCGAAAATTCGGAACGAAGACAAGAGACCCACTTCCAAGAAGTCGTAGTAGATCTGGAGGAGCGCCTTCAGCAGAAAATGGAAAAATTAGAGATGGACCTACAGAAGACCAAGGTACAAGTAAGGACACCTGGCGTTTCTGGAACTGCGAACCTCAAGGCACCGACCTACGATGGACAAACGACCTGGACAATGTACCACCGTCAGTTTGAAGCAGCCGCCGCTGCCAACGGATGGACTGACCAGGAGAAAGCAGCGGCACTTGTCATCGCGCTGCGTGGCCCTGCCCTGGAACTGTTGCAAACTATTCCTGTAGCCCAACAGCAGGAATACCAAACTTTGGTCGCTGCACTGGACAGAAGATATGGCGACCAACATCGACGCCAACTTTACCAGGCCCAGATCAAGACACGCCTGCAGAGGTCCGGAGAGAGTCTGCAGGAATTTGAAGCAGACTTACGTCGGCTGGTACACCTAGCATACCCAGAAGCACCGAAAGGGTTTAGGGAGGAACTCGCTGCTCAGTGCTTTATCAGCGGACTGAGGGACAATGAATTACAGAGGGCGCTGCAAATATCGCGATTTTCTACCAGCAGCGAAGTACTCGTCAGGGCGCTGGAAATAGAAGCTGCATTTAGCGCCATTCCTAAACCGAAGATAGGCTCGGTAACGGTTGAGGAACAGCCAAAGAGTTCTCACATACGTTTGGAGGAGATGTTTAATAAACTATGTGAATTACTAGTGAACAAGAGAGTCAACAACACCCAGACAGAGAACCAAAGAAGATTCCAGGACATAAGTTGCTATAGATGTGGCAGGAATGGCCACATCAAACGGGATTGTCACATCCAAATGCGATTCCGTTTACCATCGAGAGAACATAGGCACCAGGAAATCAACACTAATGAGCGAGTATTGGCTGAAGAAAACAGAGCCCCTAGGATGTTTTCCGTTAGGAGTCTAGGAAAAACCGCTGACAGTTTGGTGATCAACGGGAAGGTCAATGGTAGAAGAATTCGAATGACTGTGGACACAGGCGCTATGGTATCGTTGGTGCGGACTAACTCGGTACAAGGATTGAAGATGATGCCTCTTAGAAGAAGAGTGTATTTACGTACAGTTACGGGGGAAATGGCCGTTGTACGGGGAGAGGCTTTCATGGAATTGGAGTTAGGGAATTTGAAGTTTCGGCATAGCGTTTTGGTGGCTGACATTGAAGATGATTTTATCATGGGTATGGATGTGATCAGTCAACATGGTTTTTCGTTTGATCACCATAGAAACATCCTGAAAATCGGAAATGAGGAATTTTCTGTATCTAAAGAGAAGAGACCAGGAAATATGGAAGCAAGATCAGCGGAAATTGTGATGATACCTGGTGATGCCAAGAAGACTGTGTTCGGGAAAATGGAGAAAACCTCTGAGTGTAGGACGGATACAAATTATCGACAACGAACCAGATCGACGACGAGCTACCTTGGGCAAGAAAATGAAACATCGTGAAAGCACTATCAGAGTAAGGAATTTTAAATTGAGAACTGACGAACAATGGACGACGATACAATTGAGGAAAGATCAAATGGAAGATCCAGACATCGGAGCAATACTACGGCTCAAGGAAGGTAACGGCGAGAGACCACCGTGGCAGGATATTGCGGACAGAGGGCTCGTTTTCAAAGCTCTCTGGGCTCAGTGGAATTCACTGGTGATTGAGAATGGATTGTTAAAGCGCACGTGGGAAAGTGCGGATGGCAGGACAGTAACAACTCAGTTACTGGTACCAAGGAAGAAAGTTACCCAGGTATTGGAAGAAATTCATGGTGGTAAAACTGGAGCCCATCTTGGGGTAAACAAGACCCTGAGCAAGCTGAGAGACCGTTTTTACTGGGTGGATTATTGCGAAGATGTCAAGAAATGGTGTCGACAATGTAAGATTTGCGCAGCTAGACAAGGACCAAGTACTCGATCTGGAGGAAAAATGGAACAAGATAACGTTGGACTGTCGTTCGAAAGAATCGTTAGGAAGGAAAGATTATTGGGAATTCATAAGGCCGTGAGAAGTAAGATTACGCTAGCCAGTGACCGGATGAAAGCTCGTTACGACCTCAGAGCTAATTCTACGGGATTTCAACAGGACGATAGGGTATGGTTGTATAACCCACAGCGCAAGAAAGGAAGGTCCCCAAAGTTAACTCCAGCATGGGAAGGTCCTTATACAGTCATCAAGAGGATAAATGATGTTGTGTACCGGATTCAACGCAGCCCTAGAAGTAAGATGAAAGTAGTTCATCTGGATCGATTGAAGAGATACCAGACAGGAAACCTTGATCGGGACGATCAAATTTGAGAAGGGGGCAATGTTAAGGTCAAGGTGTATTACTGGTTGCATAACCGCAACGGTGCATTGAGGAACCTGGCGCATTCGCCAGAAAGTAAAGAAAATTATAGAATTCTTTAGAAAAATCTAGAAACAACCGCCAGGGGGTATATAAGGCCCGCGCTTTGACAGTTGGAAAAAAGTTTAAAAGTTTGAAGTTAAAAGTTTAAAGTTTTGAAGTCTGAAGATAGTCTGAAGTCTGAAGTTTGAAAATACCGCGAAATACCGTTAGAGTAATAGTAGTTGCATAAGTTGTGTTGTAAATAGTATAAGTTGTGTGTACAGAGTGAAACAAATAAATTCGTTAAGTATTTTATTGTGAGTTTAAATAGTGGACCCACGGAATCCGTAACAAAACAAAATATTTATGGGTATATGTGGACAGGCAATGTGCACAATTTAAAATGATTTTCAAATATACAGGTTGTTTCAGAACTAAGATCCATAACAAAGTTATATTTTTTCTTATGGAACACCCGGTATTTGATTTCATTTTTGGATTCTTGGGCCCAGAAAATGATGTTTATTATAAGGGATAAATATATTTAAAATCTTTGATTTTTGAGATATTTAAATATGCATGGCTACAAGGATATAAGAAACCCTAATATAGTTTGACAGTGCATTCAAATCTGCTTCGATTTATTTAAAAAAATACAGTAGTAAAGATGTTTTTATGTAAAATTAATATTTAAAATAGTCCAGCAATTTTTGATACCCCTGTATATATTAAACTAAGTCATATTCTTTCTACATCTTTTCGTTTTCGTATAATCAACCAAGGCGAATGAGGTGCGCCACCCTGTAGACGTATAGGCAGCCACAATAAATCATATTTTTAAATACGTAAATTAAAAAAATAATAATAAGTTAACTTTGACGTTTTCAATTAATTTTCGCCCAATTTCTTGTTGCAAGTACTTTTAATGACTAACGCCTATAAATATCGATTTTGTATATAGGATGTAGGAACCGTTTAACAAAAGATAAAATTGAAAAATATCTTACTTTGATACACTAATTTGCACACTGTCTTAAGTAACTTACAACGTTTCAATAAAATATTCCCTCATTACAGAGGACGACTGAAATCCCCAGTCCAACGATGTACTAACTGAACAGTTACAGTACGTCTGCTGGATCTGTGTCTATGAAAGGAATGCGGACAAAAAACATTTACATAAAACAGCAATATATTTTATACGTCGACTTGACGAGTACGTCACCGCAAATCGCTCCGCCCACTCATTTTATTGGCTACTTGCAAATTTGTCGAATTTTTATTGATGGAACGCGTCGTCTAATTTTTTACGAAAAACATCGAAAGAATATCGTTTCCCCTCTCACGGACACCCCGTAGCTACAGATCGGACAGACGTACTGTAAGCTTGATTTTCATGCATCCGATATCCGACGATACGATATTAATTTTATTGGTTGAACTTAAAGACTTCGATTGGTTAGAAAATTACGCAGTTTTTAAATTTATTGCATTTTCATGCCTCCGTTCATCGGCTGTACGATTTAAGCTTGATTTTCATGCATCCGTTGTCCGACGATACGTTGATACGATATTAATTTTATTGGTTGAATTTGAAGACTTCGGTTGGTTAGAAACGGTTAACCAATCGAAGCCTTTACATTCAGCCAATAAAATTAATATCGTATCAACGTATCGTCAGACAACGGATGCATGAAACTCAAGCTTTTCAAATCAAGCTTTAAGCTTGAGTTTCATGCATCCGTTGTCCGACGATACGTTGATACGATATTAATGTTATTGGTTGAATTGAAAGACTTTGATTGGTTAGAAAATAACGCACTTTTTAATTTATTGCATTTTCATGCCTCCGTTTATCGGATATACGTCGTTGGTGTCATATTTTCGTTTCCATAACGATTTTGCTATTTTACTTATATTTTTATTAAGTTTAGATTAAATTTGTCCAGAAAGTGTCAAAACGTCCGTTGTCGTATGAACGGGTCCGTTGACGGGCTGAAGTAAAATATTTACGGATGAAAAGTGGCGCGAAAACGCTATGACCAATCAGATCACCGTCGGACCAACGTATCAACGTATAACGGATGAATGATATTATGGTTTATTTAATAAACCAGCTTTTTTAAAATTCTCGTTTTCCCGACGTTGCTAGCTCTTGTACTATTATATTTTTATTAAGGTTAGATTAAATTTATCAAAAAAAGTGTCAAAACGGCCGTTATCGTACGATCTTTCTCCGTTGACGGGCTAGAGTAAAAAATTTACGGATGAAAAACGGCGCGAAAACGCTATGGTCAATCAGAGCACCGTTGAACCGTCGTATCGGCAGATAACGGACGCATGAAAATCAAGCTTTACGCTGTTTGCCGGCAATACGTAAATTGACTAGGCATTTCAAGGAATGGGGAACTTTGCTCTTTGCTCTTTGATGCTGGCACAAATACACTTGAACTTACGTCTGACAGTTGAGCTTTGTTCAGTCCCGGCCTCATCGGCACCTTGTAGTGTCTCTTGTACCTTCGCAAAGTGTTGACTTGCAAATTGAAGAGATCCACTTCCGGTATGTCCGTGTCCGTCTCATTGCTATCGTCCTCGGAGTCTTTTCTTCGGCGTTTCGTCCTGGCACACTGTATAATCATCTTGTGGAAATCGCAGATGTAAATGTGACGAGCCTGATTAACAAGAAATTTCGTCAATTATTTGATTTTTTTTCAAACTAATGTTGTTTGAAAAAGAAAACCAAATAATTGACGAAATTTCAAACAACATTATAAAAACTAATTGTAGGACTGCTGTGATCTCTACAGAGAATAGCCTTATAGCACTACAGGGAGAGTAATTATTACAATAATTGGATTGGGCATGTTAAAAATGTTTTCAATAGATTAGACTTAAGCTTAGAAAGACTAAATAAATAGACTCTTTCTAAGACTAAATAAATAGTCTGAAAATTTAAATGCTACCTCTTTTCGCTCTCTTGGTTGGATGACAGTACTATACAGGGTGGTCCGAACTGTATTTGTGAAACTTCGGCAGCATATTGCTTACACATAAAATGCTTAGTTTTGGAGATACAGAGGGTGTAGAAGTTTCATTTTTATTTCGATTTTTGCCAAATAATTTATGAAGTTGGATGAAAAGTGAATATTTGGATGAAAATTGGTGTCTGGGAGTTTTTTGACATGATAAATTTGATTTTGATGTCAATGTCAAAAAAATAAACTATAATAACAAATATAATATGACTTCAACTTGAAGAGGGCGCCACCTACATATTTTTTAACTGGTTTGAAGAGTAATAACTTTTCGTCCGTACCTGTATAAAACTACGGAGTAAAAAAATAAACATTTACAACTAGTGATGGGTTGTTATTTAACTATCTGTTATTTTATAACAATTATTTATAAATAACATAACGCAACCGTTACTACTTTTAAAAAATAACAGATATAAAATAACGACACGTAGAGATCGGCCGCTCGTGAAAGGAAAAACGAAGTCGGCGCTCTGCATCACCACGAAATTCTATGCTGCTCGAAGCAATTCCAAAAAAACAACTAGTATGGATGGAAAACATGTTATTTCGTCAACCATCGATACAGGCGGCGAGACAACGGACAACGGAGGGGGAAAGCGCTACGGCGAACGTAGCTGCTTCGGTCGATACCGTCAATGGTCGTATTTACAACAGCTTAAAAATAATAGGTTATAAAAGAAGCAGGTTTTTGAAACAGTTGCGGGCATAACGCCTGGCGGTGGAGATAACAGGAGTGGGAAAGGAACGCTGCTGCATCGGTCGATTGTCGATGGAGGCTCGCAACGGGTTGGAGAAGCAGTCATTTTAGATATGTTGTTTTTCAACCTGTTACAAGCATAACAGGGCGGCGGACGAGATAATAGGTGTGGGAAAGGAACGCTGCTGCATCGGTCGATTGTCGATGGAGGTTCGAAACAGGTTGGGGAATAACGCATCAGTTGTTTTAGATACATTCTGTTTCAACCTGTTACGAGCATAACGGACGGAGGTCGAGATATTATGGCGCTGTATGTTTCAGTACTTACTTATTAAGTTTCAATATTTAGGTATATATTTATTCTGAAAAATTTTCAGAATAATATTTTAAGATTTTTTAGAAATGTATACAGGGTGTTTTGAAAAATCTGGTCATTGATTAATCACTATCCTGCTTAAAGCCCTTGACGTAAAAAGCTGATTTTTGGAAAACGGATTGACTTAGTGTGTAGAGGTTCGATAAGAAGGGATTTTTCGAAACTCGAATTCTAAGGGGGTGAAACTACTCTGAAATTGATAATAGAAAATTTTTTATTTAAAAACCGGTGAGTTTTTCGGAAAAACTCTTAAAACACGTATATTTTAATATGTTGTTTTACATATTTTAAGATTTTTTAAAAATATATACAGGGTGTTTCATAAAATATGACCATTGAGTAATCACTGTTCTGCTTAAACTGCTGGACGTTTAAAGCTGATTTTTTGCAAACGGATTGACTGTGGGGTTGAGCTTCGATAAGGAGAGGTTTCTCGAATCTCAAATTCCAACAGGGTGAAAACGCCCCTCAAATATTACAATATTTGTTATTTAAAAAACGGTTAGTCTTTCGGGATAACGCCTGGACACGCATAATTTATTTTGTTTTTTTTTTACATATTTTGAAATTTTTTAAAAAATCATACAGGGTGTTCCAAAAAGTTGAGTAATTGATTAACCACGATTCTGCTTAAACTGCTCGACGTTAGAAAGCTTATTTTTGGCAAATGTGAGAAAATTTTATCCAGTTTGTATGTTAATGGAAATTCTTGTTTTGCTTTATCATCACCATTAGAAATTATTAATTCGACGCGAACGAAGTCGCGGGTACACGCTAGTTTAAGTGTAAAATTAATTCGAACTCTAGTGTGTAGTTGGTTTACTTATGAAGAATATATTACACATTTTCTTATATTGCTATTTTTTGACTGCAAATGGTAAAATCATAACTAAGAGCTTCTTGCCCGTCGAGTGAGATGCACCCTGTACACTGCTACGCAATTCAGGATCTACGCGGATCGAGGGGCAGGGCGTAGGTATATACTATAGACGAGTGGCCGAATTTTGGCTTTTTTTATATCGCAATTTGTAAAAAGCGCTTATTTGTAAATAACCACCGTTTTTAGAGAGGTATTTTAGATAATAATCGATATTTAGAAATGTTTTGACACCCTGGTAATACTACCACCGAGCACGTCATTGCTGCAACTTGCAACTGCGTTAATACGCCTGGCGATGACCGTCTCATACTCTTTCAGATATTTAGCAGTAAAATAAAGAAACCTGTTATTTTTAAGCTGTTATTTTAAGCTGTTTTTTATAAATAACTATAACAGTTTCAACTGTTATCTAAAAATAACAGTTTTGCCCATCACTATTTACAACGTTTTTTAGGTAAAAGAGATCTCTTGAGAAAATCGCTGCGAGCAATGGTTCTCGAGATATGTTTTGTGCCAATAGTTCAACAGAAACTGTTTTATCATCTTTTTTTTTGCAGAAAAATTTATGATTTATTATACGTATATAGTTATTACATTTCAAACCAGTTAAAAGAATATGTAGGTGGCGCCCTCTACAAGTAGGAGTCATATTGACATCAAAATCAAATTTCTCATGTCAAAAAACTCCCAGACACCAATTTTCATCCAAATATTGACGTTACTTCATAAATTATTTGGAAAAAATCGAAATAAAAATAAAATTTCTACACCCTGTATCTCCGAAACTAAGCATTTTAGGACAAACATTTATACGAACTTGTTTACTTATTTTTATCTGCACAATATGCTGCTGAAGTTTCCGGAATACAATTCGGATCACGGGATCACCCTGTATAACAGGAAGGAATCGAGAATTTGTTTAAATGGCAACCCTAATTTATTTGTGACTATTCTTATTGTGTCAGATTTTAAATTTTAGATTCATTCTATTTCAAATATCTCACGGCATTTACAACTTACCTGTGCCTGTGAATAAAATTAACTACATTAGGGAATAGTAAAGTCTGTCCAACAAGTCAGGGAAGATTTGGACAGACGACATCTATGAAATTATAGAAAATATAATTTACTCGTGAATTTGAATGACAGATCCTGTATATACATAGAAAAATAAATGCCATGGATAAGCAATGGAACCGACGAGTTAAGCAATTCTTATTTTCTTGAAGTGAAATTTCTTTACGCGCGATGAGAGTAAAAATTCAAGGCTGTGACACACGATCTAGCGAGAGGAAAAGTGGTAACGATCTTGGAGCGTCGTAACTCGGGCCTTATGTGAGCTAGGGGGCTGAAATTCGTAATGTAGATGGGACTTTTCGAGTCCCATCTTTTCATATTGACGACGTTTCGTGCACTACGAAACCCAGTGGCGGACACAGGAATTTATTTGGGGGGGGGGGCCAAAATGAAAATCAATGTAGAATATGCTTTTTAGGGCGCCATTTTTAACGCAAAAGCCTAATATTTTACACAATTCACAGACTTTAGGGGGGGCCCGGGCCTCATGAGCCCTCCCCCTGTATCCGCCACTGACGAAACCCCACCATCAATCAAATCAAAAAATCGTCCGATTTAAATGAAATTTTGTATGTCAACAACAACAACAACAAACAACGCTTTATTGTACAAAAAGCCAAAACAGCTTCATCGACAAAGCACTCACAAACAACAAAATCACAAAAAAAAATAGAAACAACAAAAAATACACAATACAAATAATACAATTCAAAAAAATTTAAGTCTTTAAAATTACAAAAAGAATATACATGGACAATTTTAGAAGAGTACGCAGTAAATAGATATAATTTTAGAGTTATAAAATATTAAATACTTGACCTTTGACCAGTGTGTGAGATGATCAAAATTTTAAAATTCAAAATTGTTCATAATTAACCATCAACAAAAAAGTCGTTTACCGCATATAGGGCTCTCTCCAGTAGGTATGATTTTAGTGCTTTGCGAAATGCGGGAAAGAGTGAAAGCGACTTGATATGCAAAGGCAGATGATTGTACATTTTTTTGGCATTGTACAGTATTGAACCTTTAACTAGTTCTGAGCTCGGGGTTGGCAGATAAAGATCGTGCTCTGCATTCCTAAGTGGATAGTTATGAAATGGCCTTTCGGGAATAGCACATATGTGCTTGTGGATTAAGCAAACGGATTCAAAAATGAATAAAGGAAGAGTCAGTATTTTCAAATTTTTAAAAAAATTCTGGCAGTGAGTTCTACTGTTCAGTCCCAATAAATATCGAACTGCTCTCTTTTGAAGTCTGAAAACACGATCAAATTTTGTTGCGCAGCAAGTACCCCAGAATGGAAGGGCATAACGAAGATGTGACTCAAAAAGGGCATAATAGGCTATTCTAGAGGTTGAGATAGATTGGACCAAGGCCAACTTGACCGTGTACGACACGTGTCACTGTGACAATTAGTTTTGACGTGTGTGTAAGAAACATCAAAAGTTTCGTTAGTATATTCTGTGATCAAAAGTTGATGTCGTTCGATCGCGACCAAATTTGGTGGGTAGGCTATGTGAGCGACGGTGCACAAGGTGCCCTGCAGAGTTGAATACAATGTTTCGTTTACATCTTCATCAGGGTGGGACTATGGATTTGATATATTGAAGAAAAGTGTAGGTCGATTTCGGCATAATTGGGGACGGGCTACAGAATGACGCACTCGACGTTTCGAACCGATCAAATACCTCTACTGCAATCTAAATGGACGAAATCATCAGGATTTTACTTAATTATGGGTCGATTGGAACCAAACTCCGCACGTGGATAGAGGTACCCGAATGAAGTCCTCAAACTGACAGACAGACAGACGGAAGTAAGAAGTTTCACTTCAAATATGCGCTCACAATTTTTTAGAGATTTTTTTTTATATTTTTCGGATTTTGGTTATTTGGTAAAAAACACAAAATAATTTGAAAAAAAATCTTAATTTCATTTTGTCACATTTTTTTCGATCTTCGTTACAACAGTTATGTACAAATTATGCAATAATAATTAAGGTCAAAAATGGTAAAAAATGCTAGTAAGAGTGAACTTCATGTGTTCTAATTTTTTTAAAATTATAAACAATATTTTTACTTATTAATTATCATATAAATACAACGCATTTCGTTAAGTACGAAATACTCTTACAACACTTTGATAATTAATAGGTAGGTACCTATCTAATAATTAGTAATAAATATAAATTATTATATTTTTTATTATAAAATTTATTTTAATTTTTATGCTTAAAAATATTCAGTTTAAGATAATCTTGCAAAAAAATCCCAAAAAAGTGTTAAATGCGTGGGGACCTATTGTGCACCAGAGCCTATTTTTTATCATATTATTATATCTCTCATTAATTCCTTATTTAGGATAAATAAGAAGGGAATATAATAATATAAATATATATTATTTGGCAAAATAAAAACACTATATATAAAAAAGTATAATTTAAGAGAAAAATATCTTGGGATGAAAATGTTAATTTAAACGTTAGATAGGCACCCTGGAAAGAAAAATTTGTAAGATTTTTCAAACAAAACCAATAAATAACAGCACGAAAATTATTTGTTATATTTACTTTCCAATCCTCATTGTTCAAAAATACCCAAGAATAGTATCTCAGATAATATTCTAAGTTCGATATTATAAACAAATACATTTTGTCCATTGTAAGGTCTTTAATGATTTATCACAACCACCATGCTGCGTTATGTAAATATTTACCAAATATTTCCAAAACTTTTAATGCGTCTCTAACAACTTTATTCAAATATTCCACAGTTAACTTGCTCATATTTCATTATATAAGAAGCAAACACATGTTTATATATTACCGCGTAACAATGACATTGAAAAAGGAACCATTTTAAAATGTAAAGCACGAAAGTTCTTGAATAGAAAACACCTATGACCTACTTAATAAATAAACACTACTTACGGTATTATCTAGCAACAAATTAAGTCTTCTCTGCGTTACAGTTTTCTGAATTCTTTTGCTATACGACGCGTTTCCAGCAGCCTTTATGCACCGTTCCCCGTTATCAATTAAACAACAAATTTGGTCCGTAGGACCCCGCGAATCTTCTTCACCGGTGCTGAAACCGTTCATTCTCTAAACACGGCGGCTTCGAGACAATCCAGCAGCCATTACTTCATTTCACCGAACTGGTTAATTAACACATTTAACTTTTAACCGGCTTTTTAGGTTTAGTTCGTCGACGAAATCACTGCGCGTTCGGCTTGGCGATATTTTTATTTGTTGATTCTTCGCAAGCTTGAACTTTCGTGACGTTTTCACGCCAGGCAAACGTCAAACTTGGTGTCACGCCTCGAGACCAATCGATTTTCAGATGCGTGTATTACTAGTCATATAACAACCATCATCTATTTTTAATTATTAAAAATCTTGATTTAATTTAATGATAAAAAAATATTAAAATTATATTAAACTATAATCGAATGGAACTTTATATTTAAAGATGAGTTATTGTCATCTAAATATGGACTAGTACTCTTTAACTAATATGTATCAATTTCTTAAGCAATTTATAGACAGAAAACCTATATTTTAAGAAGGTACTTGGTTACAATTAAAAACTAATGTAGTTTTAGTAAATCTCATGGAAATCTAATGACACTCGCACTTAGTGATTTATTTTACATACCATATCATTAAAACTAATTTAACAAAAGACTAATATTTAGGAACATTCTAAAATATCTCAATTTTCACAACTCAGCTGCCTGTTTGTTTCACTGCAGCTAATGCATTTTCATTAGCTAGAACTTGGAATTCTTGAAACCGTTGTGATATCCTCTGGTTTACTTTAAGAAACTTTTCTAAGCAATTTAATGCACATTTATCCTGAAAATATCAAACATTTTTGTAAGGTGTTTTTATATGATCTGGTTGACAATTCTATAAATAACAAACTTACCTCGGCGTGCTTTATGTTCCTACTAGTAAAATCAGTAACACAATCAATAAAACACATTTCTGTTAATTTATTATAAGATATTAAGAAGTCTTTAAACTGAAAATAAAATATTTAAGGTTAGTTTTGCATATGTGATTTTGTTAAAAAGAAAACTTACAGTCTTAATTTGTTCACCATCTATATTTTCTAAACCCGTTCCTGGTGGTAATGGCACACTCATTTTTAATTTAGTGCTGTTTTATTTAATTAAAAGAAAAAGCAACCTTTTTCTTAAATTATTAATTATCTGTCAAATTTAATGTCAAAATTTAAAAAAAAACATGCGGATTTGATTTTGACAACTGTCCAGCACAGCAGGAAAATTTGAATTTTACTGTTGGTGGTACTGATCAGTGGGGATAATAATTGTTATCATGTTGGTTATCCTGATTTCGACTTTTTTATGTCGATTTTTTGGCAAAAGAGAAAATTGTCCAAAATATTTATAAACCCTATTTTACTTATGATAGTTTTTACAAACAAGAATAGTATAATCGAATTGAACAGCTTTTCAAAATGGGTAAGGCGAAAAAGCAACGTAAAGGCGAGAAGGGCGACGAAAGGTTAGTTTTTATTTCTACCGACATGCTGCATTTTTATTAATAAAATACGTAACTATAAGTACGATTTATATTTTTAGCGATTCAGACTCTGAAGTAGATACACAAGACCTTATAGAAAAGACCAACAATAAGAAGGGTAAAAATTTAAAGTAGGTGTAGTTACAATATGTTACAAAACTTTTAGGTTATATTTAAGTGGTCAGTCAAGTTTACTGGAAAGAATATTATTTGAATTGTACTTTCTGATAGTGTAAAGGTTGTATAATAAGTATATAAATATTCCAGAAACAAGGACGGTGAGAAAGAAAATCCTAAACAAAAAAAGGGTAAAGGTAAAGCAGACAAACATGCAAGCGATTCTGAAGGCTCAGATGCAGAGGCGCCTGTAACTAAAGTACAGAGTGCTTTTGCTCTGTTACAAGTCGAGGACAGTGGTGAAGATGAACCTGTAAGTATTTTCCCTAAATTATATTATATATGCATATTTTTATTTATTTTTTAGATTGCCCAGCAAGATAGTGAGAGCGATAGTGAAAAGAAACCTGTTACAAAGAACAAGAAGAAAGCCAATGAAACTAAACAAGATCAAGGGGGCAAGAAAGGTAAAAAAAGTAAAAGGAAAAAAGATGATGATGATGATGAATTGGAAAAGGCATTGGCTGAGTTAGAAATGGAATATGCAGGTAAGTGATATCCTTAAATTTGTTCAATTTAATTTGGTAAATATCTTTGTTCTGTAAGGTGTTAAAAAAGAGGAAACTCCACAAGAAGAATCCGAAACTAAAAGTAGTAAAAAGAGTAAAAATAAAAATAAGGTAGAATCAAAAGAAGAAACTTTAGTTGATTCTGTTGAAGATCAAGATAACTTAGAAGAAGGTGGGACAGTTAAAACAGCTGCTCAAAAAAAGAAAGAGAAAAAGGAGAGGGAAAAACAGAAAAAACTGCTTAATAAAACTAAAAAACAGGATAGTACAGAAGAATCAACACCTGGCATAGATAAGGTAGTTAATGATTTAGAGGTATGTCTATTTATTCTAGGTTTAAGATTGATAGTTTTAATGTTTTATGTATTTTTGACAGGTTAGTGAATCAGCAACCGGTGAAGATGTGAGTAAAGAAGTCTCAGAAGAAACAAGCAAGAAGAAGAAAAAGAAAGGTAAAGATAAAGATAAAGCAACAGATGACACTGCTGAGAATGAAACTAAAGAAGAAGGTAAAGAGGATGGTGCTGATGAAGGAGAAAAAGTCAGCAAAAAGAAAAAAGGTGCCAAAGAAAAAGAAGATAAATCAGCTAAAATTAAAAAAGGTTTAAAACTGTTATTCTTATTATTCATATATCTTTATCATTTTTATTTTTGTAGGTCCCGCTAAAAAAACTATTGCTGCTATGCAAGAAACTCTAAAGAAATTTAAAGAGGAAGAAGAGAGAGCTAAACGTGAAGAAGAGGAAAGAATAAAAAGAGAGGAAGAAGCGGAGAATGCGCGATTGGAGGCTTTAAGGTAGAGTTAGATATTTTTATAATTTATTGAGTTATAATTTTATACAATTTAAGATTAGAGCAAGAGAGAAAAGATAAGAAAAAACAGAAAGAAAAAGAAAGGAAAGAAAGACTGAAGGCAGAAGGCAAACTGCTAACTGCCAAACAAAAGGCTGACAGAGCAAGAGCACAAGCATTGATTGATAGTTTAAAGGTAAGTCTATGTATAAGTTTTTTATATCTTCAAAAAAGTCCTATGGGTATTTCGCCACCGTAAGAAAATCTACAATATAGAATAATCAAACAGAGACTAATTGTCAGCAGTGATTTACTAATAAACAAATTTGCTAACGGACAAAAAAATGCTTAACGTTTTAGAAAGTATATCTCTTCCCGTCGTCGGAGGCAAAAAACCACAAAGAACAAAGAAAAAAACTATTTAAAATGTCTAAGTGCAACTATTCGAGAACACTTTTTTTTTCAACAGATACATCTATAAAAACTGTTGACATTCTGTTAAAATGACATTATATTATCAAGTTAAACTTCAAAATTAACAATTACTACCTGATAACAATTACTTAGTAAGGTACCAAAAAAAAGTACCAAACCAAAAAGTTTCAAACTTTCTGTTTGATTATTTTTTAATAATTTGTTTTTAATTTTTACTTACGTTATGTTTATTTATTTTATTTATTTATTACAACTGTAGACCTTTCACTGTGATAAAAAATACAATGCGTGCGAAAAGTCCGCGTCATACTTGACTGGGAAACGAAGTTCGCTGTCATTTTATAGCCAATTTGGCGCCGTTTTTTTTCTCGATCATACAGTATTTTTATCAATTTTCTGTTTATATAGGCACAAGGCGTTGAGTTGCCAGATGTTGGCGAAAAGAAACCCAGACTTGGAACAAGAGTAAAGCCAAGCAAGCCGAAGAAAGATGCTTTACAACAAGAAACAAAAGAAGAAACTCCAAACGAAGAACAGCATGAAGAACCAAAAGAGAAATTAGAAAAAGAAGAACCTAAAGGTATTTTACAGATTTTTTAAGTATTTTTTTTTCGAAAATTTCTATTTATTTTGTAGTTGAAGAACCAAAAGAAGAAGAAGAGGATGTTAAGGATGCTTGGGATGCTTCATCTTCCGAGGACGAATCAGAAGAAGTATCAGCAGCCAAGAATGCAGAAGCAAAATCACAACCAGCTAAATCAGCAGCTAAAGCAGAACAGGTAAATTTTGTAAATAGTGTTACTTCTCTTTGATTGTAATAAAAGAAAAATTAACAGGAAAAAGATGATGAATCAGATGATAGTAGTTCTGAAGAAGAGACAGAGTCTGGTAGCGAATCAGACTCTGATGATGAAGATGAGGAAGAGGAAGATACTAAAAATACTGCTGCTAAATCAAGAGAGAGGGCCGAGGAAAGGATTAGAGTAAGTTGATTATTGTTGATTATTTACTAGGTTTTGCTAAGAGAACAATATGGCAAAGTCCAATCCCGCCACAATTCCTCTATTAGAGCAGACAGATTTTTTAAGTTAGTTAACATTTGAAGGGTCCAGGTTTTACAACATTATAGTAGGTTTAACTGGTCCCTACAAAATGTATAGACTCTGCAGGGCAATAAGTTGTTAAGTCCTATGATATATGCCTAGTAAAAATATATGTACAGGATGTCCCACTAAGAATAGCTCTCGGCTGTATCTCGGAAAGAATTAGCCGTTCGGCATGCTGAAAAAAAGATTTATAACTAAAGAGGCTATGAGAAATTGCTGGAAATTATTTTCAAGTTTGCTATAAAAAATAAGAAAAAGAAGTTTTTACACAATTTCGCCTAGATAACGGGTACTATAAATAATAGTTTCATAATCTTCAGTAAATTTTGAATATTTTTTGTTAAAACCACTCCTATCTGCCAAAATAAAGTGGAGAGGGAAGGTTAGATCTGTTTTTATTTAAATGTTAATAACTCCAGACTGGATGATCAGAATTCAACAAACGAGGGTTCCAACTCCGTTTAAAGAGCGTTCCTTACTCTATATTATACCATAAAAATAATAATAAGCTTTTGAACGTAGACGATAGGGGGCACTGTTTTGCAATTTAACAAACATTGTGCGTTTTTTCAAAAAAATTAAATGCAATGGTATATGTAATTTTAGCTGATAGTAAAGAATAATGAAAACTTAAAAAGTCAGTGAAAACCGCATCTTGATACCTTCTTTCGAACCGAAGATATTAGCAAAATTATATTATATAGGAAAATATAAGCTCTTAATTACCATATTTTTATAATACGGTATCAGTAGCCCTCTTGATTATGCCCATTCTAATAAAAAATAACTTAGAAACGATTAGATTATTTAAAATGGACAATATACCAGAATACCATAATACCAGATATATTAATATCTAATAATTAAGATGTTTATAACAGTGACCAAGAAACGATCCTCAGTGAGGTCATGGTAGGCTTTGGAAAAAAGTTGCTTTTGATAAACGCCAAATTGTTATTAGATCAACATTTTGATAGTCTTAGCAGCTTTTCACTGACTTTTTAAGCTTTTATTACTCTTTACTATCAGCTAAAATTACATATTCTATCGCATTTATTTTTTTTTGAAAAACCGCGCTATGTTTGTTAATTTGTAACACAGCTCCTCCTAGCGTCTACGTACAAAAGCTTATTATTAATGTTTATATGGTATAATACAGAGTAAGAAACGCTTTTTCAAACGAGCCCCCGTTTGTTGGATTCCGTCCATCCAATCCGGAGTTATTAATATTTAAATAAAAACACACCTAACCTTCCCCCACCACTTTATTTTGGCAGATAGGGGAAAATGGTTCTAATAAAAAATATTCAGAATTTACTGAAAATTATAAAGCTATTATTTATAGTACCCCTTTTCTAGGCAAAATTGTGTAAAAACTCTCATTTTCTTATTTTTTATAGCAGTTACGCCCTCTAGCGGCCATTATACAAACTTCAAAATAATTTCCAGCAATTTCTCATGGCCTCTTTAGTTATGAATATTTTTTTTCCGCAGGCCCTACGGCTAATACTTTCCGAGATATAGCCGAGAGCTATTCTTAGTGGGACACCCTGTACAGAGAAAGAACCTGATAACCACCAGCCGTCCAGTGCTCTCCAGTAAAACTAGAAAAATGGGGCTTACGATGTTTTCCCCTGGACTCTTCATTTATTTGATTTGTTACAAGTATTTAATTAATTTTTTCTTTTTATAATTTGTTTATTGTTTTATTTTATTAGTAATATTTTACTCTTTTTTATTTTAATTTTAATAATTTTTTATATTATGTATTTTTCATAATTATTTTTTTTAACTTAGAAACGTAAAGAAGAGGCTGAAAAACATCGCAGCATAGATAACCTTCGCGCCGCCATCGTGTGCGTTTTGGGTCACGTAGATACAGGAAAAACGAAGATTCTGGATAAATTGAGGAGAACGAACGTGCAAGATGGAGAAGCTGGCGGTATTACGCAACAAATTGGCGCGACTAACGTGCCCATTGATGCTATAAAAGAACAGATAAAAATCGTCAAAGGGGTAAGTATAATGAGAGAATTTCGTTTCATAACACTATTCATTCAGTACTACTTTTATTTTAACATATACCCTGCTGGTCATCCAAACTATGTGGCCTGGATTTTAATGTGTGTGACAATAAAATTACCGAAAAATAAATGACCGGTTGACAGACAGAGAGACAAAATAAAAAACGGCAACACTGTCGTTAAAAAAATATATATAAAAATAAATCAAATTATATAAAAATTTGCCGTTTTTGACATTTGTAGGAAAATGTGTGTATAAAAATATAAGCTATTTTAAAAACTTTCTTGTTTTAAACGTGTCTTAAACTTCTTTTAAACTTGTTAAACTTTTAAAACTGTTTAAGGCATAAACAGAGTTTTAAACATGTATGATGTGTAGGGAGAAAAGCAACAATAGAAAAAAACAGATCTTTTTTTTCAATTATTTAATACAAATACTCTAATATAAAAGAAATAAATAACAAAGTACCTAATCGTCTAAATCTAATAGTGCCTAGAAACACACACAAATTTCGTTACACTCATAGCACAGAATATCTAGCTACGCAACAGAAGCCTCGTTACATGTATAAAATCGTAGGTCTCAAAAGGAGACAGGCTTTTAAAGCCTGTCTCCAAATCAGATATTTTGATGCGGTAGTTTCGCTACTACATAATAGAGGGCGATAAATTTAAAAGAAAACAGTTTTCTACAAACAAAATTTAAAAGAATTTTATGCAGTGTTACCATTGTGTAATTATATTGTAATACTTCCTGATAAAGCCTACCTTCAAATTTGCTACATCATTTAAACATCTTAAAATAGATTAGAGCTCTTTTTTTTTCAAACGTTTAAGTATTTAACTTGCCATGTTAGTTGGAGTTAAATCTTACGAGCTGAATTAAAATCACTTCCTGACTTTTGATTCTAACTGAATCCTGAATTTTGATTGTAATTCGACTATTATGACACCACTTCCTGACGTTCGATTGTGTTCATACCGTATGATCGGGAAAACACGGCGTTAGCGATGGCTATGAAATGAAAATCGCTGTCATTTTATGTGTGAATTTATATGGGAAATGTCATCGATCGTCTTTTCCCAGCCAACTGGACGCCGTTTTTTTCGACGGTATTTTTTGACGGTATTTAACATATACTTGCGTATTTTTCATGACATTGCAATATTATGGTACCATGAAGCATATCCAGTGATACCGTAATATAGTACCATATTACGATACATGGCGTTCGATTGGGCTTAAACTTCTCTTCTTCTTCAGGGTATATTACGTATCTTCAGTGACATTGTAATATTATGGTACCATGGAGCATATAAAGAGGTACCTTCTATAGTACCATATTATGATACCAATTCCTGACGTTCATTTGGGCTCATATTTGATATATACTTGCATATTTTTGATGACATTGCAATATTATGGTACCATGAAGCATATCAAGAGGTACCATAATAGTACCATATACGATACCATTTCCTGGCGTGCGATTGGACTTATACTTGGTATAGTAAGTATCTTCGGTGACATTGTAATATGATGGGACTATGGTGCATATAAAGTGGTAACTTAATATAGTACCATATTACGGTACCACTTCCTGACGTTCGATTGGGCTCATATTTGATTCATGTGCACTCCCCCGGAAAATCATAACAGCGCTATAAAAATCGGAGAAGAACTGTTGGAATATGTATCGGAATTTAATTACCTCGGCAGTTTGATTTCGGAAAAGGCAAATATCGACTCTGAAATTCAGCACAGAATCAGCAGCGCCTCAAGAGCATTCTGGAAATTAAAAGACAGGATTTTCTACAGTCATGACTTGAGCACAAAAACGAAACTTGCAGTGTATCGAGCAGTACTAATCCCCACCATGTTATATGGAAGCGAAACCTGGGTGCCGTACCGCCGGCACACGAGCGCGTTAAACAAGTTGCAACAGAGACACCTTAGACAACTTTTAAGAATCAAATGGTACCACCATGTCTCAAACGTATCAGTCCTTAAAAAAAAGCAAGCTGCGAGAGCGCTGAAGTCATGATTACTAAATCTCGCTTAAGATGGGCTGGCCACGTATGCAGGATGCAAGAAAACCGTCTACCGAAATCTCTTCTTTACGGTGAACTTGTAGAGGGTAAGAGGAAACCGGGTGGACAACTCAAAAGATACAAGGATGTTGTTCATGAAAACTTAAAGGGGATAAGTATGCCGCATCAGTGGGAGGAAGCAGCGCACAATAGAACGCAATGGAGGAGAATTGTAAATTCAGTTAATAACGACAACCAAAAAGTAAAGAGGCAACAAAGTAATGAGATTTTTGAATGTCCGGAGTGCGGAAGAGAGATAACATCACGTATCGGGCTTTTCAGTCACAGAAAAGCTCATGACAGGAAACGCCTTGCGTGACCATCTTTTGATGCGTGTCAAATACTCGTCAGCGAGTAATGGCAGTAGTAGTAGTATATTTGATTATACTTGCGTATTTTTGATGACATTCCAATATTATGGTACCATGAAGCATATCAAGGGGTACCATAATGTAGTACCATATTACGATACCATTTCCTGGCGTTCGATTGGGCCCAAATTTGATATACTTGCGTTTCTTTATAAAGATTTGTTTAATTAATAATTTTCATTTATTTTACGAATTTTAATTTATTGTACGATGTCGTGACAGCAATTTTTATGCCGAACTAATATATTATTAATTGTACCTGTGTCACTTTTTAAAATCTACCTAGGTCTATATAAATAACGTGGCAAACAGAAAAAAATTGTTATTATAGTATTTTTTTAGTCAATTAACATTTTTTGTACTGCATTATCATTATTAATAAATCATTTCCATTATTATTAAACGTATATTTCATTACTAACGTTTTAGCATTAATAAATATCACTATCAATCGTTCTGTATATTATTAATTTTAAAGGTAATTAAAGTTATTTTCTTAGTTAACATAATAAAGTAGTGTATATTAAAAATGTATTTTGAGAGCATATGTTTTCTAATAATATACTTAAAATTAAAACTATTTTAAAAGCCAAACGAATAATTAATATAAGTGTATCTGACAAGAAATGAAGAACAGAAAGAAATTATTATACACCAGAAAAAGAATGGGATGCCAATTAAAGTCTTTTTGAATCTGGCAACTGTGCATATTTAACCGAGCTTCAAGGCCGTCGATCTACGTCGATCCGAAACCGAAAGTTGAAAATTTCCAATTATATTCTGATTATGATATTGTCGCGCCATCTAGTATTTTATTTGTGCAATTTTAGCTCTTTCATTTCGAGTATTTTTCTGTTGCGTAGCTAGATATTCTGTGCTCATAGTCATTATAGAAGATAAAGAGTACCTAATCACGTAAACCTATTATTCTGTGCTACAACTCGGAGGAGTACTGTTAGGTTCTCTAAAAATCGAAATACCATTTTGCAACTTTATCGTTACCCAATAGGATTTAGTTGGAAATACCTGTTTCGTAAGTACCGGGAATTTCCGGTTGTTTTGAGCCATCGAACAACTGGAACTCGAAATTAATTCCTTGTTCTTTCGGTACTTTCGGCACTGGGTAACACTGGGATCTTTATTATTATTTAAATTTCTTAACACATTTTTTCAACCTTTTAGGCTAACGATATGGATTTAAGGATACCTGGATTACTGATTATTGATACACCTGGACACGAGTCCTTCTCGAATCTTAGAAATAGAGGCTCTTCTTTGTGCGACATTGCCATATTAGTTGTAGACATTATGCACGGTCTAGAACCCCAAACAATCGAATCCATAAACATGTTGAAGCAGAAAAATTGTCCGTTTGTTGTAGCGCTAAACAAAATTGACAGGTACGTTAAATTTTCTATAAAGCAATTGTTATTAATAACGCTAATATGATGACAATTTTTAGGTTATATGACTGGCAGACAATGAATAGGAAGGACGTGACAGATATTTTAAAAGCTCAAGCTGCCAACACTCAGCTCGAGTTTGAGCAAAGAACTCAGGCTGTGATTGTGCAATTCGCTGAACAGGGTAAGTTTTATTTGGAAAAATCACAGTTAAAAATATATTTGGGATAACAACGACATGCGATATTACGGGAGAACAAGTAAAGTAAAATAAAAACACTAAATCACCACAATACACCAAAACACTTTTACTTTTACACTGGACGCGCGTTTCGCTAACCATGTTAGCATCATCAGCAGATGATTATAAACTAAAGTACAATCTACAAGTTGAGCGTTTATATACACGCTCAGTGGGCAACGAGTGGGCGTGGCAAAATCTAGCCAACCGAGTCAGAGCCAACTGAGCGTAACAGTTAGATTTACGCCACTAGAGTAGTAGGAACAAAGAACTTGAAGGAATTGGACCGTTGACTCTGTTCATACTATCTTTACATTTATTAATTCTGATGCTTTCATATGCATCTAATTGCCTGTAATTTGAGACTTGTTTAATTAATTTTAAATTATTAAGATCTATACAATGTTCATTATCAACAATATGTTCGGCAACGCAAGATTTATCCGGTCTACCGTATCTTATCTGAGCTAAATGTTCTTTAAATCTAGTTAATATTGATCTTCTAGTTTGCCCAACATATTTCTGATTACAATCTTTACAAAGAAATTTCATAAATACCCGATCTTTCCAGTGGAGGTGTTTTATCCTTTGGATTACCTAATAATTGTTGTAATTTATTATTAGCACTATACACAAGTTTATAATTGACATTCTTAAAAATTCCTTTTAGACCACGGGATAACTCTCTATCAAACGGTATCGAAAAATATTTAGACGTATCTTTCTCCACTTGAACAGTCGAATTTTCAGAAATCATTAACCTATACCTACGTTTTCTAATTAATTTATCAACTAGTGAAGGAGAATATCCATTACACTCAGCTACATTCCTAATGTAATCTCTTTCTATTTCATATCTTTCGTTGGAAAGTGGGAAACTAAGTAATCTATGAACTAAGAAATTTAAACTAGCCATTTTATGTTCAACACTATGATGTGATTCATTAGGAATATAGCTGCGTGTGGTCGTATTTTTCCTATAGATATCAAATTCCAGGCAATTATTAGTATTTTTAATAACTAATACATCTAGAAATGGTAATCTGTCGTTGTTCTCAATTTCATGCGTAAATTTAATGGACGGAAAACGATTATTTAACTTAGAAATAAAATTATCTATGGTGTCTGAATGTGTGTCAAAAACAGCAAAAATATCATCTACATACCTAAACCATACTCTTGGAAAATACTCAAACTGATTCTTAGCCTCCACTTCAAACCTGCTCATGAATAAATTAGCCAAAAATGGAGACAATGGATTACCCATTGCTGTACCTTCCCGCTGTTCATAAAAGTTGTTATTAAATTGAAAACAATTTTGTTTCATACATAACGATGTAAGCTCAATATATTCACTCACAGTTTTGTTGTCGAGACCATTTGCGTTCAGTAATTCCTTTAAGTAGCCTAAAGTATGTGGAATTGGAACACTTGGGAACAATGAAGATACATCAAAGGAGACCAAAATTTCACCTTCGTGCAATGTTATATCTTTAATTTTGTTAATGAATTCAATATTATTTTTAACTGAGAAAGAAGGTTCATGATCAGGTAAATTTTCGAACTCCCTTGATAACCATTTTGCCATTTTTTGTTTTTATTTTGCTGTGTAACACCAAAGGTTCCAACCCTCAACTGTAAACAAGTAAAGTGTCATAATTAGGGGTTATGCACTAATAACGTTGCATCGTGACCCTATTTACTATTTTCGCAGAAAAGATGCCATGCAGTAATGCAATTGACAAAGTGTTATACAGGGTGTTTCAGGAAACCTGTGCCATCTCATAATTTACGTGGGAAGATACCCCACGTAAAAATAAGATTTATTTTTCATATCAACATAGTAGCTAGGGGTGTTAAAGTCTTAATATTTTTTTCGATTTATTATAATTTTTTTCAAGTACTTTTAGCGCTTCAAATGAAATTTTGAAGGTAAAAGTTACTATAAATGCTGCATATTTTAAAGTTAATAAAGTGTCGACATATTCACCCGGGACGTGGATATGGGTTATCACTGGAAGCATGTACGCCACTGACTTTTTTCTCTTATTAGCGAAATAGTGCCAGCAGTTTAATGCCAATTAAAAATTGTCTCTTGATATTTTGTCGATTTCGGCTTGCATGATGAGACAAACGCAATTTTATTAATTTGCCTTAATCCAAGTATAATAGCAACCTTTAAAAAATTTTAATATCATTAACTTGCGAAAGTTTTAAATAAGTACTCATTGATTCCTCATCAAAAAATATGAAAAAAAGTTCCTATAAACATGGGTATAGAAAAGCATAGTTTTAGAGTTACAGGATGTTAAAAAGTTTTTAAAATTAAGCTTTTTGTAATTATCTTACATGCCATTATTTTTTTTTATTGGCAATTGCTGTAGCTTGGACTAATAGTAGTAATAATATTTAAAAATAAATTAGGTAAAATATATAATTTATTAATTTTATTTTTAATTTAATTTTATTAATTATTGTGATTAATAAAATTTTGTTTATCTCAACAAGGAGGACCGAATTCGACAAAATATCAAGAGATAACTTTTAATTGGCATTAAACGGCCTACACAATTTTGATATCAAAAGAAAAAAGTCAGTAGCAAACAGGTTTTTTTTGAAAAATATTCCAGTGTTGATATGGATCAACACTGGAATATTTTTATTACAGTTTTTACACTTAATCCATATGCACGTCCCTGATGAATTTATCGACCTTTTTTAGCATTAAAATATGTAGCACTTATGGTAACTTTTACCCTCAAAATTTCATTTGAATCACTAAAAGTACTTGGAAGAAAATTATAATAAGTCGAACAATTATTAAGACTTTAACACCCTGCGACTTAGAGGTGGGAATTCTAGTTCCTTGGGAGGAACTAGTTCCTTAGTTCTAGTTCCTCCAGAGGAATAGTTCCTTGAACTAGGTCTTTGGTTCACAATAGTTCCCGACTAACATTGACATCCCCCTTGCTTGCTAATGCGTTTCGTTGTCAGTCAGAACTATTCACAGTAGGATCTGTATAATTTTTATAATGTACGGAGATATAACGAGACGTGTAATTGTGTATGTTAAAAACATATAGGTAAGTTTTATTGCAGATAAAAAGAAATAAAAAAAAACTCAAATCAGAATTTAAAAAACTATATCACAAATCAATTGGAGCAAATATTACAAAAATTTTACGAAAAATTACATTTTTCCTCACTTCAAGCTTTTTCTTTTTGTCTAAAAGTTCAGAATATCTACTTCGTTTTATAAGATATTTCTTAATTTTAGGGACCTAAAGTGAAACAATTCCCATAAAATATTTAAAAAACAAACTAGAAATGAAAAACAGTATCCACGACAAGTTTCTGTGGTAATTACGCCGCGCCGGCTGTGGCAATAGACAAGGCCGAATCCATCGTCGTCCCTTGTATTATATCTCGGATCTGCCGACCTAATAGATTCCCGTGAACTAGTCTTTTAATTCATTCCTCTATGTCCGGATCCGATAACATACAGCTGGCACTCTCCACGCCTGCCTAGCATCAATCGCGCTGACTGATCCATACGTAAACTAGTCTTTTATTTAGTTCCTCTAGTTCCTTTAGGTCCGGATCCGATAACATACGGCATACGGCTGGCACTCCCCACTCCTGCCTAGCATCGATCGCGCTGGCCCAGTCCATTCGTACGTAAACTAGTCTTTTATTTAGTTTAGTTCCTCTAGGTCCAGATCCGATAGCGTACGGCTGGCACTCCCCACTCCTGCCTACCATCGGGCTACGCGCGCTAGCCGACCCGTCCCCGTCGCATATTATTCTATATCGGTCACAGTCTCGATCCCGGAATAGGTCCTGAGGAACTAGTTCTTTGAGAAACCAGGAACTAGTTCCTTTCATTCCGGGGTCGGAATAGTTCATTGGAACTAGTTCGTTCACAAACTACACACCTCTACTGTAACTACAAAACTAAGCAAAATCGGACCTAGGTTGATATGAAAAACAAATCTTATTTTTACGTGAGGAATCTCCCCACGGGAGCTGGCACATGTTTTTTGAAATACCCTGTATACTAAATGCTTCAATATAATATTTAATATTTATGAACAAGAAATAGGAATATTATTTATACTTTTTATTAATGATTTTTGACAGGTCTAAATGCTGCCTTGTTTCACAAAAATCCCGATCCACGTAGTTATATTTCATTGGTGCCCACTAGTGCCATTACTGGCGAGGGTATGGGTAATCTATTGGCCTTAATTGTAGACTATTGCCAAACGAAAATACGTAAGCGTTTGATGTACTCTGAAGACTTACAAGCTACCGTCCTTGAGGTAAGTTATTGAATATACTTTATATATTTTTTTTAGTGGATAGAAGAATTTTGACACATTCAAGTCAAATAACAAGCTATAATGCTATTTTTATCACTAATAAAACTATACATATAGTTCATATCAAATAAACTTTTAGTCACGTGATTAAGCTTGACCGGCACACTGTTGCCCATTTTTACATATTTTCTTTTAATCATAATATTTTAGGAAACAAAAATAAATTAATTATAAATATATAAACAGTTATTATTTAAATCAACAAAACTCAGCTCCTTAACAGCACTTACCGGACATAAAGTGCCATTACTACCGCTTTCCCATTCAAGATATTCTAATAAATTTGCGATGAGTTTTGTATGGCTATTAACCTATATTATACACTTTGCACTAAAAGAGGTTCTAAAAAGAACAGTGTTGACTGCAAGGTCCCCTGCTAATATTATTTTTTTATGCTTAAAGTATCATAACACAATTCATTTAAACAACTAAAGTGTCAAAAAGAATGACAATGTCAGGAAATAAACATAGATAAATGCAACAAGTTTAGATAGGAAAGCCCGTAAAAATTTTAGGTCGCGAAATTATTTTGGGTCGCGACCGTTATACGCGATCTGGCGCTGCTATAGCGGTCGCTAAGAACAACGGCAAACAAAAACAGAAATAATTTTCTCTTGTCAAAGTCAGAATCTTCAAAAATCATAATAATCTTTAAAAATCTAAACCGCTCTCATTAAAGAAGTTCCGAAAAGTGTTTATTTTCAAAGTAATAATTGCTATCTTGTGAGTTTAATTCAAGTTTTATTTACTCCAACCGGTAATAATTGTGAAAAAGTGGCATTAAAATCTTAAAAAGCTGTGCTGTGAACTGTGAACTACAAAAACCATCGTGGATCGTGGCATAACGTCGGTTTCCAATGTTTCATAGGTATTTCATACATGCGTCCTTATATAAAATAAAGTTTCTTGTATGCAACACACTGTCTTTTATTTATAAAATTAAACGAAAATAATAATAAATTTGAATAAACAATATTTGGCGATATAATTCCGGAAAAAGCCGAACCGCTCCGAAATTTTCAAAAGTTTTGGGTCGCGACCGTTGCAAGAATAGCGCCAAATAGTGTTTACATTGTCCTTATGGGCACTTTCCAATCTAAACTTGTTTCATTTATCTATGGAATAGCGCCAAATAGTGTTTACATTGTCCTTATGGGCACTTTCCAATCTAAACTTGTTTCATTTATCTATGGAAATAAATAAATAAAGGTGGCAACTTGACATATTTTACAGTAGAGCTACCACCTGAATCCCCAGCGGGAAATTTAACTTCCATTGTCGTCCATTCTTGGCAATAATGAATTTAAAAATCGCGCCCTCGATTACGTAACTAAAAGTGTAATTGTTATTGAATATATATTTTATTACAGTGTATAATACAGAATATGATGGAATGCGAGAGCAGTCATAATGGACGTAGAAATTACATAAAAAAACATATTTATAACCGGTAATGTCGACTTTAGCAAAGTTTACAGTAATATTAATTCTATAAACTTTGACATTACCCACTTTGTACAATTCTGAAAGTGTAATTCTTACTTGAAAATGTCTTTTCTTTCTTCTTCCATTTTACTCACTCATTTCCCTCACTTGTCTTCCATTTTTTCTGGCTTCTGCTCTGTATACAGTTATTTTTAAGTTTGATGGGATATCAATGTTGGCGTAATCTTCGTTATTATCATTTTTTGATAATATTTTGTGGCTTTATTTATGACATAAATTCAAAGGAAGTAACGAGAAATTCACAATTGATAAAAGTTATTTATGTTTTACTGATTTTAATAAATCACACGTCAAAAAAAAAGTGGCAAATGTTGGCATTTTTAGTATTTGTTCATATAGAAAATAAAATATTGTACCAACATTTCTTATTAATAGTGTGGATTTAAATAAAGAAGTAGTTCTCTACACGAAATGTAGTGTTACCATTATTTATCTGGAATTCTTATTTTTTAAATTGTTATCTTAACATCTTATTTAGAAGATATTGTTATTTTTACTTAAGAAATATATTTAAGTTTTGATAAACATATTTTATTTTAGGTTAAAGCCATTCCTGGTCTAGGTACCACGATTGACGTTATTCTAGTCAACGGTACTTTAAGGGAAGGTGAAACTATGCTAGTAGCAGGTACCGATGGCCCTATAGTTACTCAAATTAGGTCGTTGTTAATGCCCCAGCCAATGAGGGAACTCAGGGTTAAGGTAAGCATAAACCATTGAATACAAATACTAAGAAGCAAAAAAAATAATTTTATACAAATGTATTTTTTAATAATTTTAATAACTGTTAACATTTTTTATGTACAACAAAACTAGCAAATTGTTGAGCCTACTATCTTTTTTGCTAATATACTGCTTCCTTAGTTTGTTTTTTCAATGCTTTAAAACATACTATTTAATTTAATAAAAAATATAATTCTATGTACCTAACCCTACTTATTAATTTTTTAGAATGCTTATGTTGAATATAGGGAAGTGAAAGCTGCCCAAGGTGTTAAGATAGCGGCAAAGGAGCTTGAAAAGGCTATAGCTGGTTTAAATTTATATGTGGCTGTGAAACCAGACGAAGTTGAGGTAAGTTTATTGTTTTTTTATATAATAAAGAAATAAAATAATAGTAATTTTTAGATATTAAGGGACGAAGTGGCTCGTGAATTAAGAAGTGCGTTGTCTGGCATAAAATTGCAAGAAAGGGGCGTTTACGTTCAAGCATCGACTTTGGGTTCTCTTGAGGCTTTACTTGAATTTTTGAAAGTCAGCAAAATACCTGTAAGTATAATGTTGTCAAATGAAATAAGTTGTTATTCCAAAAAAAATCCATAATGTTTTAAAACTATTTTCTTAGCTTTGATAGTTATATATTTTCGTAAATGAAAGCGATAAATTAACATATATGTGTTCTTAAAGTATTTTTGGTCATGCATATTAACATTGAAGAAAATATTTTATTTTTACCATATGTATATTTTTTCTGATTTTTAGTTGTCAATTTGTAATTTGTTATTTATTTCTAGTATTCTGGTATTAGGATTGGTCCAGTTGTAAAGAAGGATGTTATGAAAGCATCAATTATGTTAGAACATGAGTCTCAGTAAGTATATTTTTATATGTACTGTATTTTTATCCTGACAGCGAATAACATGATTTTAATCTTGTTTGATGATAGAACTATAGTCTGTTTAACAAGAAAATTCTTGACATTGCAGTGATAGATGTGTCATTTTAATTCATATGTAATATGTTTGGATTTATAAAGAAATAAGTGGGAACAATTGGAATGCCAAGTGGGAAATCAATAGATATTCAATAATAAATAGAATTTCAGTGGAAAATTATTACTCTAAGATACTATAGGTACCTATAATTTGAAAAAATATGTATATAACTGAAAAAAACTGGGTTGAGCTATTTTTAGTTTATAAAAAATATATAAGTATTTTAACGTGTATATAAAAATAATTATTTCTTACATTCAAACTTCCGGCAAATGTTTTGATATGCACAGAAATTAGGGTAATAAAGCACAACATAAATGAAACAAAATATTTTATTAATAATAATTTTAATAATTTACAAATATGTACTGATTTTTTTACTTTAAAACTTGATTAACTTCACTTTAATCATAATTCTTTAAACCAGTACCGTTTGACCTTATCCCTGTACAGAACTGAAAGCTACCATACGGTCGAAAAAAAAACGGCGTCCAGCTGGCTTGGAAATGACGATCGATGACTTTCCCCATATAATTTTACATTTAAAATGACATTTCATAGATATCGGTGATGCCGTTTTTTTTTCGAGTATATTGTATTATTAGGAAAGTCAGAAATTTCTGATTTCTGCCGTGTCTAGCGCTGCTGTCGGAATTTTAAAAATCGGCGGAAATACACCAAACCCATAGTCTATTTAGCGAGGGAATATGTTTGTTTCAAAAGAAATCCAAAAAATGTGAATAATAAACAAACTTTAAATTTGAATCAAAATGACGAATTTATTGAAATTTAGGCTATATACCGGGTGCGTCCAAAGGTGGCTCACCCCTATAACTTTTTTATTTTATTTTTTAGATAAAAAACGAGATTTGATATGTTAGTATATAACATAAATTAGGATTGATTGACGTATGCAATTGTTTTCCGTCACTTCCGGTTTTACCGGAAATGACTACAACATTTGATTTTTAAATGGCACCTTCTATGGTTCTCTTTCTTATGGTTTATTTGAAATTATAACTTGCGGTTCGTTACGAAAATTTGACTCGAAGTGTGTGGTATCAAATTATTCGTAAAAAAATGCTTTTTCCAAATATGCTGAACCACCCTCGTTCCATTTGAAAAAATTGAGATATGATTTAAAATACGATATGGACATCTTTTAACCGGCCAGGACAAGACAGTAGAAACATTAAGCCGATCAAGTCATCTATTCTATATGAAATCTATTTCTCCAAGGCTCCTTGATTAAAAGTTAGTGTTTTTAACACCGCCATGACACTCTAGATTGAAATTTAAAATACGATTTTTTAAGCGAAAATGTCAAAAGTTGACACGTAATATCTCATTTTATTCAGAGAGTCATTTTCTATCGAATAAAGTAGAAATATACCGAGGGTGCCATTTAAAAATCAAAAGTTATAGCCATTTCCGGTGAAAAAGGAAGTGACCAAAACAATCCAATAAGCCAATCAATCCGAATTTATGTCATATACTAACATACCCAATCTCGTTCTTTTATCTGAAAAAATAAAGAAGTTATAGGGGTGAGCCACTTTTGAGACGCACCCGGTATATGTAGTTGATAATAACATTGCAAAATATCAGTACCATTAATATTTTTCTTTTAAATTTTATAGTAAAAGCATATTTAGAATAAAGTCTTTCAGTGTAACAGGTGTCTCAGTGTATTGTTGCAAATTGTAAAAAAACTTATAATATATAAGATGCATTTTTATTTTTTACAGGTACGCGACAATATTAGCCTTCGACGTGAAAATCGAAAAAGACGCTCAAGAACTGGCTGACAGCATGGGCGTGAAAATATTCCAGGCGGACATAATCTATCACTTGTTCGATAAATTCATGGCTTACCGCGAGGAATTAAAACAGAGGAAACGGGAAGAGTTCAAGAATATCGCTGTGTTTCCTTGCAAATTACGTGTTCTTCCCCAGTTCGTCTTCAACTCCAGGGATCCTATCGTGTGCGGTGTTATGGTGGAGGCGGGTATCGTCAAAGAGGGAACTCCTATTTGCGTACCTAGTAAAGAAGTAAGTACAGTAAGATTAAAAAGTATCTTTAAAATTGTTTACACCAGTCAAAGTTTGAATCGAGGCTCTTTTGATTTTATAATCAAAGGTCGTAGGTAGGTAAATAAAATTTGGGTATATACCTGGTATACAGGGTGCTACAAGTTCGAGTTACGAGCATTGGTATCTCGCTAACCGTAATAGATACGAACATGGTTAAATTGGGGCAAAGTTGCTCCTTCAAAATCAGAAAAACTAAATTTGTGCAATAGGGAGGCTGGTAAACTTTTCAAACATGTAGAGCATTAGAAACTAGTTGGTAGAAGTTAATTTAGTCATAATGACTACGATTAATATAATGCAAATTATTAGATAATACACTGAGATTTCAAATTCACAATAAAAAAAGTTAAAAATAATATCTTTAAATTGCTGATCCGGATATTATTTATTTGAATCCTTTAATTAGCTCTAATTTTCGTTATTCCATGTTAATTAGCGGTGATCAATATTGGTGCGATGAATATAATCAGATTAAATAATTTAAAAAAATAGAGTCGGACTTGAAATTATTTTAAATAATAATTAAATAGTTTTGTTGCTGTTAGGGTACCCAAAACAAAAACAAAAGTATAAAGTGTGGCATCATTGTACTCAGGAGACCGTGTTCTTTCAAAACCTGAAATAAAAAATGCAGATCCGTATTTAAAAAAAATTAAGTTGGCTATGTACCTCACAATTTATCAGCTAATTTGAAAATATAAAAAAAATCCTATCAGATAGTCAAAAAATAAAATTGTTTTCAAAAAAATCCGTTATTTTTTTCAAAAAAACTCGGCTATCCTTGAAATTTTTTTAACTTTTTTAATAGCATCTTGGTGGACAGCCCAAGGCGCAACTTTGCCCCAATTTAACTATGTTCATATCTATCCGAGACACCAATGCTCGTACCTCGAATTTGTAGCACCCTGTATACCCAGAAGTTGTAGGGTATACCAACCTGGTCATTGTAAAAGCGTGGTCTGGATTTTAACGTGTAAGACAGTGATGTAGGCAGCTTAAAGAAAAATCAAATGTTTTAAAAATGATAAAAGTTGGGTTGATACATTTCTTCTATGCAGTATTGCCAGATTTTGCATCAAAATTTCAAATCGCACAAGTATCACATGTATCGAAAAATGTTGCATCTAGGGTTGGAACTTTATTTTTCAAAATTTTATTACTCATTTTACTTCAGATGTAATAGATTATATTTAGCTTAGATATATTATCTTCATTTCAGTAGTATATTTGTAGTATATTGCCACGTCTAACATTTAATCATTAAATTATAAATTATCCGACATATACATGAAAGTTTTTAAAATAGTTTATTTTTTTCTACACACATATTCCTACAAATTTAAAAATCGGCAACACTGTATGCCGCTTTTTATTTTCTGTCTCTGTCTGTCAACCGGTCATTTATGTTTATCTCTGTCGCATGCATTAAAATAAAGACTACGTAGATGAAGTTACCAGGGCTAGTATATGTTTGAAGCACAGTTTGAAAGTTTTTTGTATTAAAAAAGAACCTACTATATTTACGATTTACTTACAGGTTTTTTTATATTTCAGTTTGTTGATATAGGGATAGTGACTAGCATAGAAAACAATCATAAACCAGTAGAAAATGCTAGGAAAGGAATGGAAATATGCATCAAAATCGAACCAATACCTGGAGAATCTCCGAAGATGTTTGGCCGACATTTTGATGAAACTGATATGCTAGTTAGTAAGGTAAGTCTGAATACAGTTCGTTAATGATTAAAAAAGAATGGTACTTGATGGATTTTTAAATTTCATACTAATTTAAAGATTTTTTTTTTGAAAATTAGAATATTGGCACAGATTATACAGATTATAAACTTTGTTTTTTCTTTATTGTTTTTCGTGGTTCCAATTTTCGGAATCGGGCACTAGTTAGGTTACTAGTTTGCGCACATAGCACGCCCACTTATGGCCTCTAAAATTGTGCACAGCGCCTGACCGGCATCGTTATTAGAGAGATATCGGAAAACCGAATAGCGTCATGCAGTATTTACGCGTACCATATCATGGTTACGATATGCGCGAGTCAATTTTTAACGCAACACCCGCTAATAACGTTACCGCCTGACGTAATTTGCGGATCAATTACACCAAGCGCTATTTCTAAATAACGTTTAAAAATTGCTTAAATGGGCATGTGCGGGTATTTGACCACCGGGGCCGGCCGGCGAGATCTTTTATTTTAGGTTATGTTTGAATTGTTTTGAATTATTACTTTAGTTTTATTAGGTAATTTGATATTTAAGTAGCTGGGATTAGTTTTAATTAAATAAATATGGGCCCAAAATATGGATTCCACCTCTTCCATTATTAAAGAACCTGTAAAGAGGCTCCATGGAAGAAATGGAATTTATTATGCAACGTCTCCAAGAAACTAGTACAGAATTTGGGCTAAAACTTAATCCTAACAAAACTACTGTCATGATTGTGGACCGACAAAACAACAACCAACCTCACGTGGGAAACATAGCTGGATTTAAGGTGGTTAATAAATACTTATATCTGGGATCGCTAATCGACAACAGCGGCTCATGCGAAGGCGAAATAAGACGTAGAATTGCGCTGGCTAGAACAGCCGTAACTAAATTAACTAAGATATGGAAAGATACAGCCATCACTAAGAATACCAAACTAAGACTGCTGAACTCGCTTGTTTTCCCGATTGCTACGTATGGGGCGGAAACATGGACGCTGAAGAAAAGCGATACCAGGCGAATAGATGCTTTTGAAATGTGGGCATATAGACGTCTGCTACGTATACCTTGGACAGCCCATCGTACGAATGAGTCAGTTTTCCAAGAACTAAACTCACAACTCAGCCTCTCAAAAAAAATAAACCGATGTTTTCTGACATATATTGGTCACATTGCTAGAAGAACGGACTCACTGCAGCTGCTAATAGTCGAGGGAAAGGTAGAGGGAAAGCGACCACGAGGAAGATCACCCAAGAGATGGGTTGATCAAACTAAAGACCTAATCGGCCAAGGCCTTCATGAAACCGTCAGCATGGCTCAAAACAGAGCGGACTGGCACAATACGATAAAAACCGCTACAGGAACATCATAGTCACTAATCCCTCTTCAGGGAAACGGACCAAAGAGAGAGAAAGAGGCTTATAGGTTTACAGCAGATGACGACTTAGCCCTTCTAAGAGAATTTGTTGCTTGTTGCCCTAAACCCACTGGCAGACGTTGAACAATAAAGCACTGGAAATAAGCACTTTAGCCCTTTAGTTTTAAAATACCTAGTAAACAAAACAATTTCAAAGTTTTAAATTCAAAGTTAGGTTAAGTTTAAATAGCAGACGCGACGCGAACAGAATTCTTTCCGATCCGATAACTATAAATGAAGAGAGTTAATACCACCTCACGTAAAGGAAATAACACCTGGCCTTATTAACGTCCATGCACGCTATTCGGTTTAGCGATATCTCTCTTTATTACGCTGTTTATTGTTATTTTACGCGAGTTTATTTTTGCGCACAGGAAATTTGACTCGTTTGCACATCGTCATAAAAAACAATTTTCGTACCACGAATTAGGGACAAGATTTTTATCTGTATACTTATAGGATACCTAATCTGTGATATTGGCACAAGAAAATTGTCTTTTTATTTTTACTTCATAGCTTTTACAATTTTATGTAATGGTAATCACGAGTTAACTAACAGAAACATATTATTTTACCGAGAATGTCAAGTATTTACAGGGCGGACAGATTTCATTGTTTCTGTAGGATATTTGATTTAAGGAAGTTGGCAAATTTTGGCTATTTTCATTAGAGAAAAAATGATTTTATATCTTATCAACATGACACAAGTGCAGGTTAAAAAGGTTAATCCCGTTTATTTTCCAAATTCCCATACCGTTTTAGAGAAAATTTAAAAAATCATGAAAACAGTTCAACAATTTTCTAAAAATCCTAAAAATGAGTCCTAAAAATCAAAAGGCGTTTCTATGGTAATATCAATTCGATTCCATACAATTCCATACCAATTCCATACTTTTACAGATTTTTGATCGATTGTTATTATTAATTTTGTTATTAATTTTGATTAACGTCATATTCTTTGCTGTTGTTAAAGTATCACATTTTCCGATAACTATCGACACTCTTTCCGTAGCATTGTACTAAATAAATTTTGTACTTTAACATTTTAAAAACAGCAAAAATATGATGTTAATTAAAATTCTATTAATAACAATCTGTCAAAGAATGAAATCGAAATGATATTACCATAGAAACACCTTTCGATTTTTAGGACTTTGAAAAAATTCAACTGTTTTCATGATTTTTTAAATTTTCTCTGAAATGGTATGGGAATTTGGAAAATAAACGGGATTAACCATTTTAGACCAAGCAGGCGTTTTTCTCAAAATGTCAAAAATAAAAAGTTTTTTTCCTCTTGTATAGACAATCCGGGAACATACTATATATTCACTAAATTTATTATTTTTAATTAAGTATCAACACTAGAACCAGATGAATATACGAAATTAATAAAACTTCATTGTCAATTCTCTCTCAATCAAACTAAATAAACAATAAAAAAAATCTTTGCATCGAAATGCATTATTTAATTTTAGATCTAGATTTTTCTAATTTCTCGAAACAATTATTCTATTCCAGATTTACAATTGAAAAATTAAATTTGTCCACCCTATACGTATCCACTTTGGAAACGACGCACTTCATTCATTGACGAAAACCACGCCTATCCGCTCTCCGTTATTTAATGTACAGCGATGTCTGGCAAGTTTCATTTCATTCAATAATACATTATTTAGAATGAATCTAATGAATTAATTCTCGGTCAAACTAAAATAGATTTTTCAATGTCAAGTTTATGTTGGTGCGAGCCAAAGCATCGAGCGTATAGGTACTGCCGGTTTGGCTATTTTTTTGCGATCAACAATGATTTTGCTCCTTTGTTTGGAAATAAATTTAAGAAATTTGAATATTTATCGGCTGTTATCGCTAGAGTCAAAACAAACCAAAAATTAAACAATATGATTTTTTTTACGATATTTAAATTTGTCTTCCATAATAATGTGAGACTAATCAAAATACGGTGAGAAATAAATTAATTAGACTTAATCTGTAAATATATTTTTTTTATTTTAATTAGTGAACAGTGTATCAAAAAATATCTATACAGGGTGCGTCTCAAAAGTGGCACACACCTGTAACTTTTATTATTTTTTCAGTTAAAAAAACAAGATTTGGTATGTTAATATATGACATAAATTAGGATTGATTGACGTATTCAATTGTTTTCAGTCACTTCCTCTGTTTCACCGGAAATGATTACAACTTTTGATTTTTAAATGGCACCCTTGGTTTACTTTATTCGATAGCAAATAACACTCTGAATACACTGACATATCATATGTGAACTTATGACATTTTTGCATATGGTTTATTTGAAATTATAACTTGCGGTTCGTTACGAAAATTTGACTCGAAGTGTGTGGTATCAAATTATTCGTAAAAAAATAGATTTGATCGTCTAATGGTTTTAGTGTCTTGTTATGGCCAGTTAGAAAATGCTCAAATCGTATTTTTAATCATATCTCAATTTTTTCAAATGGAACAAGGGTGGCTCATTAGCATATTTGGAAAAAGCCCAAATATGCTAATGAGCCACCCTTGTTCCATTTGAAAAAATTGAGATATGATTAAAAATACGATTTGAGCATTTTCTAACTGGCCATAACAAGACACTAAAACCATTAGACGATCAAATCTATTTTTCCAAAGCTTCTTGATTAAGGATTAGTGTTTTTAACATAGCCATGGCACTCTAGATTAAATTTTAAAATACGATTTTTTATTAAGCGAGAATGTCGAGAGTTGACATATGATGTGTCATTCTATTCAAAATGTCATTTTCTATCGAATAAAGCAAAAAAAATACCGAGGGTGCCATTTAAAAATCAAAAGTTGTAGTCATTTCCGGTAAAACAGGAAATGACCGAAAAGAATTGAATACATCAATCAATCATTTATGTCATATACTAACATACCAAATCTCGTTTTTTATCTGAAAAAATAAAAAGTTATAGGGGTGAGCCACTTTTGAGACCCACCCGGTATATTAGGTTATGTGCCCATAATAAATTTTGATAATAAAACGCATATCATAAAGTAGTCTATTCCAAAAAATGATTGTTTGTTCGTTTAAAACTGCGTTTTTGAAGGCGCTGGCTGCATCTTCTGGAGAATAGAGCCTATGACCACACAGTTCATTTTTAATTTTTGGAAAAGAAAAAAAGTCGTTAGGACTTAGGTCGGGACTGCGTGGAGGATGGTCTAACAATTCGATGTTTTCTTGCTTTAAAAACTCAATTGTTTTTCGAGCTGTGTAGGAACTTGCATTGGCTTGGTGGAGGATCATTCGTCGTTGAGGGTTGGTTTGTTGAAACTCAGCAACTACTTCTGACAAACAAATAGATATCTACCAATCAACAGTAACAGTTCTTTGATATTACAGAGGAATTGCTGCTACATGACCGCTTTTGATAACTTCGAGAACGGATAACTTTCATCGGTTTTGGTTCATCTCGGAACACCCAAACAGTCGATTGGCGTTTATTTTTGGGTTCATAAGAAAAAAATATATACATATCCAGGATTCATAATCACTGAGAATACTGTATGTGTTTTTTTGAGTTTTCTACGTTAAACCAGTGTAGAGTTTTTTGACACCAATTGACTCTAATTTCTTTCTGTTCTTCACTCGACAGAAGCGGTATCCAACCAGAAACTATTTTTTGCAGATTCTTCTTCATGAAATTTTTTTGAATTGAGGTCTTTGAAATGCCCAAAGATGCTTCATTTTTACGATATGTAACATGTCGATCTTCTTGGATCAGCTTACGTACATCATTGACATTTTTCTAGGTGACTGCCGTTGTTGGTGGACCTGTTCTTTGTTGTTCTAAGTTGGTGGTTCTGTGAGTCGTACAACTAGACTCTATAACAATAACAAGTCTAAAGTATCACATCATGGATCACTGAGCGATCCCTTCCTAACGAATATAGGAGTTAGGCAGATATGCTAATTCTGTGCTGAGCATTCTGGAAATTAAGTAAAAGAGTTTTCTACAATCATGCCTTGAGCAATAATCCCCACTATGTTATATGGAAGCCTTGTTGCCGTTTTGGCATAAAACATTGGTGCAGTACCGGCGGCACATGAACACATTAAACAAGTTACAAAAGAGACACCTTAGACAACTGTTAAGAATCGAATGGTACCACCATGTCCCAAACGTATCGGTCCTTGAAGAAGCAAGCTGCGAGAGCGCTGAAGTTATAATTACCAAATCCCGCTTAATATGGCTCTCTGCTTACGTATGCAGGATGCAAGAAAATTCCCTACCGAAATTTCTTCTTTATGGTAAACCTGTCGACGGTAAGAGGAAACAGGATGGACAACTCAAAAGGTACAAGGATATTTTCCATGAAAACTTAAAGGGGATAAGCATATAGAATCAGGGGGAGGAAGCAGCGCACAAGAATGCAATGGAGAAGAATTGTAAACTCAGTTAACAACGCCAACCAAAAAATAAAGAGGCAACAAAGTAATGAGATTTTTGAATGTCCGGAGTGCGGAAGAGGGATAACATCACGTATCGGGCTTTTCAGCCAAAGAAAAGCTTATGAAAGAAAACGCCCCGCTTAACCATTTTCTGATGCGTATCAAATACTCGTCAGCGAGTAATGGCAGTAGTAGTAGAGTACATACTAGACTAGAATTATTAATATTCGATGCCTAAGCCAATTGCACCATAAAATCTATTCGTATGTAAGTTCGCACTTGGCAAAATTTGTTTCGGAAGGCGAAATGTAAACAATGTTTCCAGTTTGGGATCGGCACCGACAACGGATGTTTAGAACACAGCAGTCGGCTGTTTAGACTAATTTTTTTTGCGCTTCCCAACTTTTTTTCCAGTATCTGTAATAAAATTGGTAATTTTTTTGCGACGAATTCGCAGAATTCGTTCCGCAATGGCCGTGACTTGGCGATTTGGTTTTTAAACAAAAAATGCGGATAAATAGAAAGCACATCCATATTTTTCGTTTGTACAGAGTGTAAATGACCTAGATCATAATATATACTTACGTAAGTTTAGATTGGAAAATGCCCATAAGGACAATGTAAACACTATTTGGCGCTATTCTTGCAACGGTCGCGACCCAAAACTTTTAAAAATTTCGGGCGGTTCGGCTTTTTCCGGAATTATATCGCCAAATATTGTTTATTCAAATTTATTATTATTTTCGTTTAATTTTATAAATAAAATACAGTGTGTTGCATACAAGAAACTTTATTTTATATAAGGACGCATGTATGAAATACCTATGAAACATTGGAAACCGACGTTATGCCACGATCCACGATGGTTTTGCAGTTCACAGTTCACAGCACAGCTTTTTAAGTTTTTAATGCCACTTTTTCACAATTATTACCGGTTGGAGTAAATAAAACTTGAATTAAACTCACAAGATAGCAATAATTACTTTGAAAATGGACGCTATAAACACTTTTCGGAATTTCTTTAATCAGAGCGGTTTAGGTTTTGAAAGATTATTATGATTTTTGAAGATTCTGACTTTGACAAGAGAAAATTATTTCTGTTTTTGTTTGCCGTTGTTCTTAGCGACCGCTATACCAGCGCCAGATCGCGTATAACGGTCGCGACCCATAATAATTTCGCGACCCAAAATTTTTACGGGCTTTCCAATCCTATGCTTACGTTGATAAGTAAATCACTATGGAAACTGTCGCAAACATAACAATGACTTCCATTTATCTTCTTTTTTTGTTGCACAGGCGGTGCTTCTACTCTATCTATCCTTGTCGAGGACCTAGCGTCCACGCGCCAAGTTTGAACATTAATTTTAAAAATATAATTTGTAAAATGCATATATTTGAACAATAAATTGAATGTTTACCGTCACAAAAATTAAATTATATAAAAAATACATTTAACCACTCCGTACGAATATCAGTATTCTTAGGAAATCTAACCAGAAAGTATGCATGTGGCTTAATATAAATAAAATAACTGAATACTTGCATATGAAAAGATAATTCGGGGACCTTTATATTAGAACTTTAGCACATTGAACACTTTCTAGTCATTTTAACGAGTATTTAGAAAGTCCAACGAAAAAAAAATGGAAATATAATTGTACAAACTTAAAGTTAACTTCTCACTGAACACACTTGCATCCTTGGCTATATAAAAGCGGTCGATAAAAGAGTAATTAATACAATTTCAATCATATTTTCCCGGTTTTTTTTAAATTTCTTGTAAAAGGGTATGGAAATTTGGAAAATTAACGGGATTAACCATTTTAGACCAAGCAGGCGTTTTTCTCAAAATGTCAAAAATAAAAAAGTTTTTTTCCTCTTGTATAGACAATCCGGGAACATACTATATATTCACTAAATTTATTATTTTTAATTAAGTATCAACACTAGAACCAGATGAATATACGAAATTAATAAAACTTCATTGTCAATTCTCTCTCAATCAAACTAAATAAACAATAAAAAAATTTTTTGCATCGAAATGCATTATTTAATTTTAGATCTAGATTTGTCTAATTTCTCGAAACAAGTATTCTATTCCAGATTTACAATTGAAAAATTAAATTTGTCCACCCTGTACGTATCCACTTTGGAAACGACGGACTTCATTCATTGACGAAAAGTATTAATTTTTTCATCTAAATGTTTTCTCTTGTTTCAGATATCTCGTCAATCGATTGATGCTTGCAAAGACTACTTCAGAGACGACCTTCTGAAGTCCGACTGGCAACTGATGGTGGAACTAAAGAAACTCTTCCAGATTTTGTAGTCGTTTTGATATATACATGTTTTATATTAGCGAACGGGGGCGAAAAGTGACCGTATCGCTAAAGTTTGCTTTGGTGGAACCAGCAGTGTAATAATCAAATAAATCTATGTTTTCATAATCCATGTAAACATAATCGAGAAACTATTTATTTATCCTATATATGTTGTTTTAATTCGATTTTGGCGATGTTCGAGGCCCTTTTTGGCGCAGGACTTTTTATTTTATAAAGTTTATTTTTTCTTCAGTTGAGTTGAACATATACAACTACCGGAAATAAAGATGTATGTTATGTATTAAAGATATAATAAAATACTATCTTTGCATTTCATTGTTTTATTTTTTCGAATTGAATACCATCAACCATTTCTGTATTCTTTTTTCCCTTCTTCATTCTTCTTTATTTAATATTTATTCGATGGTAAAGTGATATTGATTCAGGGGAGTGTCCTGTTAAAAACTAGTGATGGGATAACTCGAGCGAAAATTCAATCGAGTGCTCGATTATTGAAATAACCGACATCGCTCGATTATGAACGAGTTGCGAGCGGTGAACGCAAACGATCCTAGAATGAAATAAATTGAAATAATATTTTAATGTGACATACTCGATACAAAGCCGAGCGAATTTTCTATATACATTGTACGGAGCAAATTTATACGACGCGACGTTATCCGTTGCGTATCTGCATGACAAAATTTTACGACTTACATCGACAATGCCTTAATCTAAACTGAATCAAGCGAATTACTCGTCGATCGTCGCTTGCTTGGCATTACGAATTGCGAGTACACCAAGCGACGGGCGAAAACCCGTATTTTTTAAGCTCGAGCGATCGCGCGATTATTGAAATTTATCGGTTTTTCCCATCACTATTAAAAACCTCGTGACAATTCGAAGTTTGTTCTTACTTAAATGAAGGAAAATCTTTGATATTTCTCGGTTGTTAGTTCTGAGAAATTTCTTCGAGTGTCTTAGACATTTGGAAGATTCCCATTCCAGGTTAGGGGTCGAGGCTTCCAGATTCTTGAGTTGCGCTTTAAATGGTTACCACTTGGGAAGCAGAACATTGTAGAAGTTAAGTACATTCTTGGTATGTCATGCACTAGGAGTTGGATGAAGGGAATTTTCCTTTTCAGAAGGTTCCAATCTCCTGAGATGATACTTTTCCCAGTACCGTTTCCGTCTTAACTTATTTTTAAAATTATTTTTGAAGTGAGACTTTTTTACGCGCATTAGGAGTGAAAATTCAAATACCGTTACACGACAGGCGACACAACAGGCGAGAGGAAAAGCGGTAAGGACAGCCTACGGCTTAGAAAAATCGTCCGATTTAAATGAGATTTGGTAGATCGATATATTGGACCAAGGCCAACTTGACCATGTACGACACATGTCACTGTGACAGTTTTGACGTAAGAAACGTCAAGTTTGGTGGGTAGCCTATGTGAACGACGGTGCACACGGTTCTACCCTGCAAAGTTGTATAAGACGTTTCATTTACATCTCTCCATCAGGGTGGGACTAAGGACTTAATATTGAAGAAAAATGTCGGTCGATTTCGACATAATTTGGGACGGGCTACAGGATGACGCCTTCGACGTTTCGAACCGATGTCTTTAAATGGACGAAATCATCAGGATTTTTCTCTTAATTATCGGTCGATTGGAACCAAACTCGGCACGTTGATAGAGGTACCCGAATGGAGTTCTCAAACGGACAGAAGGTCATTTTAATACAAATTTTGTGAAAGTGAATCAAATTTTTTTGTTAATTTTTAATTTATTACTTTCTGAACATTTGAGGCGTCAAGTTGCAAAACCCGCCTTATCCCAAAAATGTTTCGAGAAAAACAAAAACTGTTTTAGCAAATGTTTGAAACGTTATTTTACAAAAAAAACGTGTCCATTAAGCGGAATCATTGTTTTCTATCTGTTTTTTTCTCTTTAAAAATTATATATTAATTTTTATTTCTACAAAAACCAGATACAAAACTATGATTCCACTTACTTAATGGGTACGTTTTTAGTCGTGTTGTTTTGCTACAGCAAGATAATTTTTGCATCCTAACTTGGAATTATTAGGTATGCTATTTTATTAAAATTAGGTAGATTTGAAATGGATAAGACGTCGTAGTAAAACTACAGGGTGTCCCAGAAATAAGTGCAAGTATTTTAAGGGGTGGTGATCTCGATAAAAGAAACATATTTTCTCTTTATCGTTTTTCAAATAAGTCCAAAATAACGGAGTCCAAAAAAATCATTTTTTGCTAAAATTTTGAGAACCACTGATCCTTTCTGGATTTTCTTTTTGTACTTATAATCTCTTAATCTACTACTTATGTTGCCTGATTATCAAGAAATATTTATTTTAAATAAAACTAAAAAAAATTCCAACAAAATTTTCAAAAAATTCCGAATTTTCAAAAAAAAATTTTCGCGAAAAAAACATCATAGGCGTGTTTCTGGGGACGAACTATAAATACTACCAGTTGAAATACTGGCACTTATTTCTGGGACACCCTGTATATTAAATTAATTAAACCACAGATTATAATCTTTGTTTTTTCTTTATTGTTTTTCGTGGTTCCAATTTTCGGAATCGGGCACTAGTTAGGTTACTATAGTTTGCGCACATAGCACGCCCACTTAGGGCCTCTAAAATTGTGCACAGCGCCTGACCGGCACAGTTATTAGAGAGATATCGGAAAACCGAATAGCGTCATGCAGTATTTACGCGTACCTTATCATGGTTACGATATGCACCCGCTAATAACGCTACCGCCTGACGTAATTTGCGGATCAATTACACCAAGCTATTTCTAAATAACGTTTAAAAATTGCCTAAATGGGCATGTGCGGCTATTTATTGACAACCGGGCCGGACGGCGAGATTTTTTATTTTAGGTTATGTTTGAATTGTTTTGAATTATTACTTTAGTTTTATTAGGTAATTTGATATTTAAGTAGCTGGGATTAGTTTTAATTAAATAAATATGGGCCAAAATATGGATTCCACCTTTTCCAATATTAAAGAAGCTTAGGTTTACAGCAAATGACGACTTCTAAGAGAATTTGTTGCTTGCCCTAAACCCACTAGCAGACGTTGAACAATAAAGCACTGGAAATAAGCACTTTAGCCCTTTAGTTTTAAAATACCTAGTAAACAAAACAATTTCAAAATTTTAAATTCTAACTTTGAATTTAAATTAATTAATGTTCATTCACGCTTATTAATGTTCATTCACGCTATTCGGTTTAGCGATATCTCTCTATTACGCTGTTTATTGTTATTTTACGCGAGTTTATTTTTGCGCACAGGAAATTTGACTCGTTTGCACATTGTCATAAAAAACAATTTTCGTACCACGAATTAGGGATAAGATTTTTATCTGTATACAGTATACCTAATCTGTGATTAAACTAATTGTGGTAATAGGTACTATATTTGTGTAAAAAAGCCTATGAAAAAATGCGGGATTGCAATAATAATGACAATGAAAAGCAAATATAAGTGGATAAGACGGATTTTGCTGCAGTTACTAATAATGTTACTAATTTGTAGTTAATTTTATATAGGAATATGGGACTTTTGCTGCAGTTTGGGACTATGTTTATGTAGATTTTAGGGTCCATTATTAATGTGCATCATGAGGCCTTTTTAAAACAAATGGATAAGGCGGGCTTTGCGACTTGACGCCTCATTTCAAACTACACTTTTTCAAACATGTCGTTCAAATCCTTCAATTTAATAGCTGTTATAATGATTGCGCACATAGTGAACACACAATTTTTGTTAATTAAAAATCTATTTAATAAAAACCAATATGTCAGTAAATTAAGTTGGTAACTTCATTCTTTTTTCCATTAACATTGAAATATGATTTGTTCTATTAGAGACACATTTCATTCGGAATAAAATCATATCAAAGCCCGAACGTCGACGAGAAATTGAGTTTCAACAGAAAAAAACAACTCTACCCGTCCGTGACGTCATTTCTAAATGTCTCCGAACGATATTTACATAGATACGAACACAGTAGCAACACAGCCGTTACCGGCAGACAGTGACCGGACGGCGGGGGCGGCTGCGGCGCTGGGGGTGTACGCGTAGTGCCGCCCCCGATCCCACGCGATTAAGCCTCATCCCCCGATACCTGTGGCCGCCTACGCGTTGAGCGTAGTAGCTCAATTGTTGTCATGGTGACGCCGCCGGTGACCGTGAATGAACGCGGGGGCGGCGCTGGGTGTGAGAGGGGGGTATTGGCCGCCCCCGCGTGGGTGCGGCGGTGGTGTGAGTCGATGTTGCCGGGTCTGGCTAAATTTAAACTAATTCGGTATAGAGTGCTTATGTTCGAAATATATTGGATATTTGAAGATGTTTCGAGCGTGTTGTTTGTTCGATAATTTGTTTGATCGTGCAATTTTATTTATGGAAAAGAGCCGGGTAATTTTACCGGTGGATCGGAAAACAAAAATATATAATCATTTTTTTATTAAAATACATCAAAAACAAAAAAAAACACTAATTTATAAAGATGAGCAAAACTGCGATTGCGATTTTTAAATCGCTGCGACAGTAACCTACAATTGCGATTTTAATATTTAAATATTGTATTATGCATTCTATACAGAGTGTCATTTTCTACCGAATAAAGTAAAAAAATACCGCGGGTGCCATTTAAAAATCAAAACTTTTAGTCATTTCCGGTGAAACAGGAAGTAATCAAAAAGAATTGAATACGTCAGTCAATCCTAATTTATGTCATATTCTTACATACTAAATCTCGTTTTTTTTTTATCAGAAAAAATGAAAAAGTTATAGAGGCGAACCACTCTTAAAAACACCCGGTATATTATTGATCTTGGCCCTAGAAATTAATACATTCTCTATAAATAAATAAAATAAGAGAAAAAATTCAATCGCATTTTTTTCTATAAAATGCTTCAATGGACCACAAAATTACATTCGCAACAAAATCGCAAATCGCAGCTAGAGTAGGTAATATTGGTTGCCTAAATTGAAACTTGCAAGTCGAAAAAATCGCAGGTTCCGATTGCGATTTTAAAATCGCTGCGATTGAATCGCCGTTTGCGATTTGTTGCTCATCTCTACTAATTTACCATAATACACCTAAGTTTTAACACTGGACGCGTATTTCGCTAACCATGTTAGCAGCATCAGCAGATTATTAAAACTAAACTATTATCTACAAATTGAGCGTTTATATAGGCGCTCGGTTGGTACTGACCAAGCGTGACAAAATTAGCCAAGTGAGTCAAAACAAATCGTGGGTAACATTAATTACCGAAACTAGAGCAGTAG